TCGTAAATAGTACAGAATGACACACTCTTTTAAAAAGTTTGCAATGTTCAAGTGATTTTTCTTTCGAAATGTATATGAAATTCGTTCTCAAACTCAACCGCACCAAAGTGCGAAGTACGCACGACATTCGAGACTTTTGATTTGAAGACGTAATTTCACTTTTTTTTACGTAACCCACTTTCATGCTACACACTGTTTGAAAGAGCATATTATTTTAAACTGAATACGGAGATTTGAAGAAATTCTATAGAGTAGCGGCTGAGAAAATTGTGATTCTTTAAAAATTACTGTCGCCCGGGTTTGCTGCGCGCAAATAGGTATTATTAATTAGTTTTTAAGAGACGCGCGTGACAAATATGTTTGATTTCAAGATGGAATTTTATATATTTCTACGGCTAATCCACTTCCATGTTACATACAGTTTGAAAGAGCATATTATTTCCAAGTAAATACGGAGATTTGAAGAAATTCGATAAAAATTGGGGCGGAGAAAATTGTGATTCTTTAGGAATTACCGTTGCCCGGCTTTGCTACGCGCTAACCATGCTTTGGTTAAGAATGTCAAATATTTTGACATAGATAACCACGCTGTTTTAATGGTCAAATGCTTGTCCTACGCAAATTTGCAAGCATGTTTCCTGCTCATGTACAAACAGTAAACAACAAGATAACCTTGGTTATGATATCAAATAGTTTGAAGTGGATAACCATGCACTCTGTTTTAATGGTCAAATGCTTGTCCTATGTAAAGTTGCAAGCATGTTTCCTGATCATGTACAAACATTAAACAACAAGATAACCTTGGTTATGATATCAAATATTTTAAAGTGGATAACCATGCAAGCTGTTTTAATGGTCAAATGCTTGTCCTATGTAAAGTTGCAAGCATGTTTCCTGCTCATGTACAAACATTAAACAACAAGATAACCTTGGTTATGATATCAAATATTTTGAAGTGGATACCATGCGAATAATAATCCCACATAGAGCAATGTCATATATACTAAGCCTAAGCCTTCGGCCAATTTTTTATTACGGTAAGGCTTACCCCTTACCTTACCTTACCTTACCATTTTTGGAACAACGAAAAAGTGGTCAAAATTGACTAAAATGGTAAGGCTTACCCCCTTATCATTTTGGTCAATTTTGACGACTTTTTGAATTGTTCAAAAACTGCCTTACAATGCTAAAAATAGCCTCCTAAGACTAATATCTTTCATTTAAGAGCATATTTGGTCGGTTTTTGGAACAACGAAAAAGTGGTCAAAATTGACCAAAATGGTAAGGCATACCCTGATCATTTTGGTCAATTTTGACGACTCTTTGAACTGTTAAAAAATTGCCTTAAAATGCTAAAAATAGCTTCCTAAGACTAATATCTTTCATTTTAGAGCATATTTGGTTTGTTTTTGGTACATTGAAAAATCGTAAAAATTGAGCAAAATGGTAAGGCTTACCCCTTACCATTTTGGTCAATTTTGATGACCTTTTCAACTGTTCAACAGCGGTCTTAAAATGCCAAAAGTGGCTTACTAAAACTAATATCTTTCATTTTAGAGCATATTTGGTTGTTTTTTGAAACATTGAAAAATCGTCAAAATTGACCAAAATGGTAAGGCTTACCTCTTACCATTTTGGTCAATTTTGATGACTTTTTCAACTGTTCAACAGCTGTCTTGAAATGCCAAAAGTGGCTTACTAAGGCTAATATCTTTCATTTTAGAGCATATTTGGTTGGTTTTTGAAACATTGAAAAATCGTCAAAATTTAGCAAAATGGTAAGGCTTCCCCTTACCATTTTGGTCAATTTTGACAACTTTTTGAACCGTTTAAAAACTGTCTTAAAATGCTAAAAATGGCTTCCTAAGACTAATATCTTTAATTTTAGAGCACATTTGGTTGATTTTTGGAACCATGAAAAAGTGGTCAAAATTGGCCAAAATGGTAAGGCTTACCCCTTACCATTTTGGTCAATTTTGACGACTTTTTGAATTCATCAAAAACTGTCTTAAAATGCTAAAAATGGTTTCCTAAGACTAATATCTTTCATTTTAGAGCACATTTGGTTGGTTTTTGGAACAATGAAAAAGTGGTCAAAATGACCTTTTTCAAAAAGTGGTCAAAATTGGCCAAAATGGTAAGGCTTACCCCTTACCATTTTGGTCAATTTTGACGACTTTTTAAACTGTTCAAAAACTGTCTTAAAATGTTAAAAATGGCTTCCTAAGATTAATATCTTCCATTTTAGAGCACATTTCGTTGGTTTTTGGAACATTGAAAAAGTCGTCAATTTTGCCTTGAGGTATTAAAATGTATTATTTTATGGTTAGTATCAACACACTATGCGGTGGCGTAGTGGTTAAGGCTACCCCCTACCAGGTTGGGATCGTAGGTTCGAATCCTGCAAGGGAAAATTGTAATTTTTCCCACCTAATTTGCTATTTAATTTAAAATTCTGCGAAGAGGATATAAGTCGAATAATGCACAAGAGCTTTTGATGAATGATGCTGTGGCCTAGTGGTTGAGGCTACGGCCTACCAGGTTGTAAGTGCGGGTTCGAATCCTGCATAAAAAAGGTTCGATTTTTCCACCGAAATTATTCTTTAATTTAAACTTCATCGAAAAGGATAGGTCAAATAAAGAACAATAGCTTTCGACAAATGATGCGGTGGTGTAGTGGTTAAGACGTTCGTTTCTCAATCCGAGGACAAACGTATCAACTCCGGGCAATGCAAAACAATTAGCCTAAAATTTCGGTGTGATCTGGAAGCTTTAAAACAGACTCCTCGGCCTTTAGTAAAGACTGTAAATTGGCAAAAATTTGAAATAAAAAAAAAATTAAAAAAATTTCTCGCGTGCAAAAGTACTTGAAAACCGAAAAAAAAGCATAAGAAAAAAAGTTTTAAAAACATGTGCCTTCTAAAAAGCCTGAAGAAAGTCAGAAGAAAAATTTAAAAATTTCCCGCTTTTAAAAAACTCATGTTTACTTACCATAATTTTTTTTCACGAAAATTTGACAGGGTGATTTTCTCGAGACTGGAAAAATTTAATTTTTTCACTTTTTTGAAATTCTCTTAGATTTTTTTTCGACGCGAAAGTATTTTGTCTTGGGCTACCTGTGTCAAGCCAGACACAGGTAACCCAAGACAGACACAGGTAGCCCAAGACATAATACTTCGTCTAAAAAATATTTCGGAGAATTTTAAAAAAATCTTTTTGAGGACGAATATTTTTTTTAGACGAAGTATTATGTCTTGGGCTACTGTGTCTGTCTTGGGCTACCTGTTTCTGGCTTGACACAGGTAGCCCAAGACATAATACTTCTTGATAAAAAAAAATATCTAAGAGAATTTCAAAAAAGTGAAAAAATGTAAATTTTTTCAGTCTCGTGAAAATCACCCTGTCAAATTTTCGTTAAAAAAAATTTGGTAAGGTAAGTAAACATGAGTTTTTTAAAAGCGGGAAATTTTTAAATTTTTCTTCTGACTTTCTTCAGGCTTTTTAGAAGGCACATGTTTTTGAAACTTTTTTTCTTATGCTTTTTTTTCGGTTTTCAAGTACTTTTGCACAGGAGAAATTTTTAATTTTTTTTTTATTTCAAATTTTTGCCAATTTGCAGTCTTTACTAAAGGCCGAGGAGTCTTTTAACTGTTTTAAAGCTTCCAGATCACACCGAAATTTTCAGCCTAATTTTTTTGCATTGCCCGGAGTTGATACGTTTGTCCTCGGATTGAGAAACGAACGTCTTAACCACTACACCACCGCATCATTTGTCGAAAGCTATTGTTCTTTATTTGACCTAATCCTTTTCGATGAAGTTTAAATTAAAGAATAATTTCGGTGGAAAAATCGAACCTTTTCTATGCAGGATTCGAACCCACACTTACAACCTGGTAGGCCGTAGCCTTAACCACTAGGCCACAGCATCATTCATCAAAAGCTCTTGTGCTTTATTCGACTTATATCCTCTTCGCAGAATTTTAAATTAAATAGCAAATTAGGTGGGAAAAATTACAATTTTCCCTTGCAGGATTCGAACCTACGATCCCAACCTGGTAGGGGGGTAGCCTTAACCACTACGCCACCGCATAGTGTGTTGATACTAATCATAAAATAATACATTTTAATACCTCAAGGCAAAATTGACCACTTTTTCGTTGTTCCAAAAACCAACCAAATATGCTCTAAAATGAAAGATATTAGTCTTAGGAGGCCATTTTTAGCATTGTAAGGCAGTTTTTGAACAGTTGAAAAAGTCGTCAAAATTGACCAAAATAGTAAGGGGTAAGCCTTACCATTTTGGTCAATTTTGACGATTTTTCAATGTTTCAAAAACCAACCAAATATGCTCTAAAATGAAAGATATTAGTTTTAGGAAGCCACTTTTAGCATCTTAAGACAGTTTTTGAACAGTTGAAAAGGTCGTCAAAATTTACCAAAATGGTAAGGGGTAAGCCTTACCATTTTGCTCAATTTTGACGATTTTTCAATGTACCAAAAACCAACCAAATATGCTCTAGAATGAAAGATATTAGTTTTAGGAAGCCATTTTTAGCATTTTAAGGCAATTTTTTAACAGTTCAAAAAGTCGTCAAAATTGACCAAAATGATAAGAGGTAAGCCCTACCATTTTGGTCAATTTTGACGATTTTTTCAATGTTCAAAAAACCAACCAAATATGCTCTACTGCAGCAGTTTAAAATTCTTAAAGAACAATAGGCTTCAGTCGACAAATGACGCAGTGGTCTAGTGTTTAAGATCTTGGTCTCTCAATCGTAGGATAAATGGTTCAAATCCTGGAAGCGCAAAAAAAAATTAGCCTTAGAAACTTTTCACGAAAATTTGACAGGGTGATTTTCTCGAGGCTGAAAAAATTTACTTTTTTCACTTTTTTGAAATTCTCCGAGATTTTTTTTTGACGAAAAAGTAGTTTGTCTTAGGTTCCTGTGTCGGTCTTGCTCGAGCCTCGAGGAAAAATTTCAATAACGTGAGCTTAGATATACATTACATAGATGCATGTAATTATATATTATACCATATATCGTGGAGGCATCTCATAGAATCAGTTATCTATTAGATATAAGGCGCTTATAAACATCATAATGCAGAAATTATTAGGTATTTGAACAGAAGCGTTACAGTATTTTAGACGAGTCCAACATTCTAGTTCCTTCAAAATGTCAACCATTCTTAGTTTCAGGTGCCTTTTATAAAGAATTTAGTTCTGATTTGAGGCAAACGGACCGCGTTGACAAAACTCCAGCATAAAAGAGTATAATGCACCCCACATTTACAACATCAAAGAAACCACACTGATATCATTTGTTTATTAACACTGAAAGACTTCTTGAGAAAGGCCATTGCTCACGGGGCAATTTTGATCGCAATCAAACTAGGTCTTTCGTTAATTCGCTGAGAAATTGCTAGATTTGTGAAAAGAACAATAAATAGAAAGAAATGACAACGTCAGTGGATAATGCATGCGTTCTAGCAGAGTCGATAAACATCTAGTCTGGAAATCGGGCCGTAAGTAGCTAAAATTTGATGTGCATGGAGAAATTTTGACCGTCGATCGTTGAGACAAATCTTTTAAAAGTTTTCCCGCAAGTTAGATATTAAAAGATGCTATTGGATGAGTGCTGTGGCAAAACAACATTGCCCTAAATCGATTAAAAGTTGACCACAGATTTTAGACAATTTCCAGACCCAACCTTGAGAGATTGATTGTGTGTTGCATATTAGGTAAAGTCACGGCCTTATAGGTATAAAGTCACCGCACATTTAAATCTCGACTTCCTGAAAGCAATACGAATGCTTAATTTCCAATGTTTCACCAGAAAGTGAAACGTGGGGCCTCTCTTATTTCGGACAAATCCAGGGGATTCTTCCCTCCACCGGGTTTTTGTCACGCGCGGATCATTTGCCGGTATTGCCCGCAGGCATCACGACTTATATAATACAACAGAGTAAACTATCATGATATATTGCTGGTCGATGGATCTTGATCGGATGGTTGAAGGGGCTGTTGTTGACTACCGTCAGCCCCACCGCCCATGCCAGATAGGCCCCCTGAAAAACTAGGATATCCGGCGAAGAGTGAGGGCATCGGCACAGCGGGAAAACCAGTGCCACTACTGAGAAACGAACTGAGGAAGTTTGGATTGAACAAAGCAGGGTTGTACATAGGAAAACCAGAGGCACTACCTTCGGCCGTCGAGGGTCCAGCCCCGGGATCACTGCCCTGCATACCACTCGAGCTGGTTGTCTCAAATTCGCTGAAACCTCGTGGGATTTTCTTGCGCCTTTTTGCCCCGATCTGTTCGGGATCTAAAAAACACGTAACTCTAGATTCAGATCTGCTTTCTTGGAAAGCCGAGTGAGTTATGTACACAAACTGACCCAAGGAGACAACCTCTTTCCCGGGGTATTGGCTTTGCCCACACTTGAGCGAAGTACTTTGGTTGCCCAAACGACAACATACATCTCAACAAATAGTTGAAATAATGAAATCTGATCGTTTAAGTTACTCACTCCAGTTGCGATGTTAGTTCACTCACGTCCTATTATGCTTCGCGTTCACCTGAACAATGACACTGAACTGAAAGCGCAACTGGAGTGAGAATTTCAACGCTCGGATTTGATGATTTCGAATATTTATTGTAATTCTTAAGGTGACAATATATGATGTACTCACCAAACTCTTGAGGTTTATAAGTAAATTCCACCGGGGCGCTCGTTTCCTTGTCGCTCTTTCGTCTTAGTTCAAGAAGCACTTTGACCGGTTTTTCAATCGCCGTATTCCAGTATTCTGGCGTTTTCAAGACGATGGCAAACTATGGCGGAAAAAAGACAAATATTTACTTGTGTGAAAATATAATCAACTCCAACCCTAACCCTATTACGCGGGTTCCGTTTTTTGAGGATATACTGCAATGCAGATTATCACAATCGTCTAAAACTCACCTGACGATGGACATCGGAGGTGGAGAACTTCCCAAATGCCTCCCATGGTTCAGGGCGGTCTTCCTCTATTAACGACAAACAATATCGGTCATGCAGTGGTCTCCACGTGGCTGAGCTCTAAAATGAGCTCTAAAAGCTCATTGTAGTATTTCCACTCGGATAATTAAGTGTTTTAACTTAAATCTTTCCATCGATTAAGAAAGGGCTATATCTTTTTTTCTGCATGCATTATCAATAGTTACCTTGATTTTCAAAGAACCGCACTTCGATATCCTCTGAAATACACAAGAGAGAATACAAGCTGTTAATTGTGGTTGTTTTCAAGTTAGGCTGTTAGCATCCATCGGCAATGCAAGGGTAATTTTACCCAAGATTTTTAAATGTTTATGTTTTTCTTTGAGACCTAGATATCGGAGTACAAAAATCAGAAGCAAGATCCTCTAGAAAATGATCAATTTTTCCCGCGTATGATGAGCTTTCGCAGCGACTCCGCATGTAACTCAGTTTTGTCGGCAAACTCTCAGGCATCAGTGGCGAACACTCCATTAGAAAATTATCAAAAATTATCGATTGAGCTCGTACCTTTTTGTACTTTATCACATAGCAAAAAGATCTCTTCGCCGCCTTGCACAAAGCCGGATTGTCGATCGATGCGACAAATCTTCAATTCGGATGCTGCCGCAGCCTCTGTAGCAAAAAAATAGACAACATTTTATATTTTATCCTCACCTTACCGACGGTTGTAGCTGATTCATTCCAACACTGATTCACATATTGTGGTTGATTCTATTGATTCGAAAAACAATGCTATCAACTTACTTGAGTCGTAGATAGGATGCGAATATACTGGTTTGAGACAAATGACAAACCGGCCATCCTGGTCGGGTAAATATGTTTGAAAACAAAGCCGGACCGTGCTGAGGTTCATTTTATCTGCTTCTTGTTTGGCGATGACCTCGATACTTTTCATTTCTTCATCTGAAAACAAAGCAAAGAAATAAAGGTAAATATTTTAAAAAACACTCTCATTTCGGCAAAAAACGGTAAATTAAAGCCAACTACTTTAATTTGGATTTAAAAACTTTCCATTTAAAAGGTTCTTAAGACGCTGTTACACTATTTCCCTTGAACTTGCAATACAATTATAATTTTGAGGGATGTTAATCTGTAAAGAGTGTTCGAAATGCTAAGAAACGTTAGAAGATCGCAAGAAACATCAAGAAATATTCGTATTTGACAACCTTAGATGTCTCAGGAGTAGAATTGCATTGCTAGTTGCAAGGAAAGTTGCATATTGTAACAGCGTCTTTATTCCGAATTTTTACTTGTGATGGCTTCAGCGATCGCACCGCTGCTGGCGGGATCGTGGAAATCCACGTGCATCACTTGATCACCGCTGCTTACGCCTGAATTGAAAGATTTTTCCAGGCGATGTTTCTTCAGGTATCGCTCTTTTAAAATAGGGAGAACATTCTTTTTCGTGACATGCTGAACTCCCAAATTTGGAAAGCTGAAAAACAAAACAATGTTCACTAAATATTGTGGTATCGACTTGATTCAACTTTCCGAAGGAGAAATTTAGGAAAAGTGGCGAAATTTGTAACGGTCAGCGTTCTGATATACATCTGTCCCCAGAAACTTTCCTCTTAGACACTTTATAATAAGTGCTATTTTTTTAAGTGATATTTCTGTGAATGTAAATTCTGCAAATTTCACAGAATTGTTTTGACCAAAATTTCCAAGGGAATTAAAATATTAATTTCACTCCAGTGCTGCAAGCAAGTTGTTTTAAACAATATTCTGTGTTGTTTTTACCTGGCTGTCATGCCACAATCTGGCCCAACTTCAACAATGCATGCACCGTCTCGGACATTTTTACCAACCAAACTGTGTGCATGGGGTTGCGGCGGGTCTGAAACTGTCACAAGCGTCACCTCAATTCTCGCTTTACCAGAATAATTAATGATCTAAATGAAAGTAGAGATTGGTTTACTTAAGGCCAATGCTTAAGGTCTCCACCATGTCAGAGATATGCCAGAAATGGTTTGAAGATTGGTAAGTGTGAACATGGATACTGTAGTTAAAAGACTAATTGTGGTTTTATTATCCATGGCATGAGTAAGTGCTGGTACTTAATTGTTGTGTCTGTTCATATTGATTCAGGCCCCATGATAAACCCAGACACAAACCAATAAGGCAAAAATTTGCCATTCCTATTGTATAGCCAATAGCAGTAAAAAAGTATTTAATACTTCTGAGCCATGTGCAATCAAAACACTCCTAAATAGTGCAATAGAACTTGCTCCCGCACTGAAGTAAAATAAATTTGGTTAATTTTTCCGCATGCATTACATCATACCTGCACAGAAGGGAAGGATTTTCTTCCTTTAGCTGAACGTTCTCCAGGAAGACCACCATGAGATGGTCCTTCGCACGAATACCTGAATCGGAATCCTCGCTGTAGAAAGAATAAGAATTATTAAATATATGATACAGTACATAATAGTTGAGATATATAATAAAATTAAAAATTATATTATGGCCAGTTTCTCTTTTTTCTATGTACTTAAATTAGAAGTAAATTTAAATATAGTTAAAGCCCTTACACTTTTTGCACCAATAAATCAAAGTATCTTTTTAAACATTGGACTTTACATACATTAGACTTTAATATTTAATGCATGTAAAAAGTAAAAAGTATAATCCTATATACCAACGAAAAATCTGTTGCATGCATACATACTTTTTTAAGTAGATATGTACAGTGTGTAACAAACCTGTTTTGGTTGCTCTAATATTTCTAATTCAGCTCCTAAGCATAGTAGAAATATGTTAGGATTGTTAATAAAATCAAGAAAAAAATTTCATAGCTAGCATGATGACAAATACAGACAATATAAACAAAAATACCAATGTTGACATATTTTACTGGCAATACTACATCTGTATTTCTTATTATATTGTTATAATGCTATTAAACTATTTTTATGACAGTGTTCTTCGATTCTGAGCAATAATCTTAGCCATTATATATAGAAGCATAAATTGGTTTACTATATAAAGATAGTTATAGCTATGGCCATGACACACTTTAATTTAACAAATGTTTTCCATTCTTGCTTTGTTTATTTCCACCTTTTAGGTATAAAATTAGTATCACAAAAGGTTTATCAAGACTCATTTTTTGGGTTTGTAAGTGCTTGATTAGGAATTACTAGATATTTCTTATCAGAGTGGCATTGTCATGTTTATTTGTTCTTTGAGTAAAACTTTCTACTGTATCATTAATATAAACACACAATCTCCATAGCAGTAGTAGCATCAATTAGACATGTGGGTGTGTTTAAGGTATATCTATTAAAGACAGATTACAGTGGCTTCTGTGCATCGGTTCTGCTCATTTATAACATTGGGGACTCCATGATTTAGAAATTGCCCAAATTTAGCATGTTTTGAATTCTTCTGAACATAAACTCTATCTCTTATTCATTTAGAAATTTAGTAAACTGAAATGGTGATAAATATTCTGACAGAACAGAATATTTTAAAAAATAGCAATGCGATATGTAAACACATTGTTTGTTTATACATTAAGTTTGGATTTGGAGTGAATATAACTTAATGTACATTTGAAACTTGAGATAGGTTGTAATGTACAAGGCTACAAATATAAGCTATGATGTCATTTCAAGGACTCGGCGCTTCTGTCAACTATAAAAACTCACAAGGACTAACTGATGCAATCTGTCTGCATCGGAATATCTCATTGCTTTGGACGTTAATTGATACTGAACTAGGCATATGAATATTAGTAAATAATTAACTGAATGCTGCATACAAGCACAGCAATAATTGTAACATACCAATACTGTCACCCATACTCCCAGGAAATATATCAGTCAAGGATTCGCCACCAAACATACTCAACAAATCTGTTGTATTTATGTTTGGCAACGTGATATCTGACCCTTCGGCCATGTTTGAGCCTAACCAAGAAATAGAAACAAAATGTTAACTTGCAAAGGCAAATTAGCTAGAAAATGATGAAAATTATTACTAAAATTTATTAATCAATGAATGAAAATTATGATTATATTTGAATTAAGCATATGTATTTTTCCCAACCCATCTTACTCTATTAGCTGGAACACAAATTGCTAAGACATAAAAATTATTGTTACTCTAGTCCATCTAATTGCACAAGTTTGTCCTAGTTTATTTTTTCAATCTGATTGCCATTCAATGCCATCCATTATACCGGTATATATAATTTTATTATCCTACGTATCAATGCCATTTAGTTCTACTGTTCATTCAGTGGTAAATGTCATAAGTGGATAAATGACCCATTCGCTCACAGGCAGGGAGTTTATAAACATTAACATGTGCCAGAATAAGTTTGGATTTGGAGTGAATATAACTTTGGTTATGTCAGACTTTGGTTAGGACTTGGATAGAAAGAATTTATAAGGGGAGTGTCAACTTGTTCACAAATGCAACGTGCAACTTTCCGACAAGTTTGTTGCAAGTCAGGTGAAATATGTGTTTGGTGGAAAACATACCTATCCTTAAGCAAGAAGTACATAATAAACTACTACACATTTAACATTATTTCTTCTAATATTTAATATTTTTAAAAGCGTACATTTGTTTAGTTGAAACTGAAAGAATTTAAAAAATCCTTTTATAAATCATGGTTTCTTCAACATTGGGGTAATGTACTGGCATTTGGATGACAAAAAGTTAGAACGCATGTTTGTAATACAAATATGTGAAATACAGCCATATATATAGAGTCCTGAAATCATGAAATTCATAGCAATATTTTACACCATATTAAATTTCATTTCATATATTCAAGGCAATATATACCTTAAAGAATAAATTTGTGATTAACAAGTAGAAAAAATCTGTATCCAAGCGAAGAGTACAATAGAAAGATATTATTTTGTTCGATTTGAAGACAGACTTTCACATTTTTCATCTTAAATGTTTAAGGAAGAAATGAAACCTACCTGAATAAGCAATTTATGTCCGCCAAATTGTTAGTCGATTTGTCTTTTATTTCTCCACTACGGCACTTCGCGAAAGCGACGAAAAAGTGAGACCAAATCGGTTACATTTTAAGTACAGATATAGATGATGTATTCGTTTCGAAAGCTCTGTATATTTTGGTAGGAGCATAAGAAGGGACTTTCCAAAATCTAGTGGGGCTTTCCCACACGTTTCATTTAGTAAAAGTTAGTAAAGTTCGAAATAATCATGTGACGCAGAATAATTACGTCATTTTACCGCCAAGTCTAAATTTAGACGCCGAACTCTGTATAAAAACTGGAGCGTGGCGGGCCTCGTCGATCTAATTCCTGTCGGCTGATATGCTGCATAACGACGTCGTTTTTGAAAATTTCATGTAGAAAAGCTTTACAAATTTCTAGTTTCACGTAATACTAATGAAGTAAAATGTAACTTGAATTAATTAAATTGTCAATTAGGATGAAACAGGGCCGTAACTAGAACGATAATTGGGGGGGGGGGTGTTTATTCATATATTCAGTTCTGCCCGACGGATTTCTTTTGTAAGTGCAATAGCTCACAATGGAAATCCGTCGGGCAGAATTGAATATATGTGTTTATGATGGAGAGAATATTCACGAATATTTTGGTGTAATTGGCCTTATCAGCGAATCTAATTTTCGTTCACAGGAACGTTCGAGAAAGTAGCTTCTACGCAGACTGAATTTTAACTTGCTGGAATTTATCCCTTCACAAACCTCTAGCAAATTAGAATTAGTGATGGTATGAATACGCGTGCCAGGTCTGGGCATTATAATATTCGACAGAGTAAAGCCGGTTTTCCACTAGCGATATTTTTCGCGCGAATCGACATTTTACTTTTGTTTCAGAGCTCTCAACTGCAACCATCTGGAACAGATTGCTCAAATACAAAGGAATAAAGTCGCTTCGCGCGAAAAATATCGCTAGTTGAAAACCGGCTTAAGTCGTACTCGTTGTCGCTGCTAAAATTGACTACAAAGTCGTTGAGGGATCGCCGAGAAAAATTATGTGAACAACAGAAGTTCTTTGAGAACAACATTAAACGTACATAATTTATAACTAATTTTAAGAATTTTTTATCACTGCACATATCATCACGATAGTATAGTGGAAAGGGGCATGATGAAAATGGTCCTAACTGGAAATTGGTAATTTAAAGATGGGCCAGGAATTGTAGGAGGTCTACAGGATCTCTTGCAGCAAATTTTCTGTATTTTTGAGTTCCTATGACTTGATTTCCAGCATTTTGGGGATCAACTACTTATGAATCCACCTCGGAATCCACATTTCTCACTTTATCACTGCACATTCCACTTTTATCACTGCACAAATTAGTTATCACCGCACACTAAAATTAGGTATGACATAATTAACGAAAACTCTGAGATGAGAGATCCGAGTATTACCACCAACACTGATTGTATCCGGATACGATTTACAATATTACCAATGTGTAAATCAGTATCGTAATTATTTATGTAGAACTAAATGTTTTAGGAATTCGTTTTCCCCCCAAAGTATTTTAATAAGCCGGAACACTAATAATAAATAGGTTAATTTTATATCTATTGTATTCAACTGTACGTAGTATTAAGTAGTTCTAATTTTTGATCAATTTTAGTACTACAGGTGTAATTTAACCTTTAGAGTTACAAAGTCAGTATGATTTTTAATAATAATAATAATGATTTATTATTTACTCTGTGGCGAATACAACTGAAGTCTGTGCTATTTTGTGGTAACATAGTCCAAGAAGACAGGCATTCCCTCTGCATGAGGATTATTGCTCTATGGAATATTTATTGATTTTATAACCTATAATATAGTTTGTTATTATTTTTGTTAATTGTAATGTAGCGCTAGTGAGTGTAGTGATAAAATGATTATTCGTCATTATGCGTCAGTCGTAATTCGTTGTAATTCGGTTTTCATATGTCTCACTGATTTCGCATAACAACGAATCATGAAGTACAGCGAGTTACGACATGTGAATTAAATTCTGTAAAAGCCTGTTTTTCATATATCGTGATTCAGCGGTGATGACAGTTGTCGGTGGACATTGATGCATGAAATAATTATTTTGTAGGAAAATATTCCATTTTTATTAATCACAGACAACAGACTGTCGTATAGGAAGGACATTAGATGGTTTAAAATAACGTCATTATCAGTTTTAATGAATTCATTTATTTTTACACACGGATATAAAGCTGCACTGGTCTGAATTGGCTAATTGAAATGTTTAAAGCTTGTGATAACCTCCTCCCTCGGGCCATTTGTTCAAAAGCCGGTTAGCTTTACCCTGGGTTAAAGTAAATCTTTAAATCAATTTTTTAATCGCTAGTTTACAAAGTTGCATGAATATCTTTTACCATAACTGATATTTTCTTGACGAATAAAAGCCATATTTTGTTAAGGTTTTAGATCCATGCAGGATTAGCGCTAACCCAGCTTTGAACAACTGGTCCCTGCGTGGCTTAGTATCGGTCTAATGAAGCGTTCGACATTTCCTTGAATAGAACACCAAAATCTTTTATATTTAAAAACATGCAACCTGTATACGTTGTAACTATTTCAATTGACGGTTGTGATTACTGAAGCTAGCTGGCCAAAAGGGAAACTCTTTTTTCTAAAAGTCTCACCTCGCACAAGTTTTGAGGTAAGAAGATGATAATATAGATGACACGCAAAGTGAAAGGTTCACACAAACATGTGCAGTAGTAATTTATTTAAATATTCTCAAAAATATTAGCCAAAAAAGCATTTCTCATATACATCTTTAATTATTTTTAATTAAAAAAACCGAACCTAAAGTAGGTGTGATTAACCTGTATATATAGGAATAATCACAGTTAATGGCAATGGGGAATAATGTAGGCGAGACTAACTTTTAGAAGTATTTTGAGTGTCAGCAGGTAGCAACTAAATAATATATTTTTGAAGCTAAAGCGGCAACAAAGGCAAACTCAAGAATTTCAAAATTTACCGTTATTTTCGACCAGTTCACGGGCGATCATGAAAGGAGTAGGTTGAGTTCACCTAGCGTTTTAAACCGTTCAATGCTCACGACAAGAATACTCGGAACACCAAAACCTATATACAGTTTATCACGTTGTTAAACTTCTTTATAATGGTTGATATTATAAATACTAAAGCTTGGAATTTAATGAAATTCTATTCATGGGCACTATGCATATAAGTAGCAACTTCAGTCCAGTGTACTTAACTTAAATATCACTGGATCGCCAGCGACCTGATTTTGCCGGATTGTTGAGTGAAGCCAAGATGGGGGAAATTGAAGCCTTTCTTAAAGTGGTGTTTTTGCGTGGTCACGAATTAAGAGTGAAAACATGGTCAGCAGCCCGTGCCGGATATGCTGTGGAAATCGAACAGGAATTATATATTAAATAATAATCCTTTAAATAGAAACGTTCTGAATTCAGCATCGATGCTAAAGCATGCATAAAGAATTCCAATCAACCAATTCGGAACAATGCAGCTTTATATCTCGACCAATGAAACGCTACGAACACCAAACTTTAACAAGTGGTACGCAGTGTTAGGCAATAAAAAAATTTGAGTAGGTAACCCCCCCCATACAATAACGGAAGTAATTAGTATTCAAAGTATAGAAAGGGTAATTAGTATTCAAAGGGTAGAACTGAAAGGTAATTAGTATTCAGAGGCTGATTTTCCCGAAGTTATGCGTGGTCTCCACGCAGGGTGAGAGTGTGAGGTTATTAAACCGTAATTAAGTACACAGTAAGGATTTGCGAGAAAAATATTTTATTTGTCAGGTAATACACACTTAGTATGTCAACATTTTAATAGTATGTTTCTTTCCATAGCATTAGGACTGTTTATTTTACTACGTGATATTATGAGAATGTTTCTTTCAATCCTACTAGGACTGTTCGTTCATTTTAAGAGTTCATTTCTTAAATAATCTGAAGGGAACAGGTTTCTTATTTCTGCTTGTGATTACATTTGTCTCTCCAGCCATAACCCGTACGCTTCTACTTCAACTTTAGGTCAATGTTGATATGCGTCGGTTGCCAGGCCGAGGAGATCCTTTTTGCGAGGAGATCCTTCTCGTATCAAACATATTGTTTACAAAAGGTAATTAGTGTTGCGCTACGGTGTGCGCTACTCCCACGCGTGATGATGTGCGCACAAGCATTTGTTTACACACATTGTCAGTTGATGACTTTGTTCAAACGCGTTTATGCATACATTACTGGTAATAGGTTTTAATGACAGGACGAACCTGAACATGTTCCCCTCCAAACAAAGAGTAACTTGCACATAAATATCGCACATCAAACAAAAATTGCCCGAGAAAACACAGCAATGGAGTGCTTACATGGAGTGCCTGCGACCGCAATCTCTACCAAGAAAGGAAAGTTTTGGGTTTGTAACAAGAACAACCCTAAATGTTGTGAATTCTTTTGCCCTGAACAAGATCGTTCGCTCTTTGATACGGCTATGATGATGTGAAGGGCGAATGGCGCGATTCATCCGCTGTGTGACACACACCAAAGACCGACCAAGATGAAAGTTGTGAAGGATCTAAGAAACTGACGTAACTTTGGGAGACCGTTCTTGTTGCTGCGATCGTAAAAATCCGTGTAACTTTTGGCAATGGGGTGACAGATTAGAGCTCCCGAAACCGAAGTGTCAGCACGGGATAAACTGCTGTGTGGGGGTTGAACGCCGGAAATAGTTGTATTAAAACAGATATAGATTTGCGTTTTAACATTTATTCATCTAACGATTAATTACAGCAATAAATTGTAATACATCAAAATCTCATTTCGTATCCCTTTTTGTTCGTTTGCCATGGATTCGTCAACAAACGCTCTATTAGTAAACCTTTTAAATCGCTTTCTTTATTTTACTATTTCTTCAAACTTGTATTCGTTCAAAAGTCTTTTGATAAGAAACTTTCTCTTATCAATAGCAGCTTCTATTGCTTCTTCTGGATCAAAATCATCGTTTTCAACAAATGCATCTTTTGTGTTCATTATTTTCTTATGTATCGGGTCTTTCTTTAGTTGTCTCATCCACAAAAGGCGCTCCATATAAATATTTTCTAATTCTTTCTGAAGGTTAGGCATGATGTTCGAGAAAGCTTTCCCTTTGGCAGAGTGCTCATCAAAACCACTGTTTACAAGGCTTTCTTGCATTTCTTCGAAAGCTCTATTACTTCTTTGCATTGCTTCTTCTATAAGCGGCATCCATGGGTCCATTTTTTTTCAGATTCTGAGTCAGTCGTCGTCGCCGAACTTTCAGACTGCTGACTGGAAGTGGTCGAGACATCCTCTCGGAAATCTCCACCTTCGCTGTCATAGTCTGTTTGAGACATGTTTCTTTCTTGCTCTCGTAGTGGACAATACTCCCGTTCGTGTCTGCGCTGATTGTAACTGCGGCTGAAGTATCTTCCGCAAAATTGGCAGCTCATCCCCTTAGCACTAGCAGTGTGGAAATGCCTTGTTATCGAGCAGCAATGCAGGTTTTATGAACAGATGAGCAACTGCTCATGAGCAGTTATGAGCATGTGCTCATAGGCCCGTTTGGGCCCTATATGGCCTTATATGGCACTATTAGGCCCGATGGCCCGATTGCTGACTGGGCGTCCCAACCCGCGAATATGGACAAATATTCCATTAAACATCTACGCGGTACTTTAATTTCGTAGTCCAGTACATGCACACAAACTAAAATGTTAACCATCCCTTATGTACTTTCTTCGTTTTCCCCGAGGTAGAGGTTCTTCGTTTACGACTAGGCTGCACATGCTTTAATTTTGCAGTGCTTAAGTAAACATTAAAGTTTCTCTCCATCTCTTCTTGGCGCTCTAATAAATCTTCCAGACACTCCTCCATATTGAATTCCTTTGGTTCTTTACTCTGTCGAGGTACACATATTCCTATCTTACTCCACTTTAACCATTTCTTGCGTTCCTCTGTGTCCATACCGTGTACTTGGTCGAGATGATTTGCTAACCTTGCTAAATTTGTACTACCACAGCCAAACACAGGGCAGTTCCTACGCGTGCGACCCATATTTAGATGATTGCTCAACAAATTCCTAATAATAATTGGCTCATTTTTTCGTGTGTCAGGTATTTTATTAGGCCCGTTTGGGCCCTATATGGCCTTATATGGCACTATTAGGCCCGATGGCCCGATTGCTGACTGGGCGTCCCAACCCGCGAATATGGACAAATGTTCCATTAAACATCTACGGGAGCAAGTAAAACAGGAAGAACAAGCCAACATGACAAAATTCCCAACGTCTTCGCAAGCTCTACCAATACTAACACGAGAGGAAATGGTCCCCTACAAGCATTATGGGCAAGGGAAAATTTTTGTCAAGTTAGACTACGGCACAATCTACCAGGCTGGGGATAATTTGGAAGAACAAAAGGGGGTATGGTGAATGCGAAAATGTATACATTTTTAGATATATATTGGTGTTATGGACAACGCGTTGCTTGGAGCATAAATTAAGACACGGATTAACGCTTGTAACAAAATAATTAGGTAGAACAATTTTACAAATATTTTAAACATATTGTCCAGGCACTACACTGTTTTCTTGTTTAGATCGTTTGACCTCGTCTTCCGTAAGCAAAAGTTTGCGTTGACAAGCCCGGACTTGTCCGGGTTGGGACGCCCAGTCAGCAATCGGGCCATCGGGCCTAATAGTGCCATATAAGGCCATATAGGGCCCAAACGGGCCTATGAGCACATGCTCATAACTGCTCATGAGCAGTTGCTCATCTGTTCATAAAACTGCATTGCTGCTCGATAACAAGGCATTTCCACACTGCTAGTGCTAAGAGGATGAGCTGCCAATTTTGCGGAAGATACTTCAGCCGCAGTTACAATCAGCGCAGACACGAACGGGAGTATTGTCCACTACGAGAGCAAGAAAGAAACATGTCTCAAACAGACTATGACAGCGAAGGTGGAGATTTCCGAGAGGATGTCTTGACCACTTCCAGTCAGCAGTCTGAAAGTTCGGCGACGACGATTGACTCAGAATCTGAAGAAAAAATGGACCCATGGATGCCGCTTATAGAAGAAGCAATGCAAAGAAGTAATAGAGCTTTCGAAGAAATGCAAGAAAGCCTTGTAAACAGTGGTTTTGATGAGCACTCTGCCAAAGGGAAAGCTTTCTCGAACATCATGCCTAACCTTCAGAAAGAATTAGAAAATATTTATATGGAGCGCCTTTTGTGGATGAGACAACTAAAGAAAGACCCGATACATAAGAAAATAATGAACACAAAAGATGCATTTGTTGAAAACGATGATTTTGATCCAGAAGAAGCAATAGAAGCTGCTATTGATAAGAGAAAGTTTCTTATCAAAAGACTTTTGAACGAATACAAGTTTGAAGATGAATAGTAAAATAAAGAAAGCGATTTAAAAGGTTTACTAATAGAGCGTTTGTTGACGAATCCATGGCAAACGAACAAAAAGGGATACGAAATGAGATTTTGATGTATTACAATTTATTGCTGTAATTAATCGTTAGATGAATAAATGTTAAAAACGCAAATCTATATCTGTTTTAATACAACTATTTCCGGCGTTCAACCCCCACACAGCAGTTTATCCCGTGCTGACACTTCGGTTTCGGGAGCTCTAATCTGTCACCCCATTGCCAAAAGTTACACGGATTTTTACGATCGCAGCAACAAAGAACGGTCTCCCAAAGTTACGTCAGTTTCTTAGATCCTTCACAACTTTCATCTTGGTCGGTCTTTGGTGTGTGTCACACAGCGGATGAATCGCGCCATTCGCCCTTCACATCATCATAGCCGTATCAAAGAGCGAACGATCTTGTTCAGGGCAAAAGAATTCACAACATTTAGGGTTGTTCTTGTTACAAACCCAAAACTTTCCTTTCTTGGTAGAGATTGCGGTCGCAGGCACTCCATGTAAGCACTCCATTGCTGTGTTTTCTCGGGCAATTTTTGTTTGATGTGCGATATTTATGTGCAAGTTACTCTTTGTTTGGAGGGGAACATGTTCAGGTTCGTCCTGTCATTAAAACCTATTACCAGTAATGTATGCATAAACGCGTTTGAACAAAGTCATCAACTGACAATGTGTGTAAACAAATGCTTGTGCGCACATCATCACGCGTGGGAGTAGCGCACACCGTAGCGCAACACTAATTACCTTTTGTAAACAATATGTTTGATACGAGAAGGATCTCCTCGCAAAAAGGATCTCCTCGGCCTGGCAACCGACGCATATCAACATTGACCTAAAGTTGAAGTAGAAGCGTACGGGTTATGGCTGGAGAGACAAATGTAATCACAAGCAGAAATAAGAAACCTGTTCCCTTCAGATTATTTAAGAAATGAACTCTTAAAATGAACGAACAGTCCTAGTAGGATTGAAAGAAACATTCTCATAATATCACGTAGTAAAATAAACAGTCCTAATGCTATGGAAAGAAACATACTATTAAAATGTTGACATACTAAATGTGTATTACCTGACAAATAAAATATTTTTCTCGCAAATCCTTACTGTGTACTTAATTACGGTTTAATAACCTCACACTCTCACCCTGCGTGGAGACCACGCATAACTTCGGGAAAATCAGCCTCTGAATACTAATTACCTTTCAGTTCTACCCTTTGAATACTAATTACCCTTTCTATACTTTGAATACTAATTACTTCCGTTATTGTATGGGGGGGTTACCTACTAATTTGCCTGTAATTTTACTTTAAAATTTTATTTTATCGAGTATTTATTTAGTATATTCTATCGATTGACTTTGGACCATTTAATCCTTTCAGTCATCCATATGATTTTATTATTCTACATCAAAATGTACAAGATGTGACTTTTAGGAGTTCCGAGTTTCCCCCATTAATCGCAATGGTGAACGGGTATATCATGAAGAATATGAAAAGATTGTCAGATTGGCGAAATATCAAAGTCACACAAATGACACAATTGCAAATTTATAAATATAATTTATAAATAGTATCGAAATGTTCGTCAGAAAGAAGCGTGAATCACGTGAGAGTGCATGACGAAATTCTGATGTCGCTCGCTTACATCGATCAAAATCAAGACTCGGAACAAGTATAAAAAAACGTTAACCCGACTTCGCCTAAATCGCCTCGTGAAATATTGACGACTGCTATCGGTCCGCAAAGCATGTTTCCTTCGGTCGCGGTAAATAAGTGTTTAGTAAAAATAAAATTGCAGGCAGCATATGTTCTTTGAAATTACTTATTTTTGAGACAAAAAAAAACTGACAAGTCACTTGACCAATGAGGCATAAAAATCGTCAATAATCAACAACTGATTCCAAGCAGGATCCTTTGTCGCTTTATCGTGCCTTATCAATTATTTGATGCACAATATTTTGCCTCACAGTCACAGAGCTATGAAGATCTTCGTTCTAATAACCTTGATTGCAGTAACAAGGATCGTCAGAAATGCCACTTCTAGTGCAGCAGTGGATCCAGGGTAAGTCAGTGGCAGATCTGGAAATATTCTTTAGAAATGAATAACCCACAGCGTTGTTATTAAGGTATTTTAAATTACGCCATGACGCACCCTGAATCCACCATTATTTTCAGTGAACGGCTTGATGTAAAAGCAGAATTACGTGGAAAAAAAATTAAGAAGCCACCTGCGCAGTTGCCGACTGTAAATAAGGTTATCACCAAGCCAAAAACCAAGCTCAAGGTCAATGGTAAGGTCAAGGCTCTTCATCAAAAGTCGTCTACTACAGTCCATCAGTTCATCCGTATAAGAACCATCTGAGGAATCCTATACGAATGAAACAGAATGTAGTGACGATTTTTGGTAAGCAAATACTTCTATATCTATATGGTATTGAGAACTTTCTTTATAGTATTTCGTAAACCAAACGACATTTATCGATATGGCATTATTAAACAATCACTTACTGGTTTCCGTGTTTGGATGGTCTGATGCAGACGCGGGGACGTTGCGAGAAAAAGCGCGCGAAACGCGTGACTTTGCGAGCATTTCTTAACTCAAACAACATTCCCAAGTGTTTGGAATTCAGTGGACCAGAAAACCACTGAAGACAGGAAACCATTAGGCACTGATTGTTTTATAAAATAACAACAACTGAAGGTAGTGTTCCTAGTTTGATTTCAAAAAGCGAATTAAATTTCCGTGTCTGGATGGCCTGATCTAAACACGGGCTTCACCAATCAGAACACGCGTTTTATAGATATTATTTTATAAATATGCATAAAAATGTTTGAATTACATCAATACGGCGCGGTCATTTTCACTCAGCGTCCTGCCCTCGAGAAAGTGCAAAATTACATTTTCATAAATCTCGTGCTGAGAATGGTCTGTCAAGTACGTCTATATTTATATTCAGCAAAAAAAGTGTGGTTAACTGATGGATTCAATTCACCCACGTCGAAGTGCGCATGTAATTTCGCCGGTGGATGTGATCCGGGGACGAATATGGTGTTGCCAGCTGCACAGGCTGATCCGCGAAATTCGACCCTAAAACAATAATCCGACCGTCATTTCAAACGTCGCATTTCGCATGTGCTGAATTCAAATAGTTGCCGGCTCTATTTCTTATGATCAGCGACAGTCCGCTTGGGCGTAGATCAAAAATGTCATATTTCTAGAAATCATTTTCTTGCTATTATTTTCCTCATATTCTTAACTACTTCCCATGCAGCAAGCCAGCCTTGGGATTCTTCGTTTTGTTCGTGTACTGCGCAACGCCGGATTACAAACAGACGCGGTAGGCAAATGTATTTTGTCAACTTTCTTGGACACGTAATACAATACGATTGTTCTGGTTCATTTCTTTTGTCTACGGCCTGCAAATTTCCATACGAGTGTCTTTCAATATCATAACATGCATGACGTTTTTTGCCTTTTTCTTCAAGCGAATTGAATTCGACACATGCAAAATGCGACCTATGAAACCACGTCGCACCCAGCTCGCATAATGCGACCGAACCAGTCGAATTTGACGTCAAGGTCGACCGCAATTAAAGAAGGCGAATTCAATTGTTTCAGACGTCGTATCTCGCATGCAGATAATTCAAACAATTGTATTCGACACATGCAAAATGCGACGTTTTTATGAGTTTTCCTTTGAAATTTCCGCGCCAGAGACGTGGATCATACCTACAAGAAAGGCTTCATGATCCGCCTTCTTAGCTTCCTTATTAATGAGGGAAAAAGTCGGAGAGTAAGCGTTCCAGTCTTCTTTGAGTTCACTGATTCTTATCGAAAAAAATTCTGAATTTAAGCAGGCAAATAGTTTCCCCAACACTTGAAAAATTGCCAAAGTAAAATATATCGCTTGACGTGGTCCTATACCGAAAAATTTTATTAGACTTAGAAACTCGGGTTTCACCAGTGGTCAAAACGAATTTGCTAACTTTTTATAGCCAACCCAAATATAAAACGGAAGGACATTTGGAAAACAACAAGGGATACGACACTGTCAATGCACCCAGAGGACTTGCCAAAAAATGATGACTATATAAATGTGCAAGTGAGCACAATCACTGTTATGAAGATCAGAATGGAATGCTTTGGAATTGGGATGGTACGGGACCATGCCATAACCCCAAGCCCTTCATAGCCATCCACAAAGGTCATATGATCGCCGCTAGTTACGGAAAAACCCACGGAACACAGAATGGCATCGATGCCACATTTGCCTACACAAATGCCGTGCCACAGGAAGGTTCCTTCAATTCTGACCTGTGGAGGGTTGCCGAGGGTAACTTAATGAAAAGGGCAAAAGCCTGTCAAGAAGCTGCCATGCAAAATGGCATGGGTTCAAAAACGTATGTTGTGGTTGGCGTGATTCCATCAAGTTTCCTCGGAAAGCGAAAATTCTTTGGCTCGGCTGGTTTCGGCAGTTACCAAGGCGAAGCGAAATGGCGAGCAGGACATTACAGAATCTCGTTACCCGAGATCTTGTGGACAGCTGCCTGCTGTATTCTTACTAATGGTAACGTTGGAGACAACTTTGGCTTTTGGAGACGCAATATCGTTAACCCTCAAAACGTCGCAGTTAAGGAAGCTAACTCCCCTTCCAATATGTTTGCGGCTATTCAGCAAGAAATATCTCAGATTTCGCCTGGTATTAATTTCAATCCCCCAACAGTTTTTCCAAGTTTCCCAGCTTGCAATTAGGTACCTGTTACTTAAGGTACTTAAGTAACGAAGAAAGTATATAGTTCTTCAGCCTTCTGAGAATATCATTTTCATGTCAAAAGCAGGAGGCCAAGTAGCGTAGCCAGGCTGTCGATTTGTCCCGCTATGCTAATATTTTTGTGTTCACCGACTGTTAAAACAATTGATTTCTAAAGACATGAACAATTATAATAACTAGAAATTTACATAGCGGGTCAAAATCGTCAGGCTGGCTACGCCACTGAGGAGGCCTGCGACAAGATACGCGAAAGCGAAGCTAGCCAGACTTTCTCTTGCTGAAATTCAAAATCATTCGACGTTCACTAAATAGACGAATTGATAATTTTGAAATTTCGGCAGTAAAGAACCTGAATCATTCACCTGTCTTGCAGCAGGCCTCTTGCTCTTTTTTGAATAGGTTCATTAGATACAAATAACCAAGTATATGGAAATTAGAAAACCACATCCTTTTGCCGCTGGAAATAGACATTCATAGTAATAGACATGCATGTTGGTGACATTCTTAATAAATGAATTTAAATTTTCTTCCCTTTATATTCAGTCGGTTTCATTCCAATCACAACGAGTCGTATCAGTGCTGAGTGAATTTGGTAGATAATAATAATCAACGTTTTGGTAGAATGTCATCTAAATTTTAAACAAACAAGCGAAAAATTAACCGATATTGAACCACAGCAGAAACCTCAACAAACAGATGGGATTAAACTCTCATCGGCAGAGAATTTTCTAATTCTACGTAATCCCACGAACCTTTACAAGCAGACAAGTATAATAAATCGAAAACTTTCATGCACTCGTTGTGAAGGACGCAAACAGACTTGCCAACCATGAAGTAATTTCTTTTTCTAAACATTGGCACATCCCGAAAATATAGGCCAAGAAAGATTTAAAATTTTCGCAACTTTGCATCAGAAAACAGGAGGAAAATACTCGTTTGCACAAGAGAGAGTGGGAGGATAATGCTCGTTTGCACAAGAGAGTGATTTCTCAACAAAAAAACCTGCTCTTAAAATTTTACTAACTTAATTAATACTGGGCAGCTGTTGCGTAACTTGTTTTGAGCATCAGAAATAATTCCAAAAGCAACAATTAATCATCACTGAATTCAGTTGGACTATAAAAAAGGCCGATTGTTTTGTGTTGACATCGTTAAAAACTTACGTCTTTTGAACGTCCTAATACAGCCCATGCAGATGGTCTCGGGTCCACAAAACATAATGCTTCCTTCGTTCGTAATAAATAAGCGTTAAATATACAATATCCCAGTGGTTATAAGCATTTCGCTGTATTATTTTCCTCACAAATGTGAGCCGGTGCTTTTCTGGTATTGAAAAATAACTAGAATCCGAGAATATGAGGATCCGAAGAAAAGGAAGCGGAAAAAATGGACTTCTAATATAATTTCACGGGTCATCGCCTTTGTGCCCCAGAGCATGCTCTTACTATTGAGCTGAGGAGAATGCTGCTTATGGAAGGCAGCAAAAATACGAAGGTATGCATATGTTGTATTGTTTAGGGGTAGTGCGTAACTCCAACCATGAAACACCGGTATAGCTAGGCTAAGGCCCCCTCCAAGGAAAGCTCCAAAAAAGTGAATCCTTTTTATGTACGCAATGAAACTCCTTAGGTTGACTCTCCGAATGAAACCGTCCATCATTGCCACATAAACCCATATAGAATGATATGCACGAGTGATTGTTACAGACTGATAGAATGGCAGCCTGGCCAGACCTATGTTTTTGCTAGCCCCCCCCCCCTTACCTTAAATCCTGGCTACAACCACTGAAACAATACAACCTATTTTTTTACTTCTCCGTAATTTATTGCCATGAGTACTAGTGGGACTCAGAATCGCAGAACCGTAGTTTTGATTTCTGCCTGATCATGACCTGAGGAAATATACTGTTTCAAATTTAATCCGCGCTATAGTTCGTATAACTAAGCGAAATCACAAAATTTTGATTAGTTTTATATAGAACAATACAAGATATATATATATATATATATATTATATATATTATATATATATATATATATATATATATATATATATATAGAATCGATTAAATACTTTTTCGAAAACCGTTTTGAGAGCTGATTGGCTAAAATGCGGGCGCAAGATAACCTGGTTACCCACACTGGGTAGCTAGGCCGGGTCGCTGTTTTCTATTCAGAGTCAGGTTTAAGAAGTATTTAGAAATACCCTATGTATGTATGCATGGCACTGATTTGAATGAGAATGACTGTCAGCAGGAAACCCACAATGTATTCAAGCTAAATTATTTAGTAAATAGTATTGTCATCTGGAGTACGTTTGTGAAAGCTAACTTTAGGAAATCCTATAGAGTTTAGTCGTATACACAACATGGCAACAATGTAATTAACCTCGTATCACGGTAGGTTTTAATTATTTTATCACCCGGCTCAGCGCTAATCTAATCTAAATGACTATGTACGATGCGATACGCAAAACCACCTGAAATACGTTTTATCAAGGTCATATCCAGTGTAATTCAATCTAGTACTTTTAGGTCTGTATGCATGTGTCATCACAAATAGGCTTTTATCTTTATGTGTAAAAATTGGCGGTTAAACAAGCCCGGCAAATGTCACAATTTCCTTGTGACATGTTATGTAACCGCAAAGAATGCTAGAACATAAAATATGTCGGTCGCTTTGTTCTTTACAATTTACTCTGCTTCAGTGCCCTCTCAATAATATACATGTATATATATATATATAGATATATATATATATAGATATCGAGCACTCTTTCTTCTTAGATACTTTACTATATATATAGATATATATATATATACACACCCGTTTACAAAAACGTTGTCGCGGGATAGACTGATAGATAGTTATACATAAGTGTTCATTAGAAATTATGATCAGGCATACATTACATATGGTAATGAACTGAAATACATCTATCTATCCATAAAAAGAAAATATCGTATAAAATTGCAGCAAAAGTGTAAACGGGCCTTTAGAATTAAATGAGACCATTTGGAATGTTCATTCAACGAAGGTATACGTACCTTAACCGGTGTTGGACTGCTTATGTGCTATCCTCTAGAACCATTACACTGAATATTATAATACTGATATAAATATTATTAGATATGCCAAAAATAATTGCTGATTGATTCAAATAAATGTCCTGATATGCTGAGTTAAAATTTAAAAGCGGAAGTAGCTTGCACTTTCAACCACGTAAAATAAGGACGATTGTCAGCGTCGAGCGACATTTTCATCCAATTCTAAAACCGAAATAACTTTACATACAATAGGAATTTAATGTGACCATGGCATCATCATCAGCTCTTGAAAGTTCTGAAGAAAAGACGAATGGGTTTAAGTTGATGAGATTGATTGTAGACGGAGGAACAGAAGTGTTGAGGAATGTCTTCATGAGCAAACACTCAGGTAATTTGCACACTGTTCTGTCAACCCACTATGCTACACTTGATCATCTTTTCCAAAAAAGAATAATCACGGAACCGCAATGGGATAAATTGTATCCTCACCCACCTCAAATCCCAAACATTCAAGAATTTGACATAACATTACTTGTTATTTTGTTGCGAAATATGTGTGGCATACCTCCTCCAAGTACAGGATGGAACGTTTTGCCAAATGATTCTGACACTTCTTGTGCAGCTAACATTGTTCGCATTAGGCTATTCCGTAATGATTTTGCTCACTCCAAGGAAACAGGTGTCAGTGCGACCGAGTTTGAAACTGTTTGGAACGATGTTAGTTCGGCTTTGGTTGGATTAGGATTTAGTCAAGCAGAAATAGACAGATTAAAGGAAGAGGAATGTGGAGAAGAGGAGGTGAATCGTGTGAGAAGAGAATGGAGTGAAAGTGATAGAGAAGTTATGTCAAGACTAGATAGAATTGAACAAAATCTCAAAGAGAACGCACAATCATTCACAGACGACATTCTTAGCAATTTCCTTCACTATTGTGACTTTAAAATAGAGATACAAATTTTAGTCGAAAGGTTCTCAACAGGCACCCGTGAATGGGTCTTCCAACAAGTCGAGAAATGGCTAAATTCTCCGTCCGATAGTCGCGCGTTCATTATTTCTGCTCAAGCCGGGATGGGCAAATCCACTATCGCTGCGGTTGTATGCAAACGTTTTTCGGCACAATTAGCAGGCTGTCACTTTTTTCAGTACAATAACAGCAGGTACAATAAACCAAAGTTTCTGCTGCAGTCATTAGCATTTCACTTGTGTAACGCATTTCCGCAATATAAGAAAAACCTTTGCAGCAAAATTTTAGGTAAGAAAGGAGAAATATTAGAAAATATGAATGTTGAAGGATTATTTTCATTGCTGTTCATAGAGCCACTGACTGAAATTCCTGATCCAGGTGAAAATTCTCTAATCGCGATAGATGCGTTAGATGAATGTCGACAGGAGGAAAGGATCGAGCTTGTTGATTTGATTGCTAATCATTTTCACAAATTTCCTCAATTTATTCGATTTTTTATCACGACAAGGTCACAGCAAGATATTGCGCAAAAATTTCAAAAATTAAACCCATTGTTTCTGAAACCAAGTGATGAACGAAATTTAAATGATCTCCGTGTTTTTTTAAATGATAAATTAAAAACGGAAAAAATGAATGATTTCAGCAAAAAGGAACTTGTGGAAAATCTTGTTAAAAACTCTGAAGGTCTGATACTCTATGCATCTTTTCTCTGCAAAATTTCTGCCAACAGTTCAATCAATGTCAAAAGCTTGCCCAAAGGAATTGACAAGATTTACGAATCGTATTTCAATCGCTTTGAAAGAGAACTAAAAGGTATAGGGGTTGATGAAAAAAAATTTCTAATGTTTTTAAATGTGTTAGCAGTGGCAGAAAAATCTCTACCTTTAACACTTATTGAATCGTTTTTCCGTCGTTTTAACAAGGATTCGTTTAATCTAGAAAGAGCTATACAAAAAACAATCAGTTGCATTTCTTCGCTACTCGTCATTAAAGACGAGTGTGTGTCTTTCTTTCACAAATCTGTTAAGGACTGGCTTGGGAGACAAATGCATCGTTTTTCAATCAACGAAAAACAAGGGCATGAGATTTTGGCTGAAATTTGTATGTCCAAAATGAAAACATGGAAGACAATCCAAGTTAGGCCGACATTCGACTGTGCTTTAGAATATGCCGTACAATACGGAATATTACATTCTTTACAGGTTGATTTAGAGGAAGGGCAATTTCTGACGAGTCTAGTTGAATATTTTACGGACGTAGGAATTTTGCACGAATCTGTTAGTATTGATGTCTACACAACATTAACGAATCTCACTAGCCTAAAAAATTACATTTTAGAAAACGGGTTATGTCAATACATGCATAACCCGATAAATACGCTCATATCCTTCATAAGGAAATTTGTATACATTTTGAAAGATACTCCACAATCATTTTTGCAGTACGTTCTTAATGAAAGTAACGACGAACGGCTTTCATCCAAAGCAACTGCCTTGCTAAAGACACGTTACACGGAGCTAGCTTATTTCGAAATTGAGGAAAGCAGGGATGATAGGGATGATACTGAGAAGGCAATAAATCGTCTTTTGACTGAGGAAATTATTTGGGACTTTGATGTTTCACGGAATGAAGATTATCTTATATGTGTGTATTTGGGGGACGAGGAAAGCGTGGAAATTCAATTGTTTTCTATTCCTAATTTCGAATCCATCTGGAAACAACACATAAAGTGTTGTCATGGTCACACGTTGATGTCGAGGAGTTTAAATTACTTTTCTGTGCGACCCCGCAACATTGTTTTCCACCCTCTTAGAGACATTATTTTCCCAGGAAGATTAGATAGTGTACTGACTTTAAAGGGGAACTTTGTACCTGGACCGTTCAGAACCTCCGCAGAGTTGAAAATTTGTTGTTTTTCAAACGATAAAAGCAAAATGGCAGCCAGTGATGATGAAAATTTGATGGTTTGGAATCTACACGATAATACTTCTGAGAAAGTAATACAACTCCTTCCGTGCGAGTCCAAATTAACGTCAATTTTGTTCTCTGCTGATGATAGGTTTTTGGCAACGACAAACGAGTTTGAATTGTGTATTTATGATTCCAAAAAGAGTTACAACATTGTCTCATGGTATTCAGAGCAAATAGCCTTAATCTCGACTTCTGGAGAGGATTCCTGGATTATGAAATACCTAGGAGACGAAAAAAAGAATCAACCAGAATTTGTAAGCAATTTTAACCTCTTAAAAAGTAAATCTGTTGCTAAAAAGCGCAAATGCTATAATTTGCTTCCACTAAACACGAGGGCTGTTAAAGTATATCAAGCGGCTGTAAAAGGTAAGAGTTCGAAGCTGCTTGAAAATTTCAATGATTATGGCAGGTTTTTTATCTTAAATGATGAAAGCGCTTTGGTCTTTCATTTTTTTAGAAAACATTTACAATTGGTTCAGCCTGCCGAGCTCAATATTCGCAATCTCATTGTTCGTGGAAATGACTTTTGCACCGATTCCTGTTCAATTTCAGTGGATGGGAAATTTATCTACACTAGAGGTGTAGATAACTCTTTAAAGATTAGTATGCATGAGTTTACTTTGTCAGATACAACAACAAAACTCATTCGAGTTATTCCAAATGCCCCTCATCTTGTTCCTGTAAAAAATGGCGCCTTCGTTTGCGCAGTCGCCTCTTCAGAACCACCCGAATTGTGGAATTTTGATAAAACACAATTTCTTGCCAGTTTTCCTGAACTTGTGGATACTCTTAACTGTCTTTCCGTCTCGGATAATGTAGTTGCTTGTGTTATGGAGTCCCAAGTGTGCTTTTTCGATGCTTTAAAAAGGAAATTGGTTGCACGTATACCTTTTCCGAAGTATCTGTTTACTCAATCTAGGCGTTCGTGGAGTCATATCGCTATGGAGGTCATAGCATGCAGCAGCTTGTACCATGTGCTCGCGGGCCCATTTCTGTTACAAAATGAAAAAACACACGATTTACGACAGCATATACAACCGGAGACTTCTCTTTATAGGGCATTTCATGCATCAGCATTGAGCGCATGTTTTTCTCCAAATGGGGAGCTTTTGGCATTTTCTGGGCGATGCTTGGGAAAGCTGTTCATCTTTGAAATTGACCCTCCAAAAATTTGCTGTCAATTCAAGCGACAATTAGCAGGTGACACAAACTTTAGGGATCTCAAACTTGAATTTGTCAATGAGAAACACCTTCTTTATGCAGAGAAATCTCCTTCCTTATTGCGTTTAGTTGATGTTGATACTTGTACTACATTAACTTGCATCGACTTTGGTCAAAATACGTTCAATAGCTTTTATAAAGTATCTTTCTGTGCATGCCGTAAAACGGGTAGAGTTGTTTGCTATTCCCGCGGAGCCAAAAGACTGAAAATAATCAAACTATGGTTGCCAAACCAACGTTAAAAACACATACATCATAAGATGATTCGCAAGTCATGCATTCAATTCAGTGTTTAGCGCTCCTTAAGTTTTTAGCAATACGTACATAAAGTTTTTAAATTTTTTAGCACTTCAAATACGTATACGTAAAGTTTAAGACTGATCAACTACATTAATTCAGACTAAGTAAAAATAGCTATTTGATATGAAACATAATATATATATAATTATTAAAATTACTAAACTGGATATAAAAACAAATTTGCGTTATAGCTACACAAAAATAACAAATGGCTTTTAGAGATTCTCTTTTATTGCTTTTGGAATTTAAAAACGCTAGAGCTTTGTCGAAGAACCTTAATGAATGGTATTTCTGCTTTATTAACCTACAGGCTATATATGCACACGTCAATTAACACGGCATATATAGAATTCGATAAAATAATGATAATATCGCCGTGAACAGTCCTATACGTCAATGACCACAGTCAATGGTCTGGTTTAAAGGCGAATGTGAAGACATATAACGGAACAGATCCCGAGAAAGGCAATGTCGAATTTGTATGATTTTACCATCAAAACAACAGCCTAAAAATCGAATTGCTCAATGCATGAAAACATTATTCGGAAGAATCCTATAATTATCAATGCAATAAAAGTTTGGTTTCCATGCCACTAACACCAATGTCATGTTTATAAACAGAATGCCAGATTGTTGTTTCCAGAATACTCACCTAATCTTTTTGGTAAGTTCAATTATTTTACAGTGTTTCATTATTTTAGAGTGATTATTTCATGGACTGGAGAGGTGAGAATGAAGTATACTAGATAATTATTCGGGCTACCTGTGGTCTTCCGCGCGGACAGTCGCGTATTTACAGTGTATCAATATAGCTCAGTTTCAGTGCAGTGTATTTACCGGCTACATAGCCCGAGTGAACGCCTACCGGGCGTCTTGTTTCTTAGACAATTGATTAGAACATCATATAATGAAGGTAGTTATGCAAGATGACTTTCACACGCATGCGCAACAGGGGAAATATGAACGACTAAACTTGCTTTATAGCTTTCAGCACAATAATACATTATGTAAATCTGCATGTTGAAGAACGTTGTCAAAAGAAAAGAAAAAAGAAATTTGGGTTCAAAGGAGAAAGGAAAGTAGAGAACAATGGGTAAGGAAAGATCAGGTTATAACAGGGGCGTAACTAGAACGATTATTATGGGAGGGCTGTAAATAGTTATATATATGTAAAATAGTCATGGCTGTTAATATCACTTCTGCGCGATAGATTTTAATTGTAAACTATTGCACTTACAAAAGAAATCCGTCGGGCAGAACTGAATATATGAATATTCACACCCCTTCCCCGCCAAATTATCGTTCTAGTTACGTCACTGGGTTATAGCCAGATTTGCTAAGAAATTGGATAATGCTAATTAGCAAGTGTTTGAACTTTGGGTCATTCATTCTGCCAACCTATCAACCGCGGGTTAGCGAAGCTCTGAGAAAACGAAAAGGGGAATTGAAGGTTGCATGCCATGGGATGGAGAGGGGAAAAGTAACCATGCAATGGTTGACAGGATAGAAATGTTGTAAAAACTAATGCTGTTGGCGTTTATTTTATGGCCTGAAACGAATTATTGCAATGTTTAAAATTGGCATTAAAAATATGTTTCATTTAAAAAGAATTTGAACTTACATATATCAAAATTGTTTCATATCCTGTTTTGTTTTTGCAATTACTAGACCTGAAAACTAGTAAGCATGCCGCAACTGAACTTGAATATATGAATAAATCATTGGTTGTTTTAGTGATGACAAAAGCGTGGTTAGCCGTAAAAACGACTCGATCACAAGTGACATGAGAACTAAATAAAAATTTAGCCTGCCTACTTACCCCAATTCCAGTAATATTCTTTCGGCCAGAATTATCAATGAGGTACAGATAGAAACATTGGTGAAATTTGGTGATCCCACGCCTTTGAAGAACATGCATCACAACAATCCAAAATGGCGCTCACTTCACTCGTATCGGTCTGGACATTGTTTAAACTATGCAAGATAGAAAAAATGTGAGTGAGTTTTCTTTCTTTCTCCCAACATGGGAAACCGTGTACAAATTTGTTAATATATAGGCTTTACAAAATCTTAAAAACAAAAATGTTTCCATTTCTTACGTTCTCTTTACGCAAAACATAGGATCGAAAAAGCACAAAATCGTCTTTTCTATTTGAATCTTATAACCGGAAATCTCAGCAAACTGCGAACAACGTTTAAGATGTCTGGCTATCATTTCACTATTGCTTCATAATTATTTTGATGAAGCCACAGTAAGCGGAAACAAATTAAGTTACTGCTTTCTTGCCTGCGTCTTGCTTTCAGTTAACTGTTTCTTTAGAAATGAAATAATTTAAGAAATACTTCACTGAATCTAGCCAGTTGCAAGCATCAAAGAAAGCAGTTCACAGATTATGAGTCTTAGAATTGTTCTGATTAATGTGAGGAAGAATAAACAACCCTGGTTTGTTAGACGTTAGTAAGGAAAATTTTTGCTTTTTCCTTGCCTGAATGGGTTCGTAATATGGGACATGAATTTTTAAAATTCTACGCACTAAAATATATTTGTTCGATATACTGTAGAACTGTAACTTAAAAATATATTCAAAGCTAGAGAGAAACCAACTGACGAAGAATACGTGAATAACCATGCAAGTTGCATTATGATATTATATACAAGTAAAACAAGTCGATTTTTAAATTCCTGCTTCTTGATGAATAATGGGAGTCGACAAGAATCTACAAGAACTGTTCAAGCCTCTTTCGACATATTACGCGATGTGACTGGTATATATAGATAAATCCGTGATTTGCAAAATTAAAACAGAAAATTTCAACGGTTGGATGTGGCTTTACAAACTTAGACTGTTAATTGCGTCTGTATTCCTGGTGCCTGGTGCCTGATGGCTGATGATGACGTAATTATCGTTGCATTGCTACCATAAAGCGTCTCTTATTGTGTCATCGCGATATCTGGGTTACCATATGACTTGACCATGCGTTTTTGTTTCACTCACAGAGCTTAACTGGATTTCTGATGACAAATGGTTAATGCATGCTTATATTTCCATGCAGTTCCAGTTATATATTTTATACATCAACATGGTATGTACCCTATACTAAGCCAAGGAACACAGCACAAAACTGTGAGTCTGTAATTTTACATGCAAAGACACACTACCTTTGTCATCCTAATTCAAATATGAGAACCACTCTTAAGCTGCGAACATTTTACACTGAAATATTTGTCGACCGGATCAATGAACAATGAAATTGTCCGAAGAACAGAAAAAACACTCGACAAACTTCTTCATTCGTTTATTCAGTGTCATGCAGTTAAAATACAACGCGAGGCATTTAGATACTTAATAAATTAGATCATCTTCCCGGCTGAGGATTGACTGATGAATCGTCATCGTGTATGAGTCATGAATGAACGTTTGGTCGTTTGCACTGAAAACTTCGTACGTACCTGAAATATGACTATTGAAAAACTACCATCAACTATAGATTTCGGGATTTCAGTCAGTAAATACTAACAATCGTCTATATTGGAATTGCTAACACTGCAAATCACGGGACAATATCATTGATAACCATCATCAGTGGAACTATGGATCAGCGGCGTTTCCTTACATCAACCTACTACAGCATTCAAGCACAAACTTCTGGGAACATGGCTTCTGTGATAACTTTAAGACTTTATCTTCTTTCAGTTTTGAAGGCAATAAACAGTCGAGAGTATAAATTTTACTGCTTGTGGAGACACCACGGTATATATTAGAGACCTTTAGCAATTAGCATGCATGACGTGTGTGACAAACCCCTAACTGCCAGTTCGGATTTTCAAACGAAATGCGAGGTTTTTAAAGCCAAGAAATTGCTGTATTATGTTCAAAATTAAGCAGCTATATACTCGAGGCAAATCGTTGCCGGAAAAATGCTAAAAACTACCTTAAAAATTGCTTGAAATCCGTTTGTCTTTCGCGGTTTGCCGCATTGCATGGTTGGGCTAAAGGTCTCATGCAGCTACAGTTTTGTTGGCATACTAGCTGCAACGATGAGCTCCCTTTGCAATGATAATAAATTTACCTGCATTCACATACTAATATCAATACTTCACCTAAAGTCTATAGAGTAATTAATTATAAATTACGTACCGGCTAAATAAAGATTTATTACTTGCCTCTTATAATGTTTATAGGAATTGCCGGTTCGTACTGTTTATATAGCTTATATGATATAATCTGATATAAACGTAATTTGTTATTTATTATTGCTGTAATGCTAATGATATTACATAATTAGATAACGAACATTTTGACATTTTAATGTAAATGATGATGTAATTAATTTATGACATTGTAAAATTAAATGTACATTTTATCGCATCAATCATCTAAATATCTATCACGTGACTATTGAACATGGCTTATTTTGTTCCCTTTCCTGTTGTTTCATTATAAATATCAATATTGTTCGCCTTACTACCACATTTTAGAAATTTTCAAGACAGATTTACAAAGATTTTCAATATATATATTTTACGCTACGTTAAATCTCTGGTTACCGTGATAAAATTAAAAGTACAATTTTTGAACATAACAAACCTTGCACGTGGCCCAGAACTCTTTCAACATATATACTGCGTTTCTTCCCCAGGAATTTGTACCTAAAATAATAGAAAATGTGAAATAAGAAAAACACGAAAACACGAGACCAAAGTTTATTAGAGATATTCAAGATTTGACGATATAAAAAGCGAGCAAAATCGATCCAATGTGAGCTAGCAATCGCAGTATGGCTGGTGTAAAAGCTACGTCCACACGGACTTGAACGAATTTGGTACCGTGCATGCTCGCATTCGCCCGGATTTCTCGTGTGAACAAGAAGAACCGGTCAAAATCTAGTCCTAAATTCGTCCGGTTCCGTGTGAACGTTGCCTAAATATTAATGTCTTTATGTGCCTTTCTATACATATTAGTTCACGTCCGCTTAAATAAGTATACCTTGTTGTACAGACGTTAGATATCATCCAGCAGCAATATTTGTCGTATGAAGAACAACTGTCTTTCTATATTCTGGCAATGAACTTCTATCTTACATATATTTTTTATCAGCAACGCGAACACTTCGTTGATCGTTCAACTTTCAGGGCTGATAAATTACTGAATCATTAGCCAAATATTAGGTTAAAGTTTAAACGTCGCATTTTGGTCGCGTGGAATGCAATTTGAACAATGGATCATGATATAATGAGATTTATCATCTCAGTGTCTATTGTTTGAATTACATACGATGCAACCATAGGCCTATAGATATAACATAGGCCTCAGCAAGTTCCCTGCCTCTGATTGCCTGTAGCAACAAAAGTTAATGAGTTTTCCCAGGCCGGTTCCAAAAGCACCGTATATGTATTTTAAACTGACCTTTCGGTGTAGGCTTACTTGTTAACCATACTTAGCAAAGTAATCAGTCATTCAAATTGAAACAGGGGATGGAATTCAACGGCGGTACCATTTTTAAGCAGTGTTTACACTAGAGACCTATACCTGACCTAAGACCTAACTTAAGGAGTTAGTCCTGTAGTGTAAACGCACTAAGACTGACCTAAGACCGACCTAGGACCGACCTAAGACCATGATTTCAGGCCAAGCATTAGAGGTGGCCTGAAAACATGGTATTAGGTAAGTCCTAGGTAAGTCTCAGGTCAGTCTGGCGGTGTAAACACATTTTCATTGACCCAAGCGTGATCGAAGCTAATTTCCTTGACAACAAACGTAAATTCGAGTCTTTGATGTCTGCATTTAGCGGTCTTGGAATTTTAGCGCGATTTTGCAAAAATTATGGGGAAATTCAGAGTTGATAATTAGCCACATGGCGAATTTCGGAACCGTTGCCGATAAGTTATATCATATATTTTTTAATTTTGCATGAAATCGTTGTTTGCCAGAAATCCCAGTAATACGTCGTATTCTTTTACGAGGCTTTGTCGTTTGTACGAAATAAACAAACAAAGAACTGCAAGCTTATATTTTAATACTCTTCTCACAGTACTTTATGTTGCGTGTATTTATATAAGTCCCGTTAGGTAACTGGTGTAAACACACCCTGTAAAACTTGGTTAGGTACTTCTCAGGTACGGGCAAATGTCAGATAAATGTCAGCCCCTTCGTGTAAACACGGCTTAAGACACCTCGACGTCTCCAAACATCTAATCAATCAATTGTGAAGAGGTCGAAAATTTCCTCCGTTCAAGCATCAGTTGCCTTGTTATTCTCAGTTGTATTCTCTACTTTAATACTTATCATAATAAAAAGGAAAAGCGCCTTTAATATGAATCACATTGATTGTTAGAAACATACACTCATCACTTTTTACATCAGGATAAATTATATTAAAAAGGCAACTCGAGTTAATCCGTCATGAAACGCCAGCCATAAAGACAAAAATTGTACTTTCTACACAATTGGTTCAGTATGAGTGTATTTAGGTCGGATGTCGGAGTCGACCCTCGCCTTGATATTTGGTCTCTCTCCTATGGCACTGTGAAACTTCTTTAGGTATTTCTTTGGTTTTATTATCCGCAGGCCTGTCCGCAGGCCGCCAAAAATTTGTTTATATGAAGAGAATATTCCAGAATAACTCGGTATAATTGGTTTTATCAACGAATCTTATTTTCGTTTACAGGAACGTTCGAGAAAAGTACTAAAATAGCCTTCTAAGCAGTGACTGAATTTTAATTTGCCGGTTTTTAGGAGGGGGATTTATATCTACGGAATTTATCCCTTCCCAAACTACTGATGGTATGAACACGTGTGCCAGGTCTGGCATTATAATATTCAACAGTATTTAATTAATTGATGACATTGAATGCCAGCCTATTTCCTAGGCCTCATTGCGCAGGTTTCAAAAATCCGTGACGTCACCGGATGAAACACACGTGAGAGGCCTAGCACAAAATGTTTTCTAATCTAATGTTAACGGCTCATAACCGCCCATTTAATGTTGTCTTTTATTAAGAATTGTTGTAACAAAGTAAATGTTTGCAATTTACAACAAGAACCGTCATAAAGGAAGCAAGAATGAATAATTGAAATTGGCGGATTGATGCTTATTATAATCATAAACATGTACGTACGGACTCGAGTTTACTCGATAGTCGATAGCATTGACAGCGAACGACATGCATTGCAACGTTTGTATGGATATCTCAAATTCCTGGCAGCATAAAAAATTTCCCGTAGCTTATTTCAAGCAAAATATTTGACTAGCGACGTCGAACAAGGTCAGATAACCGCGTCGTAGATCGTGAACTAACCTCAATACAGAAAATGGGGACAAAAATTCCCCACTTTAGCTAAAATAAAACATTTTCTTCTTGGCCTCTCAGTTCCCGTCTAGCTGCGTGTACTAAGGAACATATAGGGGGCCTCATGACTAGGCTGCTTGCAGCCGCAGGGACAAAATCAGGGACAATTTTTGAAATCTCAACATTTTGTGCTAGGCCTCTAAGCGTGGGCTGCCCTGCATAAATTATACAGCGCGCACTTACAAGGCCTGGGACTAGGCTGATTGATTTAGATTGAATACATCCAAAAACGCGCTTTTGAAAATTATTCTCCCCACTCATAAGTATAATAAAGCATTGATTACAGGGAATATGACGTCGTTGAGGGATCGCCGAGAAAATTATGTGAACGCTTCTTTGAGACGGACATACATCGTGCATTAATGAAAACTCAGAGATGAAAGATCTATTACCACCAACAATTATATCTGGATAGTAGTTTATATCTGGATCGAGTTACGCCCAATATGTAAATATCCTAATTATTTATGTAGAAGTGAACGTAATAATAATAATAATTTATAATGAGATCTGCGGTGCCATTTTGTGGACTGTGGTAACATAGTGCATTCCCTCTTTTCCCTCTGAGGATTATTGCTCTAAGAAATTTTTACCATTCAATGTTTGTCTAAAAGTAGCTGATTATATAACCTATGTAGTTTGTTATTATTTTTGTAAATTGTAATGTAGCGCTAGTGATTGTAGTGATAAAACGATGATTCGTCAGGCGTCAGTTATTATTCGTCGTAATTCGGTTTTCATATGTCTGACTGATTTCGCATAACACCGAATCACGAAGTACAGCGAGTTACGACATGTGAATTAGAACGAATTATGACGTCTTTTGACATATGAAAGCCTTAAGTTAAGCCTGTTTTTCATATATCGTGATTCATCGGTGTCGGTAGTTGTCGGTGGTCATTGATGCATGAAATGATTATTCTGTAGGAAAATATTCCATTTTTATTAATCACCTGAGACATCAGGCTGTCGTTTAGAACATTAAATGGTGTAAAAACGTCATTATATTCATAAAATTGGATTAAATTTATTTTTATACACGGATATAAAGCTGCATTGTTCCGAATTGTAATTCTTAAAGGTTGTGATAATATCCTGCGTGTTTTGGCATCGGTCCAATGAAGCGTTTGACATTTCCTTGAATAGAACACCAAAATCTTGTATATTTAAAACATGCAACCTGCATGTATACGTTACAACTAGTTCAGTTTACGATTGTGATTACTGAAGTTGGGCAGAAAAGGAGAACTCTTTTTTTCCAAAAGTCTCACCTCGCACAAGTTTTGAGGTAAGAAGATAGATATATGGATAAGTGAAAGTTTTAAATAAACATCTTTCAGTAGTAATATGTTGAATTTAGTTAAATTTTTTCAAAAATGAGCTAAAAAATCATTTCTCCTCTTTCACTATTTTTAATTAAAAGAATAATTAAAGTTAACACTTCTGACTCTTCTGAACCAATTGTAGAGGTGAGATTAACCTGTATGCATAATGTAGGTGGTGAACAGTAGCGTAGCCAGCCTGACAATTTGTCCCGCTATGCTAATATTTTGGTGTTCATTGATTGTGAAAACAATAAATTTCTAAAGAGATGAATTATTATAATAATTTGAAATTTACATAGCGGGACAATATCGTCAGGCTGGCTACGCCACTGTAGGTGAGACGAACCTTATTTTAAAAGTATTTTAAGTGGCAGCAGGTAGCAATTACATTATATATTTTTGAAGCTAAAGCAAGGAAAGGAAGCTCAAGAATTTTAAATTTACCGTTATTTTCGACCAGTTGACGGGCGATCATGCATGAGTGAATGTCCAATCAAGAATTAGTTCGAGCTACCTGCATGGCGTTAAACTGTTCAATGAAGCGCTTGACAAGAATAAAACACAATGCACTATCTAATACCGGGTGTCTAAAAAAAGTGAATCTATAAATATTATCTCATTGTTGAACCGCTCTTAAGCGCTTGATAGTATACTAAATAAGCTTGGAATTTACATGAAAGAATGAAATTCTATTTATATTTAAGCTTCTAATATGTTTTCGTTAAGTCAGGCAAAACTACTGTATCACTGGTTATATGTGTAGCCTTTTATCTTTAGTTTCGGTTGACAACAACTAATTACATGAATGTTTAAGCTGAACCGATGGGCGATCGCCTGTGCCCAGAGTATTTGCTGCCCCCGCTATATAGGAGTTGAATTCCTTGTTCATCCTCTGGTGTAACAAATCGATGTTAATGTCGAATTCATGATAATAACATTTATTAAGTTCAAGAAGTTGATGAGCCCGGTTACCCGAGATTCAACGAAGCGTGAGATGCTTTTGAGGTATTGAAATGAGCAGATAACATGATCCTGGCTGTCGTATAATCACCACAACAATAGCATGTGCTTGTTTGGTTTCATAAAGACTTATTTCAATACCTCAAAGTCCTCTCACGCTTCGTTGAATCTCGGGTAACCGGGCTCATGTAAACAGCCCCTAAGTGTCTGTGGTTTTAACTTATATATAGCGCTGCTGAGGCACTAAAATTATAAGAATAAGATTTTTCTATACGATCACGATGTGTCCCAAAAAGTACCCTTCACTGAAATCTACTTTGGGACACAATGTAGTGTTAATTTTTTTGGGAACACCCTGATTCAATTCATTTTATACACAGATATAAAGCTGCACTGTTCCGAATTGGCTGACTGGAATTCCTAAAGGTTGTGATAATATCCTACTTGCTTTGGCATCGGTCCAATGAAGCGTTTGACATTTCCTTGAATAGAACACCAAAATCTTGTATATTTAAAACATGCAACCTGCATGCATACGTTGTAACTAGTTCAGTTTGCGATTGTGATTACTAAAGTTGACCAGAAAAGAACTCTTCTTCCTAAACGTCCTAGCTCGCACGAGTTTCTCAGGTAAGATGATGGAAATATCAATGATTCAATGATATGCAAGTGTCAAAGTTAAATTTTCCGCGAATATTCATTTGTCAATAGTAATTATACGTTGAAATTTTTAAAAAAAAAATTTCGATAATGAGCAAAAAAGATTTCGATATTGAGCTAAAAAAATTTCTTTCGAACACTTTTGAACCTATTGTATAGATGTGATTAGCCTATTGGAATACTATTGTATAGATGTGATTAGCCAATTGGAATAAAATGTTGTTATTTTAAAAGTATTTTGCATCGTCTCAATGAAGGAACGGAACTACACACTATATTTCTGAAATTAAAGCAAAAAAAGGAAGTTAAAGAATTTTAAAGAGTTTCTCGACCTGTTGGCGAGCGGTCATGAGTGGATGATAGTTTTGATATTCTGTCAAAACAAGTGCTCGAGAAGTTAGGATGGAAAACCTTAGAAAATAGACGAGACTGAATTTAAACTAACAAAATATATTAATAAAGTTGTTGAAAAAGAAAGTCTTGAAATAGTTTCTATTTTATTTGAAAAATGTAACAATGAAAATTATAATTTAAGAAGTGATTGCAAACTTAATTCTGAGACTTTCTAAACCTAATACTATAAATGCTATATATATGATAAGGAGCTTTAGTTGCAAAGGGTTTGAAATCAGAATTTTGTTTTACAGAGCCATGAAGATCTTTGTTCTAATAACCTTGATTGCAGCAACAATTGATGTCGGAATTGCCACTTTTAGTGAACGTCCTGGCGCAGTAGAATTACGTGGAAAGGGGGGAAGGAAGCCACTTGGGAAAAGGAAGCCACTTTGGAGAGGGAAGCCACTTGGGAGAAGGATCACCAAGCTGCGGAAGACCAAACCGCGAAAGACCAAGCCAAGACCGGTCTTAAATTTTAAAGGTAGTATAGTAGTAACAGTACAGTATAATTCTTTAATCTTAAAATAAAGGCCGTCGCTAATAATGTGCATGTTTCACGCTAATGCATGCCTAGAGTATAAAAGCAAAGCGATTATATCATTATATAGCGCAAAATAGCACAATAATAGTTTTTATATTGAAACAAATACGTGCTTCAAATTCGGAGAGTAGGTATATGTCGCGAGGATGTCAGATTATCATCAACGCTACCAAATACAGTTACATTTAGGCCGTATAAAGAACGATGATGCCTGTTACCAATTAACTGTTATTTTGCGAACTCGTATATGTATACGCAACGCCGACTTAGCAAAGCCTATATATATTAGTCATATACGACGAGAGTAAGCAGAATATTTTTGAATATATACTTTCTTTTCCAATTTTGTCGCCCTTTTGGTGCACTTTTATGTACATTTATCAAATATAAAACTTGAATTTCATTAGCTATATCGTTTAACCCCCCAAATCTTTGAACCATTTTGTTTACGTTTCTCTTCTATATAGCGCTATATAGGCAGATTTGAATGAGCTGATATCTGGCTATAGTCAATCAGATTGCACATTAGCTCAGATTGCGATAAAACCTGGATTAATTTACTAAACTCAGGTCTTAATGGTTTGCAAATTGAAGCAAGGAAGTTATAAACATATAATTATTTGAAATACGCTTCAATTTATATTTGTATATATATATATATATATATATATATATATATATTTATCACATACTTGTGCCTTTATCAGGGCGATAACAGGGTGACATAAAAACGATATCGTCACTGATATCGCTTTTTGTCACTGATATCGCTTTTTGTCCCGCTGCATTTGCCGCTGTCAAAACAAAGATGGCTGACTCGAGCAGTTCGAGGTTTGTTTCAGTCGATGTGGATTGCTTTATAGAAGAAAAAGAAGTATGTGATAAACAGGTTATCACGATCGGGACGAGGTGATATCAGTTTTATCGCTTTCAGGACGATATCATAAATGTCCCTCGTTCGCTGCGCTCACTCGTGACATTTATGATATCGTCCCTCAAGCGATAAAACTGATATCACCTCGCCCCTCATGTGATAACCTATATATATATATATATTATTATATATATATATATATATTAATTATATATAATATATATATATATATATATATATATATATATATATATATAGCGCGGATAGATATATAAAATAAACGAACGTTAAATTTTAACAATAAAATAAATTACAGTAAAAAGTCATTAAAATTACGATGGCAAATGGTAAACAAAATGAGGTTGAAATCTCGTGCCTTATATTGCAGCCGTTTTGCTGTAACCTTCTGAATATTAGTTTGTTAAGCAATATATATATCACTAAATATTGGAATTATTTTCATATAACTATGATGGTAAAAATCGAAATTGAAAGTTTTAGAAAAAGGTAAACATTATATTGCATTACTCAATCCCCTACTTGGTCTAGCTAAATGTCAAACCTAGCTAAATATTTTATATTTATATTTAGTTGGAAAGGTTTGTCCAACTGATGGATTCCGTTCACCTGTGTGGCAGTGCGCGTGTAATTTCGCAGGTGGATGTGATCTGCGAACGAATGTGGTGTTGCCACATGCACGGGCTGATCCGCAAAGTTTAAATGGAATTGCACCAAAGGGCCTTGACTGTTTAGCACTTGGGCCAGCGACAAGTGTTGGAACAATTTGCGAAGGAGGAACCGTCGCTGTTCTGTACGACTGCAACGCTCGTTCAGCATTATATGCTGCCTCAATGATCAACGGCGCTAATTTTAAGAAAGGTATGCCTTATAGGTTTATATGGAATGAGTCAATTCGTCGGTCATCTTCAAAAGCAGCTTCAAAGTTAGGGCGAGGAAGCCCACGACCTTTTCGTCGACTTTGGCGACATTTTCCTTTTCGATGAAAGTCCAGCGATCAAAATCCAGTAATCGTGAGTTGAAGGTCAACGGCCAAAATGAATTTGTTATTTTTTACAGGTGCACTAGATATAGAACGCAAAGACAGTTGGAAAAAAACAAAAGATATGACTCTTTCAGAGAATCCAGAGAACTTGGCAACAAATCGTGATTACATAGGCTCAAGCAAACATATTTACTGTTATGAAGATGAGAGAGGAACGCTTTGGAATTGGGATGGTACTGGACCATGCAATAAAGGTAGCGCACCCACGATGGCTATCCACAAAGGTCACCTGATCGCCGCTAGGTACGGGAAAACCCACGGAACACAGGATGCCATTGATGCCACATTTTCTTTCACAAATGCCGTGCCTCAAGAAGGTTCCTTCAATTCTAACCAGTGGAGGATAGCTGAGGGTAAATTGATAGAACAGGCAAAAAAGTGTCAAGAAAATGCACAGTTAAGAAAGGTGGATGCAAAAATGTATGTCGTGGTTGGCGTGATTCCATCGAGTTTTCTCGGAAAGCCAAAGTTCTTTGGTTCGGCTGGTTTCGGAAGTTACCAAGGCGAAGCGGGAAATTACAGAATCTCTTTTCCAGAAATCATGTGGACAGCTGCCTGTTGTATTCATACTGATGGTAGCTTTGGAGACAAATTTGGCTTCTGGAGACGCAATAACCCATCAAGCGCAGTGGTTAACGAAGCTCCTTCCCCTACCGAAATGTTTAAAGCTATTCGGCAAGAAATATCTAAGACTTGGCCGGGTATTAATTTCAATCTCCTAAACGTTTTTCCAAGCTTCCCAGCTTGCAATTAGACTTTATCTACACTGTACAGGTCTCTCAGAACTTCTCAGGCATTATTTTTCGGGTTTATCATGTTTACATAACAAGAAAGAAGAGTTAGTTAACTTCCTATGAATATTAAGTGTTGCAGTTTTTTTTGATAACACCCTGTATAATATTTTACTGATAACATTTTACGCTTCGTTAAATCTCAGTAACTGGACTCGCTGTGAACAGCCCCTGAATTTCCTATTCCAACCTTTCATTGAACAGGCCAAACATCAAATATATAGGCTATAGCAAACGTCCGCAACCGGAACAAATATATAACAAACACTCACAGTATATTGGCTATATATATAAAGTAAAATTTTTGAACATAACAAACCTTGCACGTGGCCAGAACTCTTTCAACATATATACTGGCTTACTGCGCTTCTTCCCCAGGAATTTGTACCTAAAATAGTAGAAAATGTGAAATAAGAGAAACCCAAAAACACGAGACCAAAATTTATTAGAAATATTCAAGATTTGACAATAAAAACGAGCAAAATATTAAAAACATATGTGCCTTTCAACATATTCATGCAGTACACGTCCGCTTAAATAATTAACTAATTTAACACCAAAATCTGATACAGTATACCTTGTTGTACAGACGTTAGATATCATCCAGCAGCAATATTTGTCGTATGAAGAATAACTGTCTTTCAATATTCTGGCTATGCACTTTATTCTTACATATATTTTTTATCAGCAACGCGAACACTTCGTTGATCGCTCCAACTTTCAGGGCTGATAAATTACTCAATCATTAGCCAAATATTAGGTTAAACGTCGCATTTTGGTCGCGTGGAATGCAAATTAAACAATGGATCATGAGATAATGAGATTCATCATCTCTTTTTCTATTGTTTGAATTGCATACGATGCAACCATAGGCCTATAGGTATAACATAGGCCTCAGCACGTTCCCTGCCTCTGATTGGCTGTAGAAACAAAGTTAATGAGTTTTCCCAGGCCGGTCCCAAAAGCACCGTATTTGAAACTGACCTTTCGTTGTAATTTGAATCTCTTACAGCTCACTTGTTAACCATACTTAGCAAAGCAATCAGTCATTCAAATTAAAACGAGAGTTGGATTTAAACGGCGGTACCATTTTTAGACACCTCGAAGTCTCCAAACATCTATTCAATCAATTGTGCCAACCTCGTACCCAGGGTTTTTACTCGTGGGGAGAAAAATATTTTTCAAAATATTGTCAATTGTGCTTTCTTTTGGGAGAATTCGAGAAGAAGACGTCGAAAATTTCCTCCGTTCAAGCATCAGTTGCTTTGTTATTCTCAGTAGTATTCTCTACTTTAATACTTATCACAACAAAAAAGGAAAAGTCAAAAGCACCTTTAATATCAATCACATTGATTGTTAGACACATAGCTACATTGTAATACAAACACTAATTAGTGTTTATATGACCATTTTTCCATCCCGCGAAGGCGGGATCCCGGCACTTCCTAACACTCCATCCCGCTTGGCCGGGATGATTCGCGATTAACATTCATTAGGAGCATGTGTATATATTGGCATATTCGTTTTCTACAATAAAACATGCCGTCGAACGAACCTGCACTACGAAATGAACTCCATATAAATACGCCATCCCGCCTAGGCGAGTTTCCCGGCTAAGCGGGATGAAAACATCCCGTCCCGGCTAGACGGGATCATATAAACATGCACTAAAAGGATATGGCAATAAAAATGCATGAGCTTTGTCTATTTTCGTCATGATTGTTTTTGTTAACGGATTTTTGTTGACTTTATTACTTCTCAAGATATTTTTGAATGAAATTATCTCCCATCCGCCATTTTGGATATGCATATGTCAGTATGCGTTACGTCATAAGCTGGGGCCGGTTGTATAAACCTCTTAATTACAATTTTGCGTAGTTAAATCGTAGTTAATTCAGAAATACATGACTCTGATTGGTCAATTCTGTCACTAACTATAGTTAAAAGTTAACTACGTTTTTATACAACCGGCCCCTGGGTTCTGTAACTTCAAATTAACGATCCAGCGAAGTGATAGTTCCATGGTATTACAATCGCACGTATCTCAAATTATAACGTTTGAATTGTAAAAGTTCTAAACTAAAGCGTAAACATGTAATTTTTTTAAGCGTTACCCCTGCTTTTGACGTTTAAAGATCTCATTAAAAAAAAGACGGCGGATATATCTCGATAGTCGATGTTTTTGATCGCCAATATCTTGAGAAGTAAGGAAGATAAACAAGTTTTGTGAAAAGGCTCTATAAGAAGTGTAAATTTCTTTTCCACAAAAAATAAATAATTTTTATTGCCATATCCCTTTAAAAAGACGACTCGAGTTCATCTGTCATGATTTAAGAATGAAATGAAAATCCAGCCAGGAAGACATCAATTATATTTTTTACACAATGGGTCCAGTATGAGTGTATTTGGGTCGTTTGTCGGAGTCGAGCCTCGCTTTGATATTTGGTCTCTCTCCCATGGCACTGTGAAACTTCTTTAGGTATTCCGTGGGTTCACGATCCAGCACCTCTGGACACTCAAACAGGTTCCCATCAATAACATGGAAGGCGCAAATGTCAACCCATGACAACTGGTCGCCAACAAAAACGAGCTTTCCAGTTTTCTTGTGATTTTCTTTCAAGAGGGTCTCGAAAAAATCTAGAAACTTTGGAAGCCGCTTGTTCTTGTAGTATTCAATAAAAGGCTTTGTTTCTTCTTTCTGCTCGAGATGACCCGCGTTTGTATCGATAGCGTGCCACGCCCGTAAACCTAGAAATGATAAGAACTGTTAATTATCTATACTCGGGGGGAAAATCTTTAACATTCAAAGTCATTGGAATCTTTTTGAGCTTTCCTTGAAAATTCGTGGCGGATTCTTGGATTTCATGAGACGTTATCAAATTCCAGTGATTGTCAATTCAAATTTAAGACCAGTACTGTAAGAGTTGGCTTTGCAATATACGAGAGTGGAGAACCTCATTGGATCTATTGGGTCACATATATATACAGCGTTTCCACAACTTATTTGCATAAGGCTGTCCTCATGGGAAGATGGTAATGAAAAAGAGAGAAACAAAAAACGTTTGAAAAGAATGCATAATATATCCTATTAAGACTAACCCTCCCTCCCTCATTGTTGACATTTTGAAGGAAATTTCCTTGAATTGTGAAAACGCTGCTGTCGCTACATATATAGCATAACTCAAGCTCTCGCGAAATATAAAATCAGTATCAGTCTTCACATATTACATATATATTTGAATGAAATCTGTTGAACCACTCATGCATCATGCAAATTTGGACGGAAACATCCAGAACTGAGGAGGCAACATTGGTATATTAAAAATCATTGGTATATTAAATAACGACTATTTGGAAGTATCCACCCACAGATTCTAAGCCGACTCATATGTCATTGTTTACAGATAAAGCTATATTGAGCAATGTTTACATAACAAACATATTTTGGCCTAGCCTATAAGCTTTTTTTTGTTCAGACTTCTGCAGTGTAAAGCCAATATAGTTTGCATTTAGTCGTTCCTTGTCGCTAGAGAGTGCTAAATGCATTGCTACATGAGAATGAGGCTTTGACACGGAAATCTACCAGAACACGTGACCCAGATCATCAGGTCAAGGCCTCGCCAAAGTGCCCTTGCACGAGTTAAACGCCTCTTTGGTCATACATATATAGTTACAATTGAATAATGATTATGTTCACATCAGTTTTGTCCCTCTTGCATTAACAGTGCATCTTTAAAGCTGAAACACTAAATTCTACATATTTACGAGAGTAAGAGCTCAGCAGCACGCCCCACATTGCTGCAACAAATTTGTCAAATAAAACGATAAATAAATTTTATACCTTCTTCAACCCAGTCTACAATTCCAGCCATGATCATCTCAGCTTGAAGTCGACCTTGTTCGGTCTTCGGATACAATCTACCGCCATCCAGCTTTTTGCCCAAATATCTGCATATGACCGGCGTTTGGCTCAAGTAGATTTCACCATGTTCAAGGACTGGAAAGGCGAAATGTCTTTTCGCCTTTCCATAGCCCATTTTCTTCGCCTCGACGAACGACTTGCCTTCAAATACGTCTACATACGGTGTTTGTGTCTCCGCAAACAACAGTCGAATGAATTCGCCACGGCCAACTATCTCAGGCCAGTAATACAGTTTAAACTCCGCTGGTTGTGCGCCCGCCTTTGCCATAATCAGCTATACTCACGAAAAGCCTAACACTAGCTGGTTAAAGCCTTGTCCTATACGATTGCTACAGTCGAATTCCGCGTGGCTATCTTTAAAACAGGGAACGGGGAATAGGGGAATGGAACGGGGAATGGAACGGGGAATGGAACGGGGAATGGAACGGGGAATGGAACGGGGAATGGAACGGGGAATGGAATGGCTTCGGGGAATGAGCCGGGGAATGAGCCGGGGAATGAGCCGGGGAATGGAATGGCTTCGGGGAATGAGCCGGGGAATGGAATGGCTTCGGGGAATGTGCAGCTTGTGCGTCAGTGCGAGTTTGTTTGGCCCATTTGGCGTGATTAAAACCTGTAAACGCTTCCATGTCACGAATCATGAGACAGCTACTCACAGTTTGAATTCCTTGAGGTAAAAGACAAAGCGATTACAAGCTCATAGTATAAATGCGATGTTTGCATTGTCATTGTGATGTACATTGATGTACATTATATAGATAGAATTTGGGTAGGTGGTTCAATGTAAATCCTCCAAAATCTGAAGGCAATTTGTATAATACTGTAATAGTATTTTTTGCAGAAATCTTTTTAGTTCTTAATATGCCTTATAAAGCTCAATGTGTGTGATTAAAAGGTGAATAAAGATACTGACACAGTGTCACTTGTTTGTTTTTTATTTCAGGCTATGTGAACAAGACCTCTGGACAGTTTTGTTTAAGCAGGAATAATGGTTATGGTGGAAATGTGGTGAATGCATTCTTGACAAGTTAATGGGTTTGCTTCCAAGAATACACTGAAACTTGGAGCAACAATGACTTTGAATATAATTATGTAATTAATATATTATTTATTAATCTTAATTTATATGACTTTTTACCTCACATAATTCAAATAATGTTCAGATAAAGAGGTAAATATTTCACTGTTAATGGTGTAATAAATATTTTATAGGTTGAATATATTCATAATGAATTATTTGTCCTGCTCCATACTTTGGCAATTCTGTTTAAGAAGTCCCATCATAGTAGATCTTTTTTGAAATAGTTACAGTCAAGTTGTTGTCTAGTTTTAGTACAAAATAATACAAGTGCTACAATTAAACAAGGGAAAATAATAAAAATTAATTACATAAGCAAGCACATTTTCTATTTTGAAAAGGTCTATGAATTGAGATGACATGTACTAACAATTTTGTGCATTAATTAAAGACAATTGTATTATTACTGTGGGTTCTTTAATATTGTCCAATACTCCCAGTGACATCCCACTGAAATTCCTGCAGGAGTCTCAATCCATCAAACCAGTTTATCTTTTATTTCTTATATTTAAGTCAGAATCAATGTATTCAATATCAATATGTAAAAATAATATCTAAGTTCTACAACATTATTTTGACAAGTCTGTTAAAGGAGAAAAGTAATTTTTTCTCTTCATCAGAATTGAGAACCATGTTCTTGAAGCCAACCCCCCTCCTTGGCAGGATGATTATGGTACAAAATGAGAAGGGGGGCGTTGAAAAATTTCTGGATTTTTTCTTGGGGGGTCTCCAAAAAGATAACATATTGATATTGAATACATTGATTCTGACTTAAATATAAGAAATAAAAGATAAACTGGTTTGATGGATTGAGACTCCTGCAGGAATTTCAGTGGGATGTCACTGGGAGTATTGGACAATATTAAAGAACCCACAGTAATAATACAATTGTCTTTAATTAATGCACAAAATTGTTAGTACATGTCATCTCAATTCATAGACCTTTTCAAAATAGAAAATGTGCTTGCTTATGTAATTAATTTTTATTATTTTCCCTTGTTTAATTGTAGCACTTGTATTATTTTGTACTAAAACTAGACAACAACTTGACTGTAACTATTTCAAAAAAGATCTACTATGATGGGACTTCTTAAACAGAATTGCCAAAGTATGGAGCAGGACAAATAATTCATTATGAATATATTCAACCTATAAAATATTTATTACACCATTAACAGTGAAATATTTACCTCTTTATCTGAACATTATTTGAATTATGTGAGGTAAAAAGTCATATAAATTAAGATTAATAAATAATATTTAATTACATAATTAATTCAAAGTCATTGTTGCTCCAAGTTTCAGTGTATTCTTGGAAGCAAACCCATTAACTTGTCAAGAATGCATTCACCACATTTCCACCATAACCATTATTCCTGCTTAAACAAAACTGTCCAGAGGTCTTGTTCACATAGCCTGAAATAAAAAACAAACAAGTGACACTGTGTCAGTATCTTTATTCACCTTTTAATCACACACATTGAGCTTTATAAGGCATATTAAGAACTAAAAAGATTTCTGCAAAAAATACTATTACAGTATTATACAAATTGCCTTCAGATTTTGGAGGATTTACATTGAACCACCTACCCAAATTCTATCTATATAATGTACATCAATGTACATCACAATGACAATGCAAACATCGCATTTATACTATGAGCTTGTAATCGCTTTGTCTTTTACCTCAAGGAATTCAAACTGTGAGTAGCTGTCTCATGATTCGTGACATGGAAGCGTTTACAGGTTTTAATCACGCCAAATGGGCCAAACAAACTCGCACTGACGCACAAGCTGCACATTCCCCGAAGCCATTCCATTCCCCGGCTCATTCCCCGAAGCCATTCCATTCCCAACGGAGCTAGGCCCTGGGGACGAGGATGTTCCATTCCCCGGCTCATTCCCCGGCTCATTCCCCGAAGCCATTCCATTCCCCGTTCCATTCCCCTATTCCCCGTTCCCTGTTTTAAAGATAGCCATTCCGCGTTGTTATGTTACAAATAATGATGAATATTCAACAGGAATTATAATTAATTTTTACAATTTTAATTACATGCACGCTTCCAGCCTGTAATTGTAACCTTGGCGGACTTATCTTGATGCTTATCTGCATATTATTGCATTTATTATCCCCATCTTTGATCAAAGACACTTTATTTGTTACTTTATTTATTACAAATGTATGGTTAAAAGTTTTATAGACATCCACAGTGAGTGACTGCACTTTGTACTCTGAATAAACTAAATTCCTAATACAAACTCTTTTTACAACATAGAAATAAATACTCTATAACATTAACTTATGAACTCTACCAATAGAATAAATAACACAGCTCTGCAAGATAACCATAAAACCATATCTTATTCTAGTTTTGCAAACCATCAATGAAATTGGAATGCCATTTGTGTGTACAGTATAATAATTATGCTATATATAGCTATATGGGTCAGTACACAAGTTTACCACTCTAGTTATGTTCGTGTTTGTCTTTCGAACTGAACGCATAAAAAACGTAGAGCGGTTTGATTTCACGGTGGGTAAAAATTACGATCGAGAACAACCATGGAGATGCAGCGCTGTCATTTTGTTTTGTAATTATTTCACGTGTGGAAAACACATCTCAAATTCTTTCCAAATATGGAAAATACGATGGATTTTCATCGCTTGGGTTCTGACTGACTAATGCCAGGCTTGCGCAATCAACAATCGATGATTTATCAATTCTTATCACATAGCTTTACTCAGGACAAAAATATTTAAGAATATAGGAATCATGAATTAACCGAAAATGAACCATGAATTAACATTTTAACCAATAAATGCAAAGTAAAGAATGATTTAATTGCATTGCCAGTTTGCCACTGAATCTGTTTGACAGTTAAGTATAATGAAACCAATAATCGGTTACAGGTTTTCAATTCCAAAACTGAGTTATGAATTAGTCATTCATCTAGGAAGTTGATCCCACAGTTGGTTAAGATTATACAACCTCGCAAGCCAGGCGTTAGTACCTACAGAGGTTGCTGATTATGAACAGTATGATATTTTCCATTATATCTTTAGTAGTTCAATATTGCACGAGAAGATAAAATTCTTATCTTCGCGTCGCCGTGAAATGCTGTAATATAGCAGCAGGCATTGATTTTCATCGATAGTTAACAGTACAAGCCTGGAATCCTGCGTAATACCTGTGAGCCTGAACAAAAGCCTTCCCGAAGATATCCAAGGTTTTATTTGAATAGCGGCGAAATGAAGGTCACAAACGCTGGTGGCCACGCTACAAACGGGCCAACTTAACCTGCAAGCATTCACTGACCATAAAATAAATTATTCCGCAATAAAAATTTCTACCCTTTATATATAGCCATAAAATAACTCTCTCTGTAGTTAGGGTTAGTCTGCTCGCCTTCAGGAGCGTTGAGTAGGTCGTTCAAGGAGCTGTATCTCCTCATGTTTTCACTTAATAAACCGTTTCTTTTCAAGGCGATTTCTGAACTCGCAGATTTTGGCCCCCGGTCTCGTAGTTGTGCTTGTAACTTTGAACTCTTGAGTATGTTTGTGTAGGAACGGTAACGTTTGTACTGCAAATGAAACAGAACAAACATGAATTAATAATATCAGGTGTGTTATCAAACAATAAATCTAATCTAAAATTCCAATCTTTTGTCTTTCTACAAAAATGTATATATAGCGTATTCAATTGACATCGCCGTCAAACGTCACGCGCATGCGCGAGGCAAACCTTGCGCGGAAAGCTTTACCGAATTTGAACACAAAGGAATCTACTGAAACCCCCCACAAAATTTAGGAAAACGGCCAAACAATTAAAGAAAATAATTAGTAATGCTCTTCATTGGGTAAAAGGAAGTTTTTCCGAGTTTACCCCGTAATTTTGTTTACTCGGGAATTCGTTTGAAGTATTTTTTAAATGAGCTATTCATCACCGCGAAGACTGAAGGTATAGATTACCTCATACTCATAAAAATCTCGTTTCTCCATCCATCCAATCATTTCATGATTTCTCTTATCAACGCCTTGAGGCTGATTGTTCAAGTGATCTATGAGTACGTTCGCCATTTCCTGAGCCTGGAAACATACGAATACGATGTCAAAAAATTAAAAAAATTTCCCATTTCACTATTGCAAAGGGGGTGTCTGTGTGAGTAGCCCAAACAGATATGGATAGTGTGGTATGAAAATTACTTATCCCCAATGCCTAAATATCCCCCTTCCCGGCCATGGTCTCTTGATGGAATGAGAAGTTTACGATCTGCGCGCAACAATAAACACATACCTTTGCCTCATGACTGACCAACTGCTCTGTCTAGAGAAACAAGCACAAGAAATGTTAAATTTTCTGAAAGGCGAATTTGTAAATCCTAAAGTAACTCACCACAGTCAGTCTGGTCCTCGAAAACGGAAGAACAGGTTTCTGAAATCTCTGGCTAAAAACCCCAAAATATATTATGTTAATAAGGTTAATCGCAGTCGAAAGAGGATGTTGAAAGTCACATGGACCAAAGAATAACCTAATTATTGCGAGACAACATAGATTGTCCTAGTTGATCTGTCCCTGGAACGATAACTGATGGACTTTTGGCCGCCATCTTTGAAGCCGAAATGGGTACCAGGGCCTGTCCATCTATTGACTTCGAAGATGGCGGCCGAGTTATCGCTCCAGTTCATATAGAGTCCACTTAGCCTCTTTCAAGCTGAAACGTTGTTTAGACAAAGTGTTTATGCCTGCACAATGTGAATGATAGTCATCACTCACCAAGATCCTACGGGTGCTGGGAGTGGCGGAGACGAAAACGAGGCTGCAACAAGATTCAATCCTTCAACCCATTCTAACATATCAGCCTTGTTCCTAAAAATGTAAATAGGATGTCACAAGGGATAAGCCACTAATGGAAGAGAGTTTCAAGCACGATCACATACCTGGCCTGAAAGAGCAACACCTTCCAGTCAGCGGTGATAAATCTGAACACAAAAGATTTCTTCGTGTAGTCAAAGGCAGGGCTGGCGAACGCGTGATGAGCACCGAGAGAGAACCGAGTGTCGTTGAAGTTCTTTGATTCATCTGGCTGAAATACAAACTTCTTTTAAATTTTTCCACTTTCTATATGCTCTGATAAGTCAAAGCTCCCTAATGTAAAGCTTCCCAAAGCTCCGTCAACGAATACAGCAGTGGTTTTGAAGTTTTGCTAAACATTTTGCAGTAACCTATATTAACCAATACCAAGCTACTTCAACCCTAAGGAAGGTCAATCGTTGCGGCCGGGTATTAAAATCGTCCACTCCTGCTTTGCACAAGTTGGGTAAAAAAAAATTAAGGAGCAATTAACATGGGCTGGTTGTTTGAAAGCTGCTTAAGCTAAGCCGCAGATAAACCAAAGTATAAAAATACTCTCATACATCTTGTGAATGACTTATGCATTAAATATGTACCTCCATGCATTCAATTTTAAACTATTTACATCGAAATATTTCAGCTCATTTGGCCAATAAATAGATAATTTTGTTTCCCATTTTGAACTTATCCATCGTTTAAGCTGAAGGTCTTTCGAACAATTGGCCTCAGATGGGTAAATATGGAACGTTAAGTTACCTTATGTAAAAACATGATCATTCCACGTAAAGTGCCAAAAAATGGCTGCCAACTTCGCTTCCAGGCCGACGCTGAGAAACAAAAAATAAAACAATGGAATTGTTGTAGCGATAACTTCGCCTGGCATCGAGATGTACATTGTATACAATGCGTTATATTATAACTTGCTGTAGAGCCCTGACCCGCACCTTTTTTGCCACCTATGTCTTCAACTAACTTTCGATAGAGCAGGCCTTCTTTGTATATGACCTCATCGCTTGTTGCCTGATTCTAGATCAAAATATACAAAACATTGAACTACGAATGGCCGACTTTGTTAATTTCTGAAGTATTCAAGAGTGAACAGCGAGCTTTGAAGGAGAGATTTGCAAAAAGTTCACAAAATATCACTTACCCCCATCAAGGCCAGACTACCAGTCGTTTCTACTCCATTTGCATTCTAAAAATTGAGAAATAATTTACAAACACATATCAGACTTTTTCTCAAAAACCTTATTCAATAACTTTCGTGACATTAAGTAAATTAGCTTGTAGGTACACCACGTAAGTATTTAATACTGCAAAGCTTTCGGTCCGTTAACCCGGGCCTTCCTCAGTGCAATATCTTATTTGATGTCACCATGCAAACGTACAAGAATATTATTTTCGCGACATTGTCAGCCTTGTCGTGACTATAGCAATATATTAGATAACAGAATAGAGGACACAGAATAGAGAACCACCAGAAGGCGCGCTTAAAGAAAATATTCGTCCAAAAGTGTTACTTGTGTATTGCACAGAGTAGGCCACTATTTATAAAAACACTACCTTAGACTCTTTGCCGTTAGCGTTCATAGTCTGGACTCTCTCGTTGACGTGATTAGGCAGAATATCGTCCCTAGAGAAATTAAAACACACACGCGTCGTCTTAAGAAATAAGCCGGAAGCACTGATGTCTGAACTGTGGAAGTGTGATTCGTTCCTAGTGCTACTTGGTATTTATAGCATTAGAGCATTCAACTTACGCGTGAAATTCCAGACGATTCGATTTTATTGAAGAAAACACGTTCTAGAAAACAATAAAAGCCCAAAAAACCTTTAATAGTTAGTCTACCCAAACCCAAGTTTTGTCTCCATTTGTCTCAAATCAGTGTTGTTCATCGCTCTCTGACTCAAAGACTGAGAACTTCAGCGAGGTTCTGTTTACGTCATAACTCACAGAACGGATGTTACCTGGAGTAAGGTGCTTGGATAGTCTTTTCCATCGCACATGTCAGCAAGATTTCGTACGAAATCTGCTTGCTTCATTCGTCTTCCGAGAGTTTGCTGTTAAAATATCAAGCAATACTTGAGCTTTACAAAAACGCATCGAAAGCTGGTAAAAGGATGCTCTAAACTGCATAGGATGATACAATATCCAAGAAGTAAAATAAGACGATATCACTTAAGGTCTTTCATGTTTACTTGATCGTTAAAGATCAAAATTTCTACACTGTAACAATGGAATAATACCATTGTGCGATAATGCAAGATAATTGTGTATTTCCACACTATGTAAATGGGGCAAGTCCATGTAGCTCCTTGCCATGGAAACTTCAATTTTTGTACAATTTTATTTATATATGGATTTTTTACAATACCTCGCCGTGCAGATCTGTGTTGAGAAGCATTATTGCACAAACAAGAGTATGGACAGCATCTAAAACATATCATTTAGATTATTAACACCTTCAGATTATTTGGAAATGATGGTAAATCATTCGCGACGCGACGCGATATCTGAAATCCGGTGATGTGATTGGTTTGCGAAAAAGTAAAACCGTTTTCTACTTTTTATCTGTCCGCGCGAATAAATTCGCCTTGTCGGCTTAAGGCCGACACAGACCGGACGCGAAGCGGCAACGCGGCGCGAATTTTCAGTTTTCAGAAGCATATAAATTAAATTCTGGGATCAAAATTTGGAATCTGTGGACGCTAGACCAATCAAAATTTATTATTTTAATGCAATCTACAAGAAAATTTTGATAAGTTAAAATTTATTTGCTTTTGAAAAATATAAAACGTTGAAAATTCAGGCCGCGTTGCCGCTTCGCGTCCGGTCTGTGTCGGCCTTTAACTTTCATTAAGTAAAAACAGCTACCAGCTACACGATATACTGGAGTTAAAAACACCAGAGGTACAAAACATGCCGTAAAACAACTTACAACTACACATATCATTACCTGCACTTCCGTACTCCGGCTTATTGCATTCGTGATAGCGATTCGAAAATGGTATCAATATTCTCTCCCGTTCCTGCGTTTCACCTGACAGATTAAACTTATCCAGAAGCATCCTACACATAAGCAGATATCATGGTAAAAAATCTCTGGACTATTTAAAACAAGCCTATTTTAAAACAAGATCCTTAAAATAGGGGCGGCGGAACAAGCTTAAGGGTGCTATAGGGAGTGCCCCCGCAGAGGTAAATGTTGCGGGGTCCCAATAATATATAAAGAATTTCTATACCAACGAGTAACAATTTAAACTATATGGACTACACTGCGTTCTTAAATTCAGCCCCCCCCCCCGAACAAAATATATCCTGCAGCAGAATGGCACAGGTGAATTAGAGGGGGTTGTGAAAACTATTTGTATAAAGTAATCTCTTCCTCACACTTATCCTACAATAGCTTTCCTGTTATTTTATTCATTAGCCGCGTTATTTCTCGCAGTGCAGGAAACATTGGACATATAATCTTTCTGAATTGAGTCGATTACGTAATAAAGCAAAACACTGACATGAAAAGCTTATCATCGCCTCGGATACGTGATGTTACACTGACCGTAGTGACTGGACGAGATCCTTGTTTCGAAAATCGAAACGTTTCATGAACAAAACGGCGAGATCTTTCGTATAGTCGTCACTACAGAAACCAAAACAGAAACAACGTTAGCATACATTGTCCGTTGAACTATATGAATATTGACATCTATAACATCCATATATGGAGGTGACTGCATAATTCTAAGAGGGGATATTTACAAGATCCTGTTGAGCCGAGATTAAACGAAGCATATATACCAATGAGTATGTAATAACATCACCCTGCATGGCAGTGATGTGGTCCTCACGACCTAATTATGTATTTGTTTGGCCACCTCACGCTTTGCTGAATCTCGGGTAGCCAGGCTCATGCAAACTGCCCTCTGACAGGCCATGATAAAGAAAGCCGCATGGCGAACTTGACAGCATTTTTGCGAATTTAAAATAAAAAAAATTGTAAAATGTTTGTCGCGCCACATTAATTTTGTGAAATCCGGCTTCTCTTTGAAAGCTTTTGTTCCTCACACGCCGTCCTTTTTTTTCAACAAAGGCAAGTTTCTTTGCAAGCGGAAAGGTAACGACATAAATATCGATAAAATATACTTTCGCAGAGAGAAAGCTTTGGGTGATTAGGGTAGCCTCTAATCTAGAAAAGTCTTTATCACAACTTGTACCACTTGGATACGACTAAAAGTCTTTACTTCATGAGGATTGTTATTGTGGATCATTGAACATTACAAAGATCATCGGATAAAATGTAGAGAATCGTGAGGTAGCAAGCTTTTGTTTCAAGTTGTTGACAAAATTATTACGATAACTTCAAATCTCGAGTAAACTGGTCTAATTCAAAAATGCGCATAGTGCCAGAGATCTTGTTTTAACTTTAAACTGGCGATATCACGAAACCTCAACAAGCTTACTTTTTGGACAACATGGGTGCGACTTCGTTCCTATCATAACCATCCATATCGAACAATCTCCTGGCCAACTCTTCGCTGGATATACCGTCACCTCCTACAGCATTCGTCGTATTATTGCCTCTCTTATGATTCTCGCTTCGCGTGTGAACGGCTCCGAACGAGTTATTCAACGTCTTCCTGAAAGGGTAGGGACTCGACTCCATTGTAACAGTCACGTTATTTTCACACGATCTAGTGCTAGGAGACAGCGAACCGTAAGACGAGTCCTTACTGCCTGGCGTAGCCTGGCGCACATTTTGTCCACCTTGCATAGTTCGTTCGACGGCCGGGGACAATGATCCCCGTCTACGAAATCCGTCCCCGGAACTTGAGGATCTCTGCCAAACTAAGCCACTGGGATCGCTGCCCTTTGGAACGCGGTTTAGACCGATCTCCGGTAGGCTTGTGCTGTGCAAGGGTCCTTTGCGCGCGATCGCGCTGTTATCCGATACGGTTCGAGTGAGGTCTTGCTTGCGCATGGCATGCCGAACGTTCGTTCTTTCCGCGTTTTCTACAGTTCGTGGCGGTCCTCCGTGCGCCGGAAACGATGTCATGATTTTGCTGAAGCTTCCACTGCGCAAGCTCGTGCGACGTCGGAATACGCCATCTGTACCTAAACGAGAGAAATAAATAGAAGAATAAACAATGGAGCGAAGACCACGGTGACTAAATAAATTTTAACAGTTTTTTAATTGGAGTTTTTAGCAAGAATCTAGAAATATTCGGATTTGCCACGACACTGTGAATCTGTGATGTGTAAGTCGTTAACTCACTTGCTGTACGATTTTCCGGGACTTTTCAGTTCTCAGAAGCAAATAAATATGATGATCATGCATGTTATGTTGCGAATCACAATAAGTAGTAGTACATAGTTTCTAGAATTTTCCTAAGCCTAAGGATAAAATATATTTCCTTTTGAAAATCGAATAATCGCGCTGTGTTGCTGACTTCTGCTTGGCTAGAAAAATCGGTCAAATTTTGTTTTTTGTAGAACATTTTTAAGATTCATAAGTCGTCACGGTGTTGTCTTCGTAATCATAACCGAGAATTTGACCACCCCATTCCTAAATGAGTCTTGACGGAAAAACCGAACTTAAATTAGACCACTTTATTTTGTAGTCATGATTTACTTATGGGACTCGAGAAATTCGAAATCAAATAAATTATGCTTTGAAAGGTCAGGCGCAGAGATGCTCCATTTTCCGTCAAAGATGAAGGTCGTATATACCTTTGTCTATACCGGTGGGTGATGTCTCCTGGCCGACGATTCTAGTTTTGGCTTTAGACATGGTTCCCTCGGGTGTCCTCGACTGGGTGTCGCTTCGCGTGAGTATCACGGGTCGTTTGGAGCGGCTTGGTAGAGATGCACTTCTTCGAATATTACCAGCGTTACGGGTTTGAAACTGCTTGAGCTTCGGATCTTGAACCGAGAAGCGTCTCAGGTATGGACGAGCACGTGCCGCCGCTGCTGTGTCTAAAATTCACAGGGATACAGTCAATAATTTCAGATTACGTACGTGATGTGATGTTGCGAAGTTTGTAAGAAAGTTCAAATGTTTGTTCCCAAGCTTCAAATGTTCCAAATTTATCCAACCATATGGGCTTTGATCCTACGTGGGCAATTTGAGCAGATAAGTCGTGGTACTCGGAAACTAAACATTTGTGATTTCAAAAACGAACATTTGAATTTTCGAACGAAAATCGAAAATGAGGTCACTTTTAAACACAGACTTTAGATTCGGTGAATCATACTTTGAAATGTGACATGGATGATTATTAGAAGGAACAACTTTCAACACATTTCTGTAATGCAAATTACACGTTTCAAACCAATTTAATTTCACATATTATGATATAATCTAATTTGCATTGCACGCAGCCGTTGAAAGTTGTTCTGTGTAACATCACCTTTAAATATAAACGATATTGCCTCTTCAAAGAGGCGGTAAAAATCGCCATAATTGGGGCAAATCTCTTCAATGCTACTCACGAATGAGGTGTTGGTTTTAACACCCTCAATTTGAAGGTGCATGCAGTACAGTCCGTAATGTAAACAAATACCTTGCCCTTGGTAACTTTTTGAACTTCTTAGTCGGATTGATGATTTTAAAAACAAAATATCACGAAATATTTCTTGGAATATCTTTTGGTTGGTTTTTGTAGACATTAGATATTTCAAAGTTATTTTACTGTGACTTCTCGTTATAAAATACAACGAAATTTGAAATTCGGACTATAGTGTGCAATGTGCATGGATATATGATATATGGAAGACATTACTCTACATATCTGCCAGATATCATTCTGTCAGAAAATAATAACAGCGACTCTCATACATCTCTGCCAATATATCAAGTCAGGAAGCATGTGCACAAGTTAACTTAACCATCCAAATATCAAGTTAATTCCACTTTCGAAACGTACTCTGCTTGTCTTTAAAAACACAGCTTCACCGCTAGTGCATGCATAAGTGCCCATTTTTAGCAGCAAAATCCCATTATAAAACTATTTATAATTGCATGCCAAAGTTACCACGGATATCGATACAATTAGGACTAACGAGAGATTTGTGTTTTGAAGAGCTTCTCGATCCATGCCTGCGTTAGCGGAGCGCATACAATAACGGTAAACAAAATTGAAGAGCTGTTTGAGGCCATGCAGACTGCGGTTCGGTTACACGCATCGACATGTCCAAGAGTCCCAACGACAAGTTAAGGGTTATCATGTGTCACAATTGCAACGACTGTCGCACGTCGAGAGGACGAGAACTCGTCGGAGAACATGCAGAAAGCGATGTAATCCCGACACGCATGACGCATGAAACCAAACCAACTCGAATCTATCGTGGTTTGAGACTAATTTTTGGCAGCTAGGCCATCATTCGCGTGACTAACATGACGGACATCGACTTTTTTTGTAATTTCAGGCGACGTGCATGCCCCCACACAGCACTTCACAGCTGCATGAACTTGTCCCATATATGATATATGCTAGCTAAAATTTCTAGAATTTGATACAATCTTTAAATAAGGTACATATCATACTATGGTGGACTCATTAATAACGTATCTAGGGCAATAAATATTTTGATGTACTGCATTTGCATCTTAAGCGAACAGCAAACATTCACGTAATATGCAAATATTGGTGTTATAATGCAAGCATACAGCATACCTTGATTTATGGTACCTTCGCTAGGCGAAGCGCGTTTACCCGAACGATGGCAACGAAAATATCGACTCCGCAGATAGATTAACACACTCAATAAACTATAATAATATAAATTACGCTTGTAATTACATATTGAGTGCATGTGCATGACTACAACTACAAGACTTTATCTCTATATTCACAAAGCGTGTGAAACTGTTGGTCTATTACACGTAAATCAGTTGACAGACTATACCTCAAAACGTTACATTAAAATGCCTTGGAAGAGACACAATAGTCATGCTGTCTGGAAGAAATTTGGCAACGGATACAATGGATCTATAATCGTTTGGTATTAAAACATTTTTGCCAATATGTATGTCTTTGCCTGTGTGTAAAATGCGGCGACTCGTATAAATCGCCAAAATACGTTATGAAATTATTCAAGTGTGTTCATCTCGATGGTTCATATGCATGATGATGATACTACTGTATACGAGGACAAAAATGCGTTGCATGACGCCACGAGCGATTCTGCAGGATTACTAACAATTACAATAAACATTCAAGCAGTTTATGCTCAGTGGGCAATCCAAAAAGTCTGCGTACCCTGTACAAACAGAAACATGCAATGCTAAACAAAATATCAAAACACACGATTACCTTAGCCGTTTATACTCGCTTGTCTACCCAGAAGAAAACAAATTTTTGGTACTCCATGCATAGAACACTATCGCCCGAAACAGGCAAACGAGACTTCCGATCATCGGTAACATATTTAGCACTCATAAGCGATATTCGCAGAAAGTTCTAGACCCATTCGCAAATACAAAGACACCTAGAACTATATGTTTTGGTTGATTCCGTTGGACGCACGACGTGGCCGTATCATCGATTGTCCTTTTGCTCTGTTTTAAGACTACTTGTTTGGACTTGGAAGCGGTTGAACTACGAACTGTATAAAATCATCGCGAATCGAATCAAAAACCTTGATTTCAGAGTAATATGAAACCATTTATACAATTGTCAATAACTATACGTGTACGGTGTACAATGCAATAATAATAACAAGTGCTCGAAACAAGATTTTAGTACGAGGAAAAGTTTCAAATTCTAACCTCCAGTTTACTTGTTTAATTCGTCCAACGTTACTCCGCAGTCTACACACTGTTGAAGTGGTCTAATCTCTTATAATCACAACGCGTAGGAACTGGCCAGTTTCTATAGAGCCTTGATACGTTAACTCAAAGTTCCGGTTAGGTTAGTGACCGAATAATATTTACGCGCTTAAATTACTAGGTGGAAAGGAACTATAATTTTACGGCTAAAATATACTTCCAGAAGTTGTCGCGGTGATGTGAAACGAATTACTCGGATGTTACTATTTATATACGAGCGTAGTTACATCGTACAACCTAGCCAAAGGCAGACATTTTGGACAATACAACACAACAACAAATGTATTCGCAAATTTGGTTGAAGGACCGAGACCTTTGTTGTCACCTAAAAGCTATAAAACATGGCAATAACTTTCAGACAAAGAACTTTCATCTAAAACGGCGACAGTTCTCGTATATATTTCTCACGAAGTTTGGTTCGGTTGCAAAAATACGCTATCATTAATATATTTATAACAAACCTTATTCATATCGACTTAGGAAGGTATCAAATATGGATATGACTTCAAACACTAACTTCCCAATGATAACAAAGGTTGACCATACTTAAATGCACTATTTCTGCCCACCACAGCCAGAAGTCGGACTAAGATTTATGTGCAAGTGAGGCGGAAATTCGGCAAGATCGATCCAGTTAGCAGGAGGCAAGAGTAAAAGCGATATATTCAAAACGGGAACCGCAGACATCACATAGATGAAAACAAAACAACTCAACAGGCCATGACTGTCCTTAGAATATATAATTAAATATTTATTTTGACTTGGTAATAAGTTGTGTCACGAGTTGATTTTCATGTACTATTAGTGTTTGCAGTATACTTTCGCGTGTTTCCAGGTGTGAAAATTTTAAGGGGGATGGTGCATATACACGTGGAGTGGTGGATCAAGGGAAAGGCTAATAAATTTCTATACAGCTCTAATTTGCAATCACATTGGTTGATTTTCTTTAGAAATTTAAGACCAATAGCGTTGCAATATTAAAGTATTTTGAATTCAAAATTAAACCTCAGCCTATACCTTGATCCGCCACTGACCATGTATAAATTATTAAAGAAGTGTGACCCTAAATAAAAACGTATTTGTCCTTAAAGTCAAACGATTGCAAAAAATATAAATGTTTGGCAAAATGTTATTGCCTATTGGCGAGTTGTAAAAATATTGGTGAGTTAAAAGGTGGTTACAGTCGCTTGACTCGCTTCTCCGCAGCATCGGTTCTGTTCGTAACAATGGTTATAGTCTACTTTTACAAAATTGGTCAAACCTTGCATGTTTCGTATATCTCTGAATATAAACTCTCTCTCATATTCATTTAAAAGTATCTTTCAAAATGTAAACAAAGACTGTACCCCACCTTTAAATCATCCCCCGTTTTCTAAATACTTTTGCCAGTCTTTGTGTACAAGCTTACGTAATTTTACTTCCGGGTGATTCTAATATTATCCAAAGACCGTTAAAAACCCTGGGAATAGTCCACGTAATCCAATGTTTTAGTTTATGCGCTTATGATTTCTGAACCACTGTTCGTTTTAAAACTTTAGAAAATATGACTTCTATCGGTCCAGAAAATATTTACTAAAAAAGATAATCAACTTTGTAAACAAGTGATTGAAAAATTAATGTAAAGATTTGCTTTAACCAGTCATAAAATAGCAACTATACTAAAAGTGGTTATAAAAAATCCATTTCTCGAGAGCATATATGAGAGAATTAAGTTCTTATAATTAAACATGATCACAAAATTGCGACTATTTTCATAAAAAATAACAAAAGATATAATCGATTGGATACTGCAGAATTTGAAAACCTTTCTGAGCGGTGATTGGCTAAAACATGAGCGCGAGATCACCTGGTTGTGTATATATAGATCAGTGATCCATTTATCTAATCAAATGACTCAATTCAGAGCAAATTGCTGATACCTTTCATTTCTGAAATCTGATTTATCTGAATATACTGAATTTAAGTGAAATACCCAACTCCATGTTTATTTATATCGATGAGGAATATACAGTAACGCTGAACTAAATACAAGGATACCTAACATGGATATATTTATATAAGTTATATAATCAATATTGGCTTTCTAGGAAATTAACCGGAACAGGTGAACAACGCTTTATAATATTCGATGTTTCAATGACTATGTGAAAATGTTTGACTCAAGCGTAGGTTAAACAACTAGGTCTAAGCATATGCACAATTGCACATGGTCTAAAACGATTACATAGGGTACCATTTAGGCCTTAGGGTTGCATTTACATGCTTATGGGATGTTTTTGCCCGAAAATATTTTTGATTCTTATCATATTTTTCTTCTACCGCAAACTTTTTGATTTGGGTAGCAATATGGACAGGGTACATTCAAGACAAAACAATTCAACAATTGAGATAAAACAGCTGCATGAAGAAGACATTTCTCCTCATATTTTCGACCTTTCTCATAATACAATACTGCTACTTGCAATCAAACGTGCCGCGAGCCGAATTTTTATCGTTGTTTATTAGCAGTTAACGTTCCTTTGAACTCTACTCAACAACGTTGAGCTATTGTCAACGGAACGATTCACGGGTGATTATCAACGCAGATGCTGTATATTCTTACATTTATAAGATTCACTGCGCACTTTCGCCAGTAGGGTGTTTACTGAATAAAATTAGCCAACAACTAAATGCGTATGTCTTGATTTGATAGCCAGTTCTAATGAGTTGACAGTTGAAATATTTTAAAAACTGTCACTCAAATCATCGCTGCATATTTAATCAGAACATACAGTTGAGTAAAGCAGAACGTATTCAACGTGACCTTGGGTATGGGTGAACGTCTCGTTGGCTGCTAGTAAAGTAAGCAAACAACAATAAAAATTCGGCGCGCGGCGCGTTTGATTGCAAAAATAGTAGTAACAGTCTAACAGAGTAAACAATAGATACAGAGCTGGAACTACGTGGCGAATAGTAATTAAATATGGCGTTTTTTGTACCCGTTTTTTAGTGCGCGTGAGCGTAAAGTGACCAACTGCGCATGTTCGGCAAGTGCCTGAAATGTTTAAAATGGCTTGGATTTCTTGATCAAATATTTTCGATTAATTAAAGTTTTACAATATCGTAATTCATAAAGCATTTTACGCACCTAAGACAAATTGCAGAATTGTTTACAGTTTAAATCTCAGGCACTTGCCAAGCATGCGCACTAAAAAAGTGGGTACACTAGTTCCAGCTCTTTAGCTTTTAGTTACTCTGTGAAACAATTCACCATGTTTGTTTATAGTAAACAAACTTACAAACTCTCTTACAATCTGAACATTGTTATGGTAGTACACAGATTATTATGACATTGTCTTGCTAGCTTGTTTTATAATCCCTTCCTATCAACAATTACAAACGTCCTGCCATTCTATTGATAAATGTTATAAAAAGCAAAGGTACTAATTGTTCACTTTTACTTACCTTTTCTTAACCTTAATTTCAATGTATCAGGTGAGCGTCTGAGGGCTTCCACAACTGAAATAGAAATGGATTTTTTGGATTCAATACATTATATATAGACTGGAATACTGACACATTATTCATCCAAAATAATTCTAGTTACTGCATTTTTATAACATATGGTATTCAGGTATATATATATTAATTACCCAGTAAAGCACCTAAAAGTGGCTTTCACTAGTGGTGGTGTGGTCAAGTCTGTAGAGTGGGGATATAGGAGAGGGTTCTTGTGTATTGTACTTATAGTATACTTGATACCCATATAAATCCATAGGGACATTTCCCAAAGAGAATGTCACACTTAACATTATTAGGAGAGGTAAAAATCTACCCCACAATATAGAAGTAAATATATATACCTTTCTTAGCAGGTAGCCTGCTAACACACTCATCATTGACTTCAACCAATACATCCCCAACATGAATCTACATTCAACATGAATTTTCCCATAAGAATTGCAGGGTTTTATCTTAATCATAACACCTTAAAAACCTGAGGTGATATTAATTGATACACTAGGGCCTGGTTTTTCAAAAGCACTAATAATCCAAAATTCTATTAAATGGGTGAACACAAATCTGTACTTCCTGACTTAAAAATTAGGATTATTTATAAAATTATCAAACATGCAACTTAATAATTCACAGGTAGAATTCATTGCAATTGTTCACATATACACAATTTGTCTTCTAGTGTATGGAAACTACTAGCAATGCAATGTTACTATTGATTTAGTGCAAGGTGAATTGAAATTCCAATCATTTTAGGTGCATATAGTCAGTTATTCTTAATGAAGAATCATATACAACAAATCACAATGGGTAATTGTACCCAATATGAACAAGATTCCAGTAACTGGAAATCTATATCTGCAATACTTTATCACTGAAAAGAATCAAATATGTCTGGTTTTGACTGGGCAAAAGACTATTTGGATGCAAAATATTTGTAAGATAATACAGACTGAAGACACCAATGTAGTATCATACTGAATATCTAAGGGAAAGTGCATGGCACTCTAAACAGGCACATAATAAAAAAGTGTTGGCAGGAATTCCCCTAACCTTATCTATCAAAAGATATTTCTAGAGTTTATTGAACATTTTTGCTATTCAATTTCTTATCTATTCATAACAATCAATCAAATATCACTTATTGCATTCCTAATAAAAAAAACATCTGGCAAGAGAAAGATAGCTCTTGAATTTCATATTATAACCTATGAAGAAGCTAATGTACATTAGGGGTGAAAAAATTGAGTCCAAAAAGAAAAATCCAGGAATGTTAACTACAGGCAATTAATCGTTGTACAAATACAATATCAAGCACCTGCTGATGGGAATGTTTTTCCACCAAAGCATGTAGTATTAATTACTAGAAATATTTTTTATGTCTAAAATGAATAAGTGGCTACAGTTTTATCTTCCATCTATTATTCTATGTTACATTGATAAGCTTTAGCCTTGAATGGTTTAACAGACAAGGACTTCGAATTGAGCACAGCCCTTTTGTCTGAATGTGCATTCAAATGAACACAGTCCTTTGGTCTGAATGGTAATAAGTTCTAGAATATATTATAAAAGCAATTATGCGGTAGAAATTAAACCAATTAGATTGAGGTAACTCAAACAAACCATGAACATAATATCAGCATACAATATAATATTAATTAAAATTAGAGAAATTAAAGAGTTATTTATCAGTAAAAACTATCAGATCGAAAGTGTTGGAGTAGCTAAAATTGTACCCTTAATTACACTACACTAACGTACAATCCGTATGTACACAGTTTACTTGAGTTTATTGATATAAGCTTGGAAATAGCCAAATGTCTATATTGTCTTACGGTAGTCATGTATAAGACCGGATGATTTTATTGGAATCATAGGAAAAAGTTGACCTTAATAGGTCAACTCAATAAACTCATTAACACACACTTGTAAAACTTGGAAATAATGAAAAATTTCCTCAAAATATTAAATCAGTATGCTTTAATTGTTTGAAGAGCTTTCAATCGCGGTTCGCAGAAGTCCATATCACCGTGTCGATCGATATTTACTACACGTTCATATCAGCATTGTATTAGTCACGAAATACCATCGGAATGTCACATTCTTTCAAAGAAAGTAACATACTATATAATAAATTAGCTTTTAAAATATTCTGCGTTCTGTTATTTAAACCAAATTGACCTTAACAAAGTGGTCTTAAAGAATAAATTAGCCAAATTAGCTTTTAAATTATAATTCACGGGCAAATACAAACAAATTTAAGGCATGCTTCAAAATATTTACAAATTCCGACCAATTACAATTAAATCAAGCTAGTTAAAGCATTTAGTTTAAGCAAATTGAAAGAGATGAAAAATTGAGTAGGATTCAAATAATGCTGGTGTTGTTATGACTTTTACCACCTACGGGTAAAATATAATCACACTTGACCCAAATATTGTTAAAACTAGTCGGCAATTGTTTGGGAATCTCTGGCTTAGTGTGAATTTACAATATATTTTACACAATGTTTTATGAAAATCGACAAGGCATATTGTACAAATCTATAAAGGCAAATTTTTTCCATAAAACGGCTTCAAATAATAAAGAATTCTAGCTTAAATTTACATTGGCATATGTAATACACATCCAACATAAATACGGCCGTTACCGATGAAAGATATGTCAATGCCAATTACGGCATAAAAACATACCCAAAACCGAATGAATTTCATTTTGAACACAAGCAGATTGCTTCGGAAATTTAACATACGTACAGACGAAAGCGAAAGGCGCTTTTAGGGTGTGTCATACAGTCAAACACGGCCTACCTTGCCGCTCAGTTGAGCCGATCCGTTGTGAACCAGGGCACAGATCATCGGAGGTAGTTCAGTATCTACACCGCCGATAACACTGAAGCCAAAACTGCCCCCGACGTTACGTTCGATTTCGACGGTTTTTGAGTCCGACATCGTAGAGACATTGTGGTTACATTAAGCCATTGTTTTGAAGGATCTCAGAAAGATCTTTGAAGGTCAATTACAAGAAAATCCATCAAAACCTGCCCTGTAAAGATCATATGTTTTTCGACGCACAACATAAATATTCAAGCAGAAGCTGTGTATGTCTATATGGAAACGGGTTCGCAAAATATCGGGTAAACATCGGCCGTCGACTAGCGCACGAATTTGGCCGATATAGCATTCGGTAATATACCCCACTGAGCTACATATGGGTACCCATCACTGGAGTTTAACTTTTGTTCACATAATGAACAAATGGATCAAAATGTATAATATATATATTATTTATTGTATAACTATCTCTAATTCCTGATACTGAACTAGCCGTTTGACATCTTTATCATTTCTTATTATTGTGTTGGGCAGCTTTCTAATCTTTTTCAACTTTGTTAGGTCAACATTCAATTCGGCAGCACAGGTTTCTTTCAATGCTTCATACTTTACGCACTTTTGATCCAGTTCAATTTCAATAAAATCCCTCTCTTCAGAGTCAGCAATACGACACTTCAGGACTAATGCAGAATTGTTCACAGCTGTAGTGCTAGTTTTGTCCAAGGTCACCATTTCGACTTTGTCAGCATCATTGCATGGTGACATGCTACCATTGAATGTGATTTGGTCTGAACTTGGCAAACCACAATCTTGTGTTGCAAGACCCAGCTTCTGGATGCCAATTCTAGTAGCAAAATCTTTTGGACTTTCAGAATACGGAAATGCAGGGTTTAAGAGATAGTTTGGGACAAATTCAGTGATTTTCTCTTTTGGTGTGCAACTTTCCAAGTTTGAAAGCTCCACTGCATCTGACAATAATAAAAGTGAATGTGTTGGTTATACTCCTTTATGAAAAAAAACTGTTTTCCTTCTAAGTAAAAGCTAGATCATTAATGCCTAGAGGTAAATGAAATCTGCCAAAAAATTTTGTACCCAGGTAGAGGTAAAACTAAATCTCAATCAAAGCATGTACCAAAACAAAACCAGCTGTGAGATACAGTACTCACATGACTTTTTAAACAAGTTGGGGGTGATGTTACCCACTCTGTGAACAACATCTGCCAGTTATTAATACTTACTATAATTTGAACTGCAATTCTTTGTATCATTTCCTTCTTCACTTAACAAAAGAAATTTGATATCCTCGCTTTGGGTTACATCAGCTGCAAGTTCATCTTTAAATGAGCGAATGCTTGGATTGGCACCATGCTGCAATAAATAGGTTACAACATCCTTATGGTTTCGCCTGGCAGCCCAGTGTAGTGGAGTCCATCCATTGACTGAATTTCGGGAGTTTACATCAACCTTCGCACGGACCAACACACCAACCTTCTCCACGTCCCCCAAGCAAGCCGTCTCTCGCAACAATTCCTCCAAATTTTTATAACTTTGCATTTTGGAACAGAATTTTTTAAAAAATGTTCTAGGCGATTTCAGAATGTGATATTTCAAAACTCAAGTCCCCAAATGAAGTCGATTATACGACGATTAATCAATCAAATAATTTTCAATTTTCTTTCAATCAATGAAGAGTACTCATAGTGCTCAACCTAGTGATGGCCGATGGGCGATAGTATCGGCACAGTGGTATCGGTAGTCGGTACAGTGGTATCGGTATTCATATCGATATTTATGATTTGGAGAAAATATCCATACTTACACCAAGTAGTAAAAAAATTTCAATACTGAGCCTACAGTATTTTAGGTGACGTTGTCTACCAAAAAGTTCAAAAAGCAAAAAGTATAGAAATTTTGAAATTTATCGGCCTTCTATGTTCAATTTTATTGCTGAACATGTTAACAATTATGCAAATTAATATTATTGATATTATTGAATAAATGCGCAGTATTGTGAAATAACAAATTTGGAAACCTCCCCCAACACCTCCGCGCGCTCAGTGCCGTTATCCGCGATATACCTGAAAGCCTGGAAACGGGGCTGTGCCCGAGGAATGATCAATGGAATTTAAGAATAAAATTTCCCTATTTTAAATGTCCAATCAGCGCTCAGAAAGTTTGTAGAAATAAAATCCGTCATATCTTTTGTCATTCTTATAGAACCAGTCGAAATTAAGTGATTGTGTTTTTAGTTCTATAAGAACTATAACTCTGATATAAATTTGAAACCGAAATAAAGTTGTTTCAACCGAGAAATTCTGAACTATACAAAATTCTTTTAAACATTTTAACTTATTGGAAACTCTTTTTATCTTCACGAAACATACCCCTTATACAATGACAAAAAACTTTTCTTTTTTATTCACCAACACTAAAAAAAATTTATACACTAATCTCTCATAATTTTACCAACTTTGCGAACCATTTCTCTGCAAGTGGAAATCCAGCCTTAATAAGGAAAAGAATACGTTTAATAATTCTTCATTTATATTCTTTAATTCCTCTTACAAAAAGGTCTTTTCACACGAATGTATTACAAAATTTATTCTCTTCTAAATTACAATGTCTTACAATGCTACAGTCCATATTAAAAAAATTATATAATCTTCATTTATTCCACTAAAATTTATACAATCGTCCTGTATCTTTTTGGTTTAAAAATTGACCCTTTGCATAAAACATTTATAGTGACTAAGGAACAAATTGAATTTCCAAAACTTGTTTCCAAAAATGTTGGTCATTGCATGAACGTGACTGTATAGCAATATGCAAAAGGGGTCGTGATTCTAAAATATATACCTTGTATAATTACATCTGTCATAGCTTCCTACTGTACTATAGTACATTGAAAATTATTATCTACTTCATTTAAAATAATTATCAGATACAACATAGAAATATATACTCTTCAGCTATGATTCGCTAAAAATCAGTTTTACAAATTATATTTCTCCACTAAAAGTCTTGATAGTATATTATTGTATATATTAAACATATATTATTAATATATATCTTATCTTATAAGCAATCACTTGCAAATTTGTACACCAACCATGATTTCTAAAAAAAACTAAATAAAAATGTCTGCAAATATATTCCCTTTTCTATTCTTTTGTTTTTCTCTATGTTTTATTTAAATTTGTTTTATTAAAAGTTCCATTCTTTTAGAGCTAGTTTCGGCTGTCTGCCAAACCTTAAAAAATGTCGTCAAGAAGCTCTTGAAATAAAAATATATATTTAAGCAAAGTCGTCCTTTAAACGTCGTTCAATATCGTTGAATTTCGGTAAAATTTTCCTTTTTGGTGTGATCATATATAAACGTTGTTTACATTTTTTACTTTAACCTAAAGAAGTCATCTTTTTGGGCGAAAATATTTACGATTCTTGTAACAAAAAAGGTGTGAATTTTTGCTTGATATTTGTATCAAGCACATCGATTATGTGAACTGTATCAATGCTCAATTATTCAATGCCTAATTTAGTGCTTAATTCTCACAGTTCACTGCAACCATGTCAGTGTTAATTGTACTGATATAAATCCTTCAAATGGATAAAAAATAAGCGGAATTCAAAATATTTTCGCAAGTATGTCTTTCGAAAGACGTTTTCTACGTGTATATGTAACGTGAAAAATACGTTATTCTTTACAGTTTTTTCATATTTTCTTCTCGTACTGAAAATATGAAATCGTTATGAAAAAGACGACAACTTATTACACAAAAGTGATCTTTTTGAAAATCTATCGATTGAAAATTGTACTTGTAGAAAAATAAAGAGACATTCTCTTTTGACAAACCCAAACGGGAAATAAGAGTATCTTTACTTTAAAATGACTGATGTTTTGAAAATCAAAATGATCAAAATAACGTATTTCTCACATTTCATGATATATATATATAGTTGCCCTTAATGTATATCCCAGTTGATAGATAAAAAAATTATTACCAAAATGTTACCTATGCCTATGCTCAATTTTGGGCTCTACGACAATAGTACCCAAGTGCCTTGCATTTTTCACATAAATGCTGCGGGTGTTCCTTCGCCTGATCTGAGACATCAAGTCCGTCAGGTTTGTCCAGCGGTCTCTGCTTGTGCGGATACACGTTGATGTGACATTTCACACACATTTGTCCCATATTCGCCCAACTGTTTCCACTCATCCACTTACGTTTGCATGTGGGACATTTGTATTCACCAAAACACCGCTTCTTCCCCTGGTACGGTGTGAGTCCTTCCCCTTTTGGTCTCGCCTGTTTTAATGACATGATTAATTTCAATAAATCCTTATTAAAAATGTCTGAAGTTAGATACTTTTACTTGACTGCCAGTGTAGTTCTAAACTAAAGCTTTTCAAGCAGTTTAGAAACACAAAGTGCATGTGCAGTTGCCCATTGAATATAACTTTAAAATATGTTTATTTCTTAGTTGTAGATGCCACTCATGCTAGAAATAATGCCATAAGAAATTATTCCGCATAAAGAGTCAGATCATCTTCTGCGGTTACCCTTTTTTCTTTCAAAACAATTATATGTGTTTTGGTAGGATTAGCCAAAAAATAGAGTGTATCGTATGATAGTCACGCAAATCTTGTAAACGTAAACCATTTTGCTGAAGATGAATCGATCTTGATTCGAAATATAAAGAATAAAATTTGTATTATGCTATCATTTTTCGGAATTACTTTAATTCTATATGTGCTAAAACTATCAGCTGATAAAGGATTTTGAAGTCAGAACTTAGACGACGTTCTTCTGTATTTCCGGTTATTTCAAACTAGGGATGTGCCAAGATGTTTTCACCTAGTTTTAAAATGTCTAAAGGTATTTTAACTTTAATCACACGCCTTGAAGAGCGTGCCAGCAAAGAGCTATTTACCTGAGGACAATCTTTGATATAATGTCCCTTACAAAAACACAAATGACATAGGTAACCGTCAGGTGGTCGTCTCGCCTTCTTCGTCGCGTCTGGTGACACCGGGAGGTCATCAAAAAATCCTGGAGGATATGGTTCAAATGATTTCCAAGGATCCTCTTCTGATTTTGCCGGAGAAGTTTGAAAATCAGAGAGTTGTTGCAGCAAGTCGGCTGCGAATACATCAAAGATATCTTTACTGGAATATCTGTCGTACAGCTCCTGGAAATTGAAGAAAATACCATAAATCTGTGTCGAATCTCCTTTCTAGCTTCATGTTACCCAAGCGTTAAGCTTTGAAATTGCTGAAGTTGCAAAAAGTATGCAAAAAAATATAAAAGCCATCAATCTCGCAACAAAAATGTTTATAAAAATTTTTAGCAAAATTGTAAACAATTTTTATTCTCAAGTTGCTCTAGAGATACCAATCACGACTTGGTAACAAGGATTTTAATTTAGTCAGGGGCAAAGAAAACATTGTAAGTTGTAAACAACCCAATGAGCACTCGTCATGGGAGTTTATATTAACTCAGATCATAAACAACTACGGTCAAATCCATCCCACCCGCGAACATATCCAAAAACAGAAAGAAGCTGCTAGGCAAATAAATAAGTCAATTATACAGTAGGCTGCTTTGTAAATCCTACTTCTTGTGATTTACTTAATTTTTAGCATCGTTCATCGAGTGCGTTTTTTTTTTAATTTTACTCCCGTTTTGACAGGTAATCTTCAGGATCTGATCGATGTCCTTCAGTGGTTTCCAAAAATTGACGCAGTAAAAAGTCATGCACATTAATTACAGGCTACAAATGGGTATATATATGGCTGTTGACAAATAGTTCGAATGAGCTTCTTACATAAACATAAACACTTAAAACTGCTGTGCCTATATGGGCATGAATGATGAGAAGGATGGAATGGTAGAAAGACCTCATGACTTCGAAAGATACGACATTTTGAAGAACCGAACCTGCATCTCTGCCGGCTAGACCAGTATAGCTAGGAAGTTTAGATATGGAACGGCTAAATTAATGGTTGGAGATTGCTTCACATTATCGACATGCTGTCCAATCATGAGCATTTAGTACAGTTATAAAGAAGTTTAAAGGCAAGGTTTTATGGGTGGTAATTGCTTTCTTCTACATAACTGGAGAGAATGGGAAAAGTGCTCCGAGAGTTGAGAAAGAAGTTGCGTGGTTAATTAAAGAGAAAAGCTGCTAAACTGGACCACTGAACTTTGTATATCAGTGGTCTACAACTTCAAATCCAGTCCGGGACATCCGCAAAATCTTTCGCAGTCATTCGTGTTCAGATCTTAAATATTTTTAGCTCTTTATCATTCAATCGGAATTTCTACCATGCCAATAAACTACCGCTTCCAACGAGTAAATAACCTTAGCTCAACATTCATGACGCATAGTACTTAATACATACAGCAAAATGGCTGCTTAGGATAACCATTTCCGACTTCTGACACAGGCTAATGGTATGCGTATAAAATTATTCGTGATGGCAATGTTCGTGAATGAAAACTATGGAAATGATGCAAGCATTATCGCAATGAAGGGTATTCGTCTCGCTCACCACCCCCTCTGGCACTGTGAGTGTCAATGCTTGTTTGTCATGATCCAAAAATAAACCGTCCCAGTACCGATGCACCGCGTAAAGGCTTGGGTACAAAACGGCCATTCTCGATTTATCGGCTCAGAGGTTTAAAATTTTTTTGTCATTTTATGTCAATCGGTTTCAAGGTGGGTGATATTCAATGCGAGCTTAACAACTTAGACCAACTTAGCCCGCTCTAAAATTAGTATATACCACACGAAGTTTAAAGATTAAGTATAAATACATGTACACTAACAATATCAGTTTGTTTTAGTAGCTTGAGGGTGACCGACCTTGACCGGGACACGCAGTCTAACATTATTATAGCATATTTATAGTCTATAATGTGATTTAATTGCGGTCACTTGAGGGACCGTCTGGCAGTGATGACAGATTTCGATTGTTTTGAATTGACAAAAGTCAATTACGTTCGTCAACAAAATAGGCCAATGACGTTCAGTCTGAACTTAAACAAGGTCACGAAAATTTTGAAATTCTCGCTTTGAATGACCTTGAAACTCGAGAAGTGTAATAATCAGTTCGATACCATTTGCTCACGAGAAAGGGATATTCATGAAAGAATCTTTGAAAATACAGTATGAATTTTCCTGAGGATTCTGGCGACGGAGTAATCGGTCATTTGCCACACCTTATAACTAAATTTTGGCCTTTGTACTTTCACAAATTTTCAAAAGACAAAGGTCAACAGAAAAGTCGAAAAATGTTGTTTTCTAGCCACATTTACACAAATAAACTGTCTCAGTATGTGCCTCCTAAAGTGGTGAGAAAATTTGCCCCAAAATGCCCAAGTCCTCTCAGTTTAAACTTGCTTCCTACCCTCTCTGCTGTCATGCTATTTGGTCTAGCAACTTGATTGAATATCCATTTCCCCCCATTACCGGTTGCTCAAAGAAAACCTGTTCCACAGGTTTATTCATATCTGGTTCCTGCCCAGAGCATGCTTGTTTTCCTGCTGAAACTGTATCTTAGATAACAATCAACTAAGTTGCCTTTTGTAATTTTTACTGAAGTATGTAACATTTTTAACACATATATAGTTGGTTCTGTCTATTCATGATCATTCATTCCATGCAACAATGGCGAAAACAAAACTTGCGAAAGCTACAAAGTTAATCCGTCGAGAGCGAGCACAAAGCAGCACTTATGAAGACTTAAAATTTTTTTAGGGAACGAAAGATGCACAGTTCACCCGTCAAAGATGAGAAGCTTGAAATGAATAATAAGAAATACTTCAGTTGTTTTCCAGATGTCAATTTTGCGACTACGTTTGATATCATGCGCCTTGAGAATAAGCGTATTCATGCTTCTCAATTCTCCCCCCCCCGGTTTGTTGAAATTTTACAATATTTGTTGTGAAGACGTGTATGAGGCTTTCATCATAGAAAATATAGCTAGCATATGTTCGTTTACGCTGTAGGGGAAAATCAATCAGACAGTACACCGCTGTGTGAGAGTAAAGACAACAATAACGCATTTTCACGACCTTTAATTAACTTTGAATGCGTGTGGAAATGTTCCAAAACTCAATGTTAATAATTAAGACGTTCAACAGACGTTAGTAAAATAATTCTTGGAATTTTGATCACGTCTTTTTCATCTCGCAAATATACGACGTTTTTCCTCCTTGCCCATTTAAAGAATTTAAATCTACTGTATGACGCCAGTTGATTATGGGATGTCTTTTAAATCAGTTACATAAATATAGAACTTTGCATGTATGCATGGTACGTAATGATCGTAAACTATGAGTAAATTTCATACAAATAAAAAATAATCACACAAACCGCTGTAGAGGTGGATATCTGCGCACTCAACACTTACAATGCAGGCGTGTGGTAATGGATTTGTGTTAGACGTTCAGAATTACCATACGCTGCGCGAAATGGGAAGTCCTTCATTGCAAAGAAAACAAGCTTTGATTTGTAAATTGAACTTGTCGACAGGTTTACATGATCTGAGCCGTGCCCGCGAATTTTGCAAAGGAATCGTGTTTAAAAAAATCACAGCAAAATATAATTAGAATAATTGATAACTTGTGTAAATGTCTGAGTTTCGAGTCGTGCTGAGGTTCACGAAAGAATCGGTATTTTGATGAAGTCTCGATCAAGACGTCACAGCATGGTAAAAAATATTGGCTTCTCAGAAAAGTTATTTCGTTACTTAGTTTATGTAACCAAAAAAATGCCATTCTACGAAAATAATTTCTGGATGTGAAGGGTTTCCAGGGAGGAACATATTTGTTGGCAAGTCATGCTACACTGACTAAACGACACCGCATCCATTAATTTAATTCAGATAAGCATCCATTCAGTTAATTCAGTAAGTTCAGTTAATTCAGACGACCAAATGATAACATATATATTTAAGCTATATTCAAATCATACAAGATAAAAGTACTTAAGATAGGTTGCTTTTTAGGTACTTCACAAATAGCGTCCAATTTCAAATAAATTTGAGAGACCTTTGACAAAATAAGTTTTAGATAGAAGATTCTCTTTTGAAATGAAGAAAGGTATTTTCATTTGAGGCCGGATTGTAACTCGCCATGTAATTTTCTCCTTTTTTACGCAAAGGTTATGACTGACAAATGCAGGCTGTTCAATAATATTTATATTATTTCTGCTCGAGTCTAGACATTCTGTATCGAATTCAAAGATCCACCGAGTAGGAACACTTGACATAAACACTTGACACAATCACTCGGACATTTTTCAGTCATCCAATGAAACATTATTGCTGCATGATAACACAACATTGCCATTGTGTCGGTTATACTTAAAACTTTCAGAATATTAATTGCTGCATGGCAAGCATGTATTCATGGCTTTTCATGCGTTCCAGGCGATGGAAATCAGGACTTGTCCTGCAGTATATCTTTCCGCAAGGCTCTACGACTTAATATAATTGAGGGGATAAAAGACTCTTTCATGCACAAATCACATGAGTTTCAGTGAAATTCGATGTTTATCGTTTGCTAAATTATTGTGTCTACAGGCAGACCTTCTCATGTGTATCACATCCGTCAAAACTCGGAAATGCCTCCTATGTTATAAAATTGATGTTTAACAGCCATACAAGATTAATTGGTACCGGCAATGGTACTTTGTACTTATGTCTGGAGTGTAATATAACTGTGAATATACCAAACAACGTAGTGCGAGGTAAACAAACACGAAAGATACGTGCATGGTTTAGATCAAAGTACGATAGCTGTAATGATGGTAAAGAATATAGAAAACATCATTATATAACCTCGAGAGTCAAGAAAACTAAACAACATCTCACTTTTCATGTGTAATCGCTTTACGTATTCTTGGCGGTGATTGCTATTTCGCTTGTTTGTTTTCTTTTTCATATGGATTGCCGAAATGGGAGTTTCAAGCGTTTAAAATAACAGTGTTCTGCTTTAAATCTTATATAGTTTGAAGTGTGTTTTTGAATATACACTCAGGTCATCATTGGGGCACGAAATGTGTGGCAGAACAAATTATGCAAAATATACCCTAGCTCAGTAAAACTCGGGAATTCATATAATATTACCGTAAATTACTAAATGAGGAATGAGCTTATTTTATCATTACATGAAACCTGGATATGCAAAACACTTTGTGCAAAACATCATCTAGCTAATGAAAAGTTCATGCGTAGACTAACCTTCCAACAAAATATAAACAAATAGATCTTATGCATGGGTCTTTAAAAAAACGACAGTGTCATTATTTTATCTGTATTATGAATACAACATATTTTTTTGAATTTCCATCAGTGCTCATAATTTGCATATTTCATTATATCTTTAATACTGCATGCTTGTAAATATCTTATAATTATTTTTTACACTTGTTAATATTATTTCCTTATAATAAAAAATTCGAACTGGCACCCTTTGAACTTGTTTCTATAGGGACTTAAATTAAAGATTTAGGTCTCCACGTCAACGTCCCTATAGCCCCTCATTACTGTCACTGTTTTTTTTAATTTTTTGAGCGTAATAATATAAAAAACCCCAAAAATGCCTTCAGGCAAAACTTTATTGTCAGAAAAAAATTTGCAGTTAATAAGAAATCGATGCAATAACATTTACTTATAGACTATTAATATCCTGATAGAAAATTTCAGTCAGACCACAGGAGCCCTATTGATATTTAGTAACCGGATTCTTTTAGCAAGATAAGAAATATAGATGTCACCTACAAATTTATACATGAATAACGTCCCGCAGGGGACTATGCATGGCTGTGGTTAAGCTATTAATTGCTTATCTACGATCGAATCGAGCAATCTCTGCATGAGAAATTGAATTGAATCCAATAAACGTACATATGGTTTCTATTGTTTTGGCCTAAAAAGGGCCAAATATTTAAGTCAAAACCGCACGCAATGGCGGTATTTTTTTCTTCGTTTATTCCTATTATAGCTTTGGTCAATTCGTGGGGATCCTAAGAAAATCAATAACTTTATACATGCTCGGATTAACCCGGTTCCATACGTCCTGCCGTTTGCGCCGAATGGTTAAGGCACGCGCCGCACACACACATAAGAAGCGCTTAGAAAACGTAATGCAATCAGGAAATTTGGTTGGAAGTGATTTCTCTTAATACTCTGAGAGATTTCCGTCCTATCAAATGGCGCTTTTTTATCAGACCTTTATATATAAAGCAGCCTGTTTGTTTCATCTAAATTAAATAATGCGTTGTCAACCCGAAGGATCCCTTTCAACAATTGATTAAAACAAGATAATAATCCGGCTACTATACGGAACAAAGCAGGCATTAGGGCAAAATATAATACGTAGTATTGAATTAGGGTCAAGTCATTACTAATTAGTATCGTTTCTAGTTAGGAGATGACGTTATGGTACCTGCTTTCAATAGTACCAATAATGCGTACGTGCATGACTGGTACTAATAAGAGCAATGAATATGAAGAAGAAGGAATATGATTCACCCTGCGATATTTGCTAGGTGTTTGCGTCATATTGCAGGAAGCACTTGAACTAAAAAAAAGTTTTCATCTATATCAAATTCGTGCTAATCCACTCAAACAATGTTTATAATTGAGATTTATATTAACTACCTTAACTACCACATTAGAAATGAAGAAGTTAAGTCTTGATGAAAAATGCCGAGAAATGCATAAATATTTTTATGCCTTAGTTGTGCATACATGAAAGCTCGCAAAATAATAGGCCTTTCAACAAATCAAAAGCTGATATTCGCTGTGATCAATAATATTGTAAATATAACGATGCATCATATTACTTAATAAAGAACGATTATATCACGCTGAAAACATAAACAATGCCTTGAGGTGAATTTATAGTACGATTGTTTACTTACAGACAATCTCTGTCTTAAAGTGGATGCGCTCGTCAACCTAATTAGCATAACGTGCGCAAATGTTGATTCAATGCGGAAAAATCGAGAGCTATCGAGCTTGCCTAAACTTAACATGGAGCAATTTCAAATCATATTTACTTTCCATAGCATTGTATATGTTTCCGTCGTAGATGGGGAGCACAAGGGGATATATATTTAGACAATAAATTATTGTCTGGTCTAATATAAATAAAAAAACATGCAAGCATACCAACAATAAATTATTCTATCCGTAATCTATCGGATGTAGTATACCCAATGGCATCCTGCCAACGAATCAATTCATATATCACCTAATATATTATATTATGCTTGCGTTAACTCAATATCACAACGCAACGTGGCTTAGTTAACGCTAAGCCCATGCAGTATCTATGTTTAGAGGTCAATGGATATGTGATGAAAATTGCACATGAGTGAAACTGCCGCGCGGTTAATACGCAACCAAATATACTTTTTCACCGGCTTGCAAGGAATGATCGACACATATAATATCATATCGTTCACCTGGCTGCAAATCGTAGTCGCGCCTTTTTAGGGGATACTTAAGGAATCGATTTGCGATGCATGCTGATTATCTCAGACTCTTCCACTTTACTTTGTGTCCCCGAGAAACAAATACTGATATATGCAAAGGCTTCTATTCCTCCTAGGTCACAACATTACTAAAACATCTTTATTTAATAAGCCACAAAAAGCCCCAAAACGCCTAAAAGCTTGTGAGGATTCACATTAAAATGATGAAATCTTTCAACAATAAATGCAAACATGACATGCATGCAAGTATAGAAAGCGTTTGAATTGCATTGACATGTGTAGATTAACCATTTCCCAACCTGCAATAAAATCGTCCCATTGTATATATAGAACAGACATAAGCGGATGACACGTAGTGACAATGCTAGTGTTTGATAAGTCTACTTCTTCTTACTAGGGGTACATATTACGCGAAGGCACCCCGATCTATATTATATACATATAACTTATATCAGCGCGTGAAATCTTGCTATCTGCGCAATTAAGGAGATATATAACGAACCTCTTTGGCCTCCGTCTTATTGAAATTGAAGTAATTCCTTGAATAATTCGATAACAATTGTGTTTCCATCATCTTGTAAACCAGCGCAATGTCCTTGGCCTCGTTGCGAATTTGCGCAAGTGGTTATACGCTTCAAGGTACGGCAGTTTTGCGTCGAATGTTTCGTTTTAATAAGAATTTGTCAATGAATGTCTCGCTGTTGCCTTTTATGTAATAGTGACGTTTCCTGTAATCATTTTTATTTCCGGTCAATCAATTTTTTTACGACCAGCCATTTTATTATTATTAGTTTTACGCATATTGATACCTATTTAAAATTACAGAATAATTATATAAAGCTATAAAGTTACAAAATTTGGGCTATCGAGAATCAGAGTAAGACTTCGTGATTTGATTTCTACAGTGAAAAATTGCCTATAATAACACTAGTAACATATAAGGACATTTTAAAGTAACAGTGAAAACAGAGAATAAATGTGATGGGTTGGAAGGGTATGTGCATAAGGGCAGTTATAGGAAAAGCAATTCTTTCGTTAGTGAAAAATGTTTAAAAAATATGCCGTTGGCTTTGGGAGGTAAAATAAGAAATCATATATGTATATATATATACTGATACTAAGATGGTAACTGGAGATTATTTAGCAATATTTTGAATCAAAACTTGTGAAAAACAACCCCGAAAGGAAACCACGAAGACAAAATAGCAGAAACAAATTTAACCTGGTCTAAATAGACAAGAGAATAGCGGGTACGAGGTAAAGACTCTGTAACGAAAAATATGGTCACATCCAAACAAAGGTCACCCATCAGAGCTGGAAAACTGCTCTGAAGACAGACTGAAGTCTGAACGAGATATAGGATTTTCTCTCGCAGAGTATACGAACGGGCACATATGTAACTAATATCATGGCGGCCATTACTAGGCATTGCAGCAGACCGTATTAATATCATGAAAGAAATTTATAGCAAATGTGAAAATTGAAATCGTTTGTCTAAGGTCAAATGCACACAGATTATTACTCAAGGTCATTCGATTCAACTTAAACGTCGTGCTGTGAGGTTGTCTAACGAAGGCCATACATCATACTGCGCATAATTTTTCTCTTAAAAATCATTGATCGAAATAAACGAATACCAAAACAATAATAAAATAAATAAACGCGCAATTTCCGTGCAAATGGTGTTATATAATTGTCTTGACGTATATATACACATACAAATACAACGTTATTGCCTTCCCAAGTTGCCTTCTAGCGAAAAAACTTAAAAATAATCGATTTCACTTGATTTTAATAGTATCATGATCATCATTTTCTTTGGTACTTTCTGATTGGTTTGGCTGAAAATTCGTTGAAAAACTGGTCGTATACGTTTATTACGGTAGAGCGAACTTTCTTTGAAGGCAAAGCCAAGGTTGCGCGCGGGTTTTATTGGCAAATCTCCCGATGATGGTTTAAATCATTAAATTTAGCTGCATGGGCTCATCAGAGACCTCCAGCAAAGAATAGTTTGTTTTTTATACGTCCTGATTTCTACCTCCCTTTCAGCTGATGCATTAATTGCGAATTGCTACAGGAGAGGAAGGTTTTAAAATATATACGTCACACGTCTAACGGAAGAATATTCTTATATCCATGCAATCAACTTTAAAGCCAACTGTTTTGCCAAAATAAAACATGCACGCATTAAAAAATCACACGTGGCTCAGTGGCTGTGACAAGCTAGTCACGGATAAGAAAAGACCGTAGATATCAAAATATACAGGGCCGTATGCGCAGAGAATTTTTGATAGGTGGGCACTAATAACTTTACTTAAATCAATATAGTAATTTCAAAATTACATGATAAGTCTTCTCTACAGGGGAGGGTAACTGCCCCTGTCGCCTCCCTCTCTGTATACGCGGCCCTGGAAAATATTTTATATAGACTAGCAAATAGATAAAGAAGCCAAATTCATAAGACGGGGGTATTCTGGTGTTACTAACGGTACTGAGAAACCACGGGTAATCAATGGATATAGATGCAGTATCTCCTGAAAATATACTATATACCCTGAAAATAAATCCAATCCTGAAAATATACTATATATGGACCAGTGCTTAGCGAATAGATAAAGAAGCCAAGATCATCAACGTTAATTAAAGACATGCATGCAGGAGCATTTTGGTGGTGCTAAAGATCATTAACGTGCCAAGATCATTAACGTTAAAGACAGGGTCATTCTGTTGGCGCTAATATCTTCCGAACATCCAATTACAACGAGAAATTCACCGTTTCTAAATTTCACCATCCGGATGTCCTCTTGCCAAATACTAAATAAAGCTTTAAATTCGCATACTACTTCGCTGTTTCGGGTGAAAATAGATGTAAACCCATCCAAATTAAACTTTGTAATGTTGCAGTGAAAATAAAAAGAACGTACACGCTAGTGCCATTCTGACCAACAACAATGTTGCGATATGTCGTGAGGATGGCTTGGCCAAGGCCGTAGAATTGTACACTTTTAAGCCTGGTTTTTATATATGACGTAATTCATCGCCGATGGCTATTGTCAGTGCTCATTAATGCATAAGTCTTTGTGTATCGAAGAAAATTATATACTTCATTGATCACCGACAATAGATCGTAGAACAAACCAGGCTTTAGGAGGCGTTCTTGAGGCAAAAATCATAATCCGGGATTCGCCTGGCTGATGACGTCATCGAAAGAGCTCGAACTGATCCGAGAATAGGACAAAGCACATCTGTGATAATAAGGCATTGTTGGCCGTGATTTGAGACTGTTTGTTTCCTTTTTAACTTGCATGAAACTTTTTTGTGAAACAAACGAAGGCATTCTCATGCTATACCAAAATAATTTAATCGTGGCTACAACAATGCGGTACTTTCATGTGAACGTGCTCTCAGAAATTTTGGCTAGGCGGACTTTGATAAAAAGACGGAAACGTTAAAGACGATATAAAATGGCGCGATGCTCTCCATGTATAGACGTTCCACGCACGCCATTAATTTGCCATTTTTACGTAGTATTGTAGTATTAGTATCTCTAGGTATCACATGAAGACTTTACAGGCCTTACTACATCTTCAAAATATTCCTGACTTAGACTTTAGATAGCAAAAGAGAAAAAATTATTTATAAAAATAATCATGAATTCAATCAAATCAAATAATTATTTTATGACTGAGAAAATTTTGTCATTATACCGCATGTGTACACTGTGCCTAACTAGCAAATATAAATTTATATGTATTACAAATTTTACTTACTTATAATTTTAAAATTGAACTGTTATTAATAGATGCATGACTGTGAATTTATAGCACACGAAACCACGAAAACAAAATGCAAAAACCTCACACGCCATAACGATTAACGGAGTTTATTATCAGGAAAACTTTGGTTTGAAGTTTGAACACTAGAAATTAGGTTATACTATTATTAGTTGTTCTACAACTCATACAAAACAAGGCACTACAGACAAGGCGACATGAAGCAATGGCATATTACATATATCCGTTCGTAAACAAGCAACTGAAATACACACAGCGAAAATTAAACATCCCAGGGGTATTTTCACAGGTACATTAAACATCCCAGGGGTATTTTCACGGGTAGGACCGTACTTCCGTAGGATCTGATAACATCGCCCAGGATCAACAAGGCCGGTAACCCAAGAAATATTTGTTTTGGCAAACAAGCATGCCATATGTTTTGAGTGGTGTATCTCCCATATTGGAACTTCCCTCGGAATTCAGTAAATATTCAACCGTCGCACAAATTACAGTTACGAAAACCCAATTAAAATGATATTTTCAGTTCAATGGCCGAAGAGGCTAAAATTATCCCGTGTCTGTTTCATTAATTTGCAACTTACGGAGATCATGAGCGGCCAAGGTGACATCACGTATAGTATGTTATTCAAAGGAAGCCCCCCGCTGAAAGTTAGCAAGGCGCCTAAAAAGTCAAGGTGACTGTCTTTGTTTGCTTACATATCATGTCTAAGGTCATTGAGACAGATAAATTCAAGGCTATGGACTGACAGCCCACAGTTTGTAGTTTTTTGTAATAAGAAAACTTTTTGATATCACAGATGACGTGGTCTTGGACTATATACCATATATATTATGGCAGACTGCAAGATTAATTCCCATAGTCCCATACTATAAATACCTAACATAAATTATAGCTCACGGAAAGCACTAAAGTATAAATACATTTCAGGTTCAGCGTCATGTCATCTATATGCAGGCAACAATTTTTAACTTGTATTGCATTTATTTAAAGTCATGTGAACGAATGAACCAATCACAATCGAAGTTGTTCGAACACCATCATGCCATTGTTGTTCGAAGCGCCCTGATTTTTAGCATGGGTAGCCCAATGCGCTGCATTACGTACGTCATCGGGTGACGTATATAGTATATAATAATATTATTAATATTATTATAATAATAATATTATTATATATATAATATATAATATATAATTATTATAATAATTAATATTATTATATACTATATACGTGACCCGAGTGACGTACGTAATGCAGCGCATTGGGCTACCTATGTTTTTAGCAATATTTTGGCGCCAATTTTTCATCCAAAATGGCGACTTTCTTTTTCAATACGAATAGAAAACCTGTCGAAAACACTGCCAAATCCATGGTTAAAACTGTCTAAAGGTAACAGAGATTTGATCGGAGAGTTACTTTTTTTCTCAAGCAATGATAATGAACTGATAGGTTTTAAAAGCAGCCGTGAAGCGATAAGTGAATAAAAAATTCTGGTACGTATAGTTTTAATATAAAATGACAAATAATATTTCTATATTTCATTATTAAATATTCTTGGTATTAAATATTCTTGTTATCTAGGAATCTTCCTACAAGATATGTATCTTATAAATGCCTGTTGTATATTCTTCAATATTGAAGAACCTCCAATTAAACAGTTTATAGATATATTAAATTAAAGAAAAATATATTTGCTTGGGAGAATAACTAATTCCACATCCAGGATTTTGAAGATCTTTCATTATATGTTTTTCTCTTTAAACTGCAAATTCTATACCTTCTATTCTAGATTTCCTTTCCTTAATCATGAATTTGTACCAAAAATAAACATAGATCCAATTTTTCCGATTTTCCAAAATTTTGAATTCCCCCACTAAAACCCTTGTACACTACACCTTAAATTCAGAATTTGTTTCTTCTATTTGGTTTGGATGCCAGATACCATTCTTGCATTAAATTCTTTTTGAACTTTTGAATTAGATTTCTAATTATAGCTTTCTAACATTGAAAATAATATGTTAGGGCCCTCACAAAAATCTTGAGATAAAACTTTGGAATTGTTTTCTATCAATGTTGAAATAACATATATACTGGGATAAACAGGTAATTTCAATTGGGTATAAAGTTATAAACTGTTCAAATAATTAAACTATAACAAGTTGGACTATACATAAATTTTTCTGGTATGACTAAACTGCTGCATAAACAATACATAAATAATAGCAAAAAATTCTGATACTTCACTGGCATTTCCAGGACCATGTTTATTTTGGTCCCACCACTGTTTTACCTAATGCATTCATTTCTGCCAAAATTTCATCAACTTTTAATGACATCTGAACGTCTTCAGCAAATTTTGCCCTTAATACACTTTGGTCTTCGATGAACAAGTCATCATAAAATAGTGGATGCTGAATAGCTTGAAAATTTGGGTTTCTGATTTGATTGTATACATCCTTAACAATCTCTTCTAAACTGCCATAACTGATATCTAATTTGTAAAATAATTGCAATGTACAGTCAGAATTAAGTAGCCTATTTTATAGATAGCTTCTACATACTACTGAAGTAGATCATCATGTAGAGAGATCATTCATGCAAGAATCAAATGATATATAGTATATCAGTATAACAACATTATAACTTGGCATCACATGATTACCTCTTATACTAATTTTTACGTCAGGCTTGATGTAAGTGTCTATTTTATGTTAAATATATTCCAAAAATTGATGCAGCATAATAGACAAACATTTGGTTGGACCGAGAAAAAAGGAGTTTCCAAAAAGTGCATACTAAATGTAGTAAAATTGCCAAGTTTGGTTGTGAAGTACTGTAAAGTACGGAAAATATAGCCAATAAAGTTGGCAATTAGTAACACATTACCTAAATTAGTAACACATAAACATATAAAGTAATTAGTAACACATACCTAGGCCAGAAAGGCTACATTTCTTCTCATCAACACCAGGATGGAAGATTTTGGTTAGAAATATAACATCCCGTTCTCCATGTGGGTAGTTCGGCGAAAGCTTTACGTGGAAAACAAACGTCCCTCCTTTATAGAAGCCAGTTTTGAAGTACAGTTCTACTTTAATACTTGGTTCTTCCGTGTTGAAGTCGATAATTCTCGCTTCGCCGTTAGACAAACGGGATATGTTTTCTCGAAGATTTTGAACATCACGCGCTAGCTCTATATTTGCCATGTTTAAAATCTTAAATAATTATATTATACATAAAGCAAGGCTTTTAGTGTCCATCTCTGCTCTTTAAACTTTAACTACTTGGTTTACTAGTTCCAGACTTCCAGAGTTCCAGTGCTCTTTATATTAATATTTATGGTTTAACACTAATATTAAATCTGTAACAGTGGTGGTATTTTCTTCGTTCTACCACGCTATAAAAATAGAAACGATGCTTGATACCTTAACACAAATACCTGAAAAATGTTAGTTTCAAAAAGCACAGCAGTATCATTCATGAACGCTTCTTGATGCACTTACTGGGCATCACCCATGTGGAGTTTACCATCATTTTGCTCAGAATTTGCCTGAAAAATTTGCAGCACTATGGTAGTACCAGTATCCACAAAAAGAAAGGGGTAGGGCCGGTTGTATAGAAAACATTTAATTAAACTACATTTTAATATAACCAAGGAGCGCATGGCAGCGTCTTCAAACAACTTAGCATCAAATGTTGTAAAACAACAGCCTAAATAGACAGAGAAGTGTTTTGTCTATTTAGGCAGTTGTTATACCACATTTGATACATCTTTAATAGTTAGCTCAGAAATACACAACTCTGATTGGCCAATTCTGTCCTTAACTACACAGGTTAGTAACTAGTCTTTTTTTATACAACTGGCCTCAGGTTTGAGTACAAATTTTTTATTTTCATTTTAGGGAATATGTTATGCCTTAGTGGCTATACACACTCATTCCCCCACATTCTGAGCATTTTGAAGCTAATGAGTTTAAATACATACATATACAGAATTATGAATTTAAATAAAAAATATAACAAAACTGTAACTTTTTACAATATTCACTAATAGGTTAATATTTATACACATAATTTAATAATCCCATCAGTCAGCCAAAATACTGGATCCAGCCTTGTATTATGGTAATTAAAACAATATTTGTTTGATGATTATATGTATCTGATAACAATTACCTAAGCATAACTAGATTGTTTTCAACATATATAAGAATTTCAATGCTTTATAAGTATTGTTTTTTAACACAAGTATCAACTATGCACTCCATATCAATGTTCTGGAAGTAACTGGGAATCTTTGGAATATCTTCAAACGTTTTGAAAAGAAGCTATGGTTTTCTGTCCTCCTTGCTCTACCAAACATTAAATTGGCCATCTTTGTGAGCCACTTTGGACAACCCTGGCCTCTGCTGTGCACTTGCTTTCCACGGTTGGAACATTTTGTAAAATTTCTATATATCCAGTATAGACCATAACGGTAGAGTTCATCTTTCAAAGACATGTTTATCACAGTTTGGAAAATTGAGACTGGGAGGTGCATGTTATCACCCAGACCCAGGGCTGGTCTTTCTGAACTTTCGAGTTCCATTGTTGAGTTGGTCGTTTTAGATTTGTTCTGAGTGTTCACAACGTTTGACATTCTCGACTTCTCGTTGTCTTTTTGAACTAGTCCAGGATTTCTCTGAAATACAATACCTTCGACCTCGCCTCCTTCAAGGGATTGCCGAACTTGTTTCGTGAACACCTCCATATACTCCTCAAGCTCTCCTGGACCATCCGCGTCGTACGAAATACACGGATTGAGAGCGTCGTCCAAGGCCGGGTTCTTGACAAGGAAGAGCATTCCTTGTACAATGTCCTCCAAATCGTTCGTTTCTTGCCAATCCTCTTCGAGCAAATTTAGGCAAACGACACTTTCGTCATAGCCATCTCCAATATTAGGATGAAAAATTTGGCTTTTGAATGAAACTTCGGGCACCTTAATTGGATAGTCGTTCGCTAGTCTTACTTCGAACACAAACAAACCGTCATGATAGTAGCCATCTTTTATATTCAGCTCGACTTCAAAACTCGTTAGTTCATCATCAAACGATGTTATCCTAGCTTCGCCATTTGAAAAGCTGTGGATGTTCTTCTGAAGTCTGTAGAAATCTTTTACTGGAGAACGCGTCGACGGAACTGTCATACTTACTCAATAAAATGCTTCACAAAGTCGTGAAGAATGTTAGGAGAGTTATATCCAGTTCATCACAGACAAAATAGTTAAATTTACGCGGTGTTTTATGTTTATATAAAGCGTATTATAAATATAGAACTGTTACATCAGCCATATTGAATCGATATGGTGCAACAACATTTCAGAGTTCAGACCTTTGGAAACAAATTGAAACATTGGACGCAACATTAGCCAATCAGAACGTCCTGCTAATTCAGCATTTGCGATGCACGTGATAGCCTGCGAACGGGCTTTGAAATGTCACCGAATACGGAATACCTGACGCAATACTCACTGTGAATGCGCAATAACCCCTTCAATAAAACGAAAGCCTTTAAAGCCTTGTGTTTTTCAATTTCAGTGGGTTGTGAACATTGAGATGAATAAACCATGGTTCATTCATCTCTATGTTTGCGAATCGCAAGGCAAGAACAAGTTCATGACGCAACCCGTGGACCCACAGTGCCTCCCCGATTTTAATAAAAACACCAATAGATTATAGATATTTGTGTTCAAAATTAAAGAGTACGGCATTTGAAACATTTTTTAACGTTGCCTAGTTTTCAAAATACCTAGATCAAAAAGCCATTTGAGGTTTAAATCAACAGATTGAATTCAAAATTCTCTTTAATGTCACGATTAAATAATCTCGCAATCATGCACAATTAATCCATATCAGTTTGGCTAACTTAACTTCGATATAAGCTACAAATAAAATTATTTAGTATACACTGTCTATACTACCAATCCATACAATAACTACAGAAGTCCTCCGGACTCCCCCCCCCCACACACACATTCAGTTAAACTGAAAAAAACTACAGCCATGCAGTTAAAACCTAATTTAGCGCCTATAATCCCCGCGACAAAACCAGGTTATCATTTCCATCACTTTTAGCACTTCTGAAATTCAACTTTTTACTTGCTCCAAATCATTTCCTAATAAAAGACTTATTTTTTTGTCGGTTGTGTTACTCATCTGCTCATCTGGAATACATTGGTTTTTAAATTTCGAGTTCAGCTTAAAAATTCCAAACAATGATGTGGATGAAAATGATAACCTCTGGCAAATTTCTCATTATGTTCTATAATAAAATCTATATAATAGAAATACATAATACTAATCATAAAACATAGTAATAGCTATATACATAAAAAGTATAGTAAGATGGAAAATAATTTATCTTACGGTTATCTTAAATTTTAAGGTTAAAATATACAAGTACTCGAAACCCCCGAACACTAATAGATTTAAAAACATTTTGGTGATTAAAGGGATACGGAAATAAAAATTATCTTTGTCTATTTTAAAACAACGTCATAATGATGTTTGAATTGTAAGAGTTCTCAAAACAAGTAACTGTTACTTTTTAAGCGTCAACCCTACTTTTGACGTCACGTAACTAGAGTCTCATTACAAAACAAGATGGCGGATATATCTCGATATCCGATGTTTTTGATCGCCAATATCTTGCGCATGAAGATAAACAAATTTCCTAAACAGGCTTAATAAGAAGAGTAAATTTTCTTTTCAACAAAACAGAGATAATTTTTATTGCCATATTATTTAAGCAATTTTTTTTTGAAAACGTGAGATTTTCAAGATCATGCAGGTATTCACAAATTCCCAACCTAAAACCTATGGGGCGTATATAACATATTAGGCGAACCTAATATTTATACATAACTGAGATATAACTATATATTTTTGAAGAGCAGAGTTAATGTTCAAAGTTGAAAAGCTGAGATATTTGTCCAATGAAACCATATAGATATACTGTAGTCTGTAAAGTTCAAAACAATAGCATGTTTTATAGATGTATTTTCGTCGTTATAATTTCACCTGAATATATATTCAAGATTCAATATTACCTTACTCCTTATAATTCAGTCTTGTTTCTTGTGAGCCTAGGAACTAGCTTGTTCGGATTTGTTTTCTGCATCGTCCTCTAGCCCCCAATATTCTCCCACGTCAGACAACTCTTTACCATCTGGATTATAATACCCGTTGATGTCATTCTCTGTGAGCTGTTCGACACGATATTGAAAAACAATTAACGTAAATATGACTCTAAAACTGCAATTAATTTTAGGTCGCTTTTTAGGAGCGTATATAGTTTTTGTGTACGTTCCGAAAATGTCATATGTCGCGTAATATATGTGCTCATGACCAGAAATGCAGGCCAACATGGTGCCAAGCATGTTCGATTTAACGCTAATTTAGGAATCCAATATGGACTCGCCTCTAAGTCTATAAGAAAAGAGTGGGGAATCATTAAAATCTGCTTTCTATGTAACCCACAATTGAGAAGTCATGTTTGTCCCAAAACATCATCAATTTTATTGATCTTTAACCAATTTAACGGCAACTCGAAGTATGTTCTCAAGAAAGGATATTTTTATGATGATCATCGTCGTATGGGAAAGTATATATATTCCTAGCATATATTACTGATATTAGGTACCTTACAGTTCACGTTTCTGCTCGTTGCGGACTTGCGGGAAGGTATTGCATGACCCACACACCTCACCGCTTACCGGCTTGCATTTCTGGCCGTGTCAAAACCTGCAGTTACATCACTGTGCAACAGTACTAAAATGTTCAACATTAAAAATGATTTTGCAAACCTCAAAAGCCCTAAAAAAGTATGTTAGTCAAAATGGCCTTTCATTTCGGAACTTTCCAAAATTCCATGCACAGAAATTGCAGTTCAATACAACATTCCTGCCCTCACGGCATATAATTTTTCGATTGACAACACTGATTTCCTCATCGGTTAATATTTTGACGCTTGTTTGTTGACCAATCGAAAGCGTTCTTATATCCAATTTAGTCCTTAAAATACATTTAATCCTAGGTTAAATGGTTTAACCCTGCTTTGAACAACACAGTTTTAACCCAGGTTTAACTAACCTAGGGTTAAGGAATTTAACCCAGAATAAGCACTAACCCAGGGTTAAATTTAAGCTGCTTTTGAACAACCGGCCCTGAGTGATAGATGACGTCATATTGAGAGTCTACAAGGATCTGAGTTTCAACATCAGATCACCCCTGTTGAAAACACCAGACCGGAGTGTCGAAACGTTGGGTCGTGAATGTAATCTTTGTGTGGTGATTACTTTCATTAATTAAACCAGAGTAGCGATAATTGCGATGAATCAAATCCTGTTCGAAACCGTAGTCATATAACATATTGCGTTCGACGAACTGAAGAACGCTTCCTAGCCGTGTCACATCGAGGTTTGCGATGTCAGATTTGCCTCGTTCTGATGTGTCGTCATAGTAACTGGAGACCATGTGCTCGTTCCATTTTGACATTTTGTTGTTAATTTAAGCATACTGTTGTTAAATTACTCATTTTGCGGGTAACCTTTTGAATCACATACGCTGTGAGCCTTGACGTTATCATGTTAACATTTTTGTCATTGGTCGTTCGCAGAAATCAACACATTCCGAACGCACATCACTAATCTGTGATTACTGCTAGTCTAAATATTAAAGTTGAAATAAATAGGTTTTATTCCCTTAAACTAATTGGGGCAAGAGTAATACGTCACATCTAAAAAATCGTCATTTCATTTATAAAGACTATAAAAACGATTCGATATCGAAAGTATAAGGCATGCATGTCTTACCGGCTCGAGTACTTTCTTTTTTTTCCTAAAGAAAAAAAAAAAAAAAATTCTTAAACCGCTAAACCTCGACAAAATGCAACTAAAAATATTGCAGAAATACAAATGCACAAATAGGCTATCAAATTATATCTCTTTGTATCGCCGCCCGTCGGCGATGCCAATTGACTGCGATCGGTGAAGAATGAAGAAATTTCTTATAGCTCTTTTCACTCATCGTAATGGCAAGCTCGCTACGAGGGTTCTCATCCAATGAAAATGCTTTTATAGGTTGATTTTATAATTACACGCAATCACTCGCAGCGAGCTGTTGCCGATGCTCGGATGGATTAGTGCCTACCTGCAAATACAATACAGAGACACTATGAAAAGTACAAGGATCAATGGCACGCCAATGCCAAGGCTGATCCACAGAGGACGACGATTGTTATCATCACCTGTTTGGCGATCAATATCGACATCTAAAAGAATGTGATCAAGAAGTTTTACTGCAACAGGCATTGTGAATTGTGCATATATAATGTTTACGTGATAACTGTACTGATAATAATCTGGAAAGTATGGTTGCGAAATGTTGTAAAATACGAAAAATATAGTCTTCCAAAGTTTGCAAATTTGTATACTTTTGTGCTATACGTACGGACATTGCTACCATTTTTTTGCCGGAATGTGGTAACAATTTCCGCGTGCGTAGTAAAAAGCAGACGTCAAATTTGGAAGCCCCTATTTTCCGCATTTTACAACATTTCGCAACCAAACTTTCTCTGCTTGACTAATTTCGGTACTCTCTTTTAAAAGTAGCGAAACGTTTAAAGTGTTTGAAATTTAACTTACGGCGGGCCGTGATAACTCTAATTTTGCTGTACGCGCTGCAATTTGTGTTACCATGGTAACATGCTCGAACTTGTACACTATACTCGGTATCACAATCCAACCCAAAAATCGTGGTTGTTGTTACTCTGGGCAGATTGATATATTTTGGATTAGAATTCTTCGTAAAATATTTCACGGTTACGTTCCTTATCACGCCATTTCGTTCCCTCGGATCTGGAAACTGATACGAAGCACAAAAAAAAATCAAGAACTAATATACTGATTTCATCACAACCTAACTTTTCGTGCATTCATGCATAATGCAAACCCCGTGCAAAATCTGCATCAGTGAAAGTTGTATGTTTAAATCATTATCGTATACCTTCCAGTTCACCGTCACATTTCTTTTATTTTCAGTACAATCATACACTCCAAGAAAAGTTGGCTGTAACTCAGGACTATGGCTTGGCACTGAAAATGTGTATATATATGTTTATTTTTAAGTAATATTATTATATATTACTTGAAAAATTGTATATCTACCTCCTTCGGGGGTTGTAAAGGTTCGAGTTGTGGTTTCTGGCTTCATATCGACAGCGGTTGTCGTTATGACTCGAACTGTATAATTTGAATGTGGAATAAGGCGGGCAACTTCTATCTTTTTTGTATATGGTTCATATGAATGTCTGGCATCGTAGATACCCTCGTCATCAGACTGTATCAGAAATTAAAAGCATGTCAAACAAGTGAGCCAGCCGCAGCGAACGAGCCTGAAACGCCAGAGCAAGCAAAGTAGATCCTAATTTACAATTAGGGTGCAAATCAAAACTTGTTCTTGCCACATTGCATGACGAAATTGTGACATATTGGAACGTATTAGGGTTTTTTTCGGTAGGGAGGGGGCTCACTTGTTATTTTAAAAAAGTTTATCGCTTTGTCTGACCGGCTATATAAAATTGATTAAAAAACATATTTTGGGGGTTCAATCCTTATAAATATAATTGTATGTATTTTGGGGGGTTCATAGTCTGTTTAGACCCTGGGTACGAGGGTGATTTAAGAACGATTTTAGACGGAGGATGAGTTTGCTCATATACGTTTAAAACAAGAAATTATCTTAGTTCTATTCTTAAATGAAACGTATTTTCAAATCCCAGAAGCGCAATTAATTGCAGTGTTGCACATGCAGCAAATAAAATTCTAATGTATGATCTCGTGTATACAAATATACGGTTTTCGCAACAAATTGGCCGTAATAATTTTATAGGGAAGTTCCGCAGGAACGAGATTGGCGCGCTGAACACTACTTTGCAAATGCTTTTAGGCAGCATTTCTACTCCCGTGGGTAGACACTTGCAGTACAATTTTCTGTTATACCGAGAGTGCTGAGCAAAACCCGAGAGGCCTGTACTACAGAGAAGGAAGAATGCACAAATCTTTGAACACAACTAACCTTGTATATGTCCTCTCCTGATGTCGACAGAATAAATCTAAAATTCCTTGCAGAATTGGGTGTGCAAATTATATTAAAACGCAAACGAATTACAGCGGTAATACTGTTTGGGTTTTCTCTAGTCTGTATAAAATGAACGTAGTCGTCGCCCAGTTCAGGTGATGAAAAACCTTAAAAAAACAAATCTAGGCTAAAATATTAATCTCATGACCAGTATAGATGACTTGTGATTTCAGACACAAATATATTTTGATATAGATGTGAACAAGTAGATTTCTGCCATAAATAATCTCTCGTTTGCATCTATCAAAAGGAAATCGCAGAGAGGAAATAGGCCTTTGTCGTATAATGACGTCAAACGGGGGATGCAAATGCCTTAATAAATATGATTGGATCCGTAAAACTAACGAGCCAATCAAACGTCGTGTAACAAAAGAGCAACGCAAACGGGCCTTTAGTTTTTGATGCCCGTAGCACGCTTAAATTCATTTTATTTGTAAGTAAATAAACCATTGCCATGCACTCGCATATTTTACGCAGACGAGTTATTAAATAAATACAATTGTTATATAGGTGCTGTGTATTCTAAATGTGATTGGTTCATTCGTAGTCACATGACTTAAATGCAATGTTACCCGCCAGGGAAACAAGTGAAAAAATGTTGCCCGCTTCTTGTCATAACAAAGTAAAGTGGGTTTCTTTTTTTTAATGAAATTGTTGTGTAACATGTATGTTTTTGTTCCTATATAAAAAAACACATAATGTACACTACCTCGGGAAATAGTGAGTTTCCTCGGGAGCATACATTAAGTGTATAATATTCATTAATATGCACAAACCTTTATTTAGTACTACTTTTTCATATTGATTTCCGACTATGCCATCGCCAGTACGCACATAATACTTTAGGGGTTGTACGAAACGAACTTTTTTACATGTTTCCAAATATACCACACCCAAATACGTATCTAGGTTTGTCCCAAGACTTCAGCAAGGGCCTGGTCATACTTGTATTTACATCTGAATGTTCTCCAGTAACATATTTTTTCCAGTTTTCTTCATATAACTGAATGCTACCTATAAAAATTGAGAAGTTTGTAATTGTACAATGGGCAAATGACGGGTGTGACATTTCGCTCTTTTTTAAATATAGCACTCTTACCGCTGGAGGAGGATCCGTTATAATAGTATATTGCTTTACACATTGTTTTTACTCCATTTGTACATGCTTGTGGAGTCGAATTCGTATTACAAACTGTCATATCGAATGAAACAGGTGTAGAGGAATACCGCAAATCCTCTGGTACTGCCCAATGGATGAACAAATACCCATCTGCAGCGCTGATATTTGTTGATATCACGTCTACATAAGCGAAATAGGACTGAAATAAACATGGAATTAACTCTCAATATACACGAATATTCCGCCTAAAAATCGACCTTTTGCATAACAGATCTAGACCGGATTTTGATTCAGGAGACAAAAAGGAATTTCCTAACAGGACGTAATAAAATTGCTAAGTTTGGCTGCGAAATATTGTGAAGTAGCAAAGATATGGCCTAGGGAAGTTGGCAAATTTTGTATACTTTTGTATTATGACTGCAAGAGTGTAACTAATTCAATTTCAAATTTCCGCCCATAATACAAAAGTATACAATGGCCATACTTTCCGTGCCATTTGACATTTTGCAGCCAAACTTGGTAACTACATATACCAATTTCAGTAATGCTTTTTTTAGCTGTTGTGATTTATTTCATTTTTGATACTTAGATCAAAAATCGGTCTATTATACAATGATTAAAATATTCACCAATAGGCCGCTATCTTGTATCTATCTTGTATCTGTAGGCTATCTTGTATCAAGATGCATTCTGGGTTACACAGTAATGTGCATGGTATTGAGAAACAATACAACAGATTTATATATAATTATTTGTAATAAAACTTGATCTGGTTGCAATATTCAGATTAAATATTATAGGGTGGCTTGATAGGAATAAATTACGAGAAAGTAGATTCTTTTCTCTAAAACCCTACTCAGTAAAACACAGATTCCTCGCCACTGATGAACTGTTGCGACTAATGCGTTTCAGTTCTCAAGAGGTAGCACTAGAGCTATGCAATGAACTAAAGCGAGAGACAATTAGACAATTCTACACTCTCAAACGTTTTAAAGAGAAAAATGTGCTTTCCCTGTTTCCCGTAATTTATTCGTATCGAACCACCTTAATAAAAAGTTCGGTTGTATAAAAAGATAGTGAATTGGCAAATCAGAATCGTGCATTTCTGACATAACCACGATTTACGGACGCAAAGTGTAGTTAAGATCTTTATACAACCTACACCTGTTATTTTTGTCGGCAAAATATCCGACGTTGTTAAAAATTCCATTCGGAATATTCGGCGCATAATCTATTTTTCTTTAACGAATTCACTCTAATATGCTGTACATATATATACCTTCAATCAGGATTTCTCGCTTTACCCCAAACGTGATGTTCGCGTATGATATCAACTTTTTGGTCGACGTGTAGCACTCAATATGAGCAGTATAATTCTTGTCTGGTGGAAGGCGTAGGAATGTGTATTTGAACATGTTCCCACCGGGTGTCGAAGAGTCAATTGTACTCTACACAGAGAAGTAATGTGAATAAAACGACGTTATAATAGACCTTTTTCATAATGACGTCAAGCGCGGAAAGACTGATCTTACACGAAGTTTAATTGGCTCGATAATTTTGTGGAGCCAATCAAATTTCATGTAACATCAGACTTTTCGCGTTTGACGTCATTATAAGAAAGGTCTATTATGTACGCTGTTGAATCTCCTTGAATCTCTTCATGTATCTCCCTTGAAACTTCTGAATCGCGCCTGAATCTCCTTAAATAAAAAAACATGCACTAGATTACGTCACCAACCTACCTTGTTTCTAAAATCCTTGTCGTCGCTTGTTAGCCATATTTGAAAAGATGGCACACGACTCTGGTTGAAAGGCGTAAACTGCCATTCGATTGGAACATTATAGTAAATTAATCCAGCACGAACTTGTTTATGAATGGTAACATTCTCGATCCTTGCCGCTGAGAGCCCTAAAATTATCAGGAAATAAAAGAATAAAACCATAAACATGCGGAGAGAGAATGTCATTCATGAACGAGACGTGCTACGATAAAGTTTATCCCATATTTGTTCTCCAAGCATTTCGCTATACGTTAGATAAGTGATTGAAAATACATTTTCATGATTCATGCCTGCTATCCAGCCCATATTTGGCATAAATCGGAATCTATGATACACCATTAATAACAATTAATTTAAGATAAGAGAGGGTGAAATTTGTACTATCGAAAATTCAAATCGTACTATTTCAAAAATTACACTCATACTAGAGGTGGAGTTAGACTCTTTTGATTCGTGCTTAATTCTGTCCACTCACCATGCTCTTACAAACATACATAGGATATTCTATATATAGACTGCCGGTCATGCAGCTGAATGTAAGCTCCTGTAGCCCTTTACGGCATCTTTATGGAAGTAAAAATACATTGTAAATGTACAGAGTGTTTTCTTAGAGAGTGGCTAAGAAATATGGTCCAAGCACATGCAGACAATTACCTATAAAAGTTGTCCTCATGACTTGACCCTAAACGTTTCGTACAAGGCGAGTCCAGACCTCCAAATGACCTGGAGCCAAGCGATTAAACTAAGCTATTTAAGTTGCCAGAAAAAACGAATTTGGTAATATGGAGCTATTTTTTTATTTGGCATGGTGCATAGAATATATAACACGAATTTAGAAATTAACACTGGTTATCATTCGAACCTAACGCTTTTGCGATGACAGTGCAAAAAATGCACCACATCGCAAAAGCGTAGATTCGATTCCTGCCGGAGGACCTATAGTTGACTCATTTTCCATCAACTGTTCCTGGCTTGAATTTGAAGTGTGCATCATCAAAAACCCACGTCAGTCAAGACGACAAATCTCGTATCATGAGCACCCAGTAAATTAAGTATTAATTACGATGATGGAAACATTATGTTGCCTTTTTTAAATGTGTTTCACAATACGTAAATGGAATACAACTTATAAAATCCAAGAAGTGTTTTTGGATCGATAAGCGTTTGTGATCCGCGAACTGAGAATTATATGTCAACATTCCAACAATATACCCTTTCAATAATTAGTCAGAACTTCATTATTTTCAACTCAGACATTGTAAGTTTTACTCTGATAAAAGGTGCAAATCATTGGCTTTTAACACATACATAAAAAAATAACTCTTCATTTCGAAGAATATGTACAGGAATGTTCACCTACTTGATAATAAATTGGCATATTTATACTGTAGTGCAAACTGGCATTTAAACAACTGCATGTGTTTGAATACCAAACAATATGAGTCCTAACTCAATGATTTACTTTAAACAGGCAAAAATATTGGTGACCTCTTCAGATTTTCAGTTGTATCTTTTGATTCAACAATTAATTATTCTAGCACATATGCCCAAATGCAAATTGTTCCATTTGTAAGGAAGCACTTTTGCTTGTCAGGGCTAGTAGGCGGGTTGAATGACCTATCCATGCGGAAATGGAGAAGCAATTGATTTGTCTGCATAGTTGCATAGGCCATCGATCTTAATAACTTCTCTTTAGGTAACCAATCAATAGACAGACCATTAGCATTACTTTCCATGTAGAAATATGCACTGCAAGATTTCAACATTTTTGGGATCTTGCACCCATACAATTCACACACTACAGGGCAGCTTGGGCAACCAGCTTCTTTTCCCTGCATATTATGACCAGACCATATATGCAGTTAGACTGCCCCTCCTGGTATAAATTTGGTAACTATTAAATCAGTGGGGACGCTGTCTGTGTACATCCAACTGAATGAAAAAAAATGGCACACTTTCTGGTCACATTTTTATAATTCCCTGTTTAATTATATCCCTGGGATGGGCATTGGGAATTTTTGAAATTTTGAATGGAAGCTCAAGATCACACACAAAGAAACAGCCCTATGGCTAAAATTATAAATCATTAAATCTGGACCTTTGATACAAAGAGTAGACTGCTGTGATTCCACCTAACTTACATATTCATATGACTTCCAGCTAGGCTTTCAAAACAAGAAGGCCCGAAACACACTTCTATTTGTAAAGATTTATTATACAATAAATGTTTAGTCCCGGTTTATAGCTTGTCAACAAATCCTTCTTATTTTAAAAACAACTGCATATACAACTAAAAACGGTCAAATGAGCAGGGCAAATGAGCAGAGTAAATGAGCAGGGCTGATCGATATTAATTCCACGGCTGTGGTACCTCTCTATAATTCTCCGAACGACTGCATTCTGTTACAACATATTTAGTGAACAGAACCCAATACCAACACAACAAACTTCAATACGCTAGACGATCAAGTGTAATGATATGATGACTGTATAGTAGCTACATACCCTTGCTTGTCCCTGCAGGCAATATTGCTAGTAAAACAGGCAAGCCATAGACAAATATACTAAAGCAAGTTCTTTCTCCTTGGGGCAACATTTAAACCAACAAGTGAAACCAAAAACAAAGAAACAATAGCGCCGCCATAAATCTATAATTATGTTCACATATGCAAAATAGTGGTAGTTTTGAAATCTGAAATCTGAATAACCAACCGGAAGAGGTCGTTTCCTATTCCAGGAAAACAAATCACAATTTCTGAATTTCCAAGAACTTGCGAAGCTATCACAGTATCACTTTCTCAACTATTGTACTTTTGAAATACGATTCTTGTAGTTTTGCATATTGCGATAGTTTAAACAGCAATATAAATATTTGCTGTGCGGTTAATACATCACTACGCGTTAAAATTGCAACAGGAAGAGGAAGTTAAGTTAAATCTGTGCATCAATTTTCCTTATAGCAATGTAACGGAGAATGTTTAAAATTTTTTTGAACATAAACTCTAGTTCATATACATTCGGATAAATTTTATGTTTTCACCCAAGTGACATAAAAATTCCCGACTTTTAAACCTGAAATTGCCCTCGCTCTGGCTAACGAAAAAATTATCAGCTCCACAACAATCTCCAATTTCCAAAGGTTTCGGTTCTTCTTCTCGTCTTGAATAATCACGGCGTCCCGTCTCTGGTCTTTAGAATGTAAGGCATTCTTCTGGCTTACCTATCGATGGCGTTCACGTAAACCCCTAATGTATTCTCTTGACCACCGCCTCCACATGGTTTCTTTGCACTTCTTGAGAAATTTGGCTCGTTTCCGTAAGTTCTTTTCGTCGATGAGGTGAGATTTCATCTTGGGTAAAACGCTTGGGTTGATGTTCAAAATGGTGTTAGGGGTGAGGATGGCTAGTTCGACATCATCTTCTAAGTACGTCAGCGGTCTGTTGTTGAATGCCACTTCGATATCAAGGATTTCTTGCCCAGTTCTTCCCATTTTAGTTTGCCGTTCCCAATGTTTTTGTAAAAGGCTCGCTTGAAACCATATAGATATACCGTAGTCTGTAATTTAGATGTACTTTCGTCGTTATAATTTCACCTGAATGTATATTCAAGATTCAATATTACCTTACTCCTTATAATCCAGTCTTGTTTCTTGTGAGCCTAGGAACTAGCTTGTTCGGATTTGTTTTCCGCATCATCCTCTAGCCTCCAATATTCTCCCACTTCAGACAACTCTTTACCATCTGGTTTATAATACCGGTTGATGTCATCCTCTGTGAGCTGTTAGACATGATATTCAAAAACAATTAACATAAATATGACTCTAAAACTGCAATTAATTTTAAGTCGCTTTTTAAGAGCGTATATAGTTTTTGTGTATGTGCTGAAAACCTCATATGTCGCGTAATATAGGTGCTCGTGACCAGAAATGTAGGCCAACATGGTGCCAAGCATGTACGATCGTTATGGACAATAAGGCGTTGTCTTTGTGTCCTAAATAGGGATGACGGAAGCTATTTGCCAAAAAATATTTACACCTGATTGATATATAAGGAACTGAGTTTCAACATCAGATCACCTCTGTTGAAAACACTAAACCGGAGTGTCGAAACGTTGGGTTGTGAATGTAATCTTTGTGTGGTGATTACTTTCATTTATTAAACCAGAGTAGGGACAATAGCGATGAATCAAATGCTGTTCAAAACTTAGTCATATAACATAATCTAAATATTAAAGTTGAAATAAATGGGTTTTATTCCCTTAAACTAATTGGGGCAAAAGTAATACGTCAATTCAAAAAAGTCGTCATTACTCCGGCGTGAGCGACGGAGTTGAAAATTCGCCTTGGTTTTATTTTGTTTTTTGTTTTTTTTTATTTTTCGTCATCGCAAGTGTGTCATGGCGCGAAATATACTTGTATTTGAAATGTGTATGTGACCGTATTTATCTACATCACGGTTTTGTCTCCGTACGAACTGCATTGTTTATGTTCAGAAGCTTCATATATTGAAGACTGGCACACGCACGGCACGCCGGAGTTAACGCCAGAACAGGCGATTCGATGTCGAAAGTATAAGGCATGCATGTCTTACCGGCTCGAGGGCCTTCTTTTTTTTCCTAAAGAATAAAAACGAATAATTCTTAAACCGCTAAACCTCGACTAAATGCAACTAAAAATATTCTATATATCGCCGCCCGTCAGCGATGCCAATTGATTGCAATCGGTGAAGAATGAAGAAATTTGCTATAGCTCTTTTCACTCATCGCAACGGCAAGCTCGCTGCGAGGTTTCTCATCCAATGAAAATGCTTTTGAGTTGATTTTATAATTATATGCAGTCACTCGCAACGAGGTGTTGCCGATGCTCGGATGGATTAGTGCCTACCTGCAAACACAATACAGAGACACTATGAAAAGTACAAGGATTAATAGCACGCCAATGCCAAGGCTGATCCACAGAGGAAGACGATAGTTAACATCACCTGTTTGGCGATCAATATCGACATCTAAAAGAATATAATCAAGAAGTTTTACTGAAATAGGCATTGTGAATTGTGCATATAACGTGTACGTGATAAACGTTTGGTTGCGAAATGTTGTAAAATACGAAAAATATAGTCTTCCAAAGTTTGCAAATTTGTATATTTTTGTGCTATACGTACGGACATTGCTACCATTTTTGGCCTGAATGTGGTAACAATTTCCGCGTGCGTAGTAAAAAGCAAACGTCAAATTTGGAAGCCCCTATTTCCCGCATTTTACAACATTTCGCAACCAAACTTTCTCTGCTTGACTCATTTCGGTACTCTCTTTTAAAAGTAGTGTTTGAAATTTATCAGCGTTTAAACTTACGGTGGACCGTGATAACTCTAATCTTGCTGTACACGCTGCAATTTGTGTTGCCATGGTAACATGCTCGAACTTGTACACTATACTCGGTATCACAATCCAAACCAAAAATCGTGGTTGTTGTTACTCTGGGCAGATTGATATATTTTGGATTGGAATTCTTCGTAAAATATTTCACGGTTACGTTCCTTATCACGCCATTTCGTTCCCTCGGATCTGGAAACTGGTACGAAACACAAAAAAATGTTTCCGAAAAATCAAGAACTTTTTCTCAAAACAAGAAAACAAGGGCAAGACAAGCCATCATTACCATAATCTATTCTAAAAAAATCCATGCCTTTAATTGACACCGGTTTTGGCAACCTTATTGATAAGTCATCTATATCATGAGAACTGGGATGATCTAAATGAGCTGATATTTTCCTGCGGTCCGAAAAAAAACACCCCCAAGCTGACCTGAAGAATCGCGAAGGACTCTATTAATGGAATGTTCACAAATTACGTTTATCTTTCTTAACCCTTTCAACTATAGACATGGTTGTTTGGAAATGCCAACATATATCAAGATTATAATGTCTTACTGCAGATGCCCCTAAAAATTATATCTAATTATAAATTATAGACATATTGTTTACCCCGTGCGAAATCTGCATCAGTGAAAGTTGTATGTTTAAATCATTATTGTATACCTTCCAGTTCACCGTCACATTTCTTTTATTTTCAGTACAATCATACACTCCAAGAAAAGTTGGCTGTAACTCAGGACTATGGTTTGGCACTGAAAATGTGTATATATATATGTTTATTTTTTAAGTAATATTATAATATAATTACTTCAAACATTGTATATCTACCTCCTTCGGGGGTTGTAAAGGTTCGAGTTGTGGTTTCTGGCTTGATATCAACAAAGGTTGTCGTTATGACTCGAACTGTATAATTTGAATGTGGAATAATGTGGGGAACGTGTATCCATTTTGTATATGTTCCATTATATGAATGTCCGACATCAACGATGTCTACGACACGATGCTGTATCAGAAATTAAAAGCATGTCAAACAAGTGAGTTGCAGATCATTCCATGCTGCCGCAGCGAACGAGCCTGAAACGAGCAAGCAAAGCAGCAGATCCTAATTTACAATTAGGGCGTAAATCAAAACTTGTTCTTGCCACATTGCATGACGGCATCGTGACAGGGACAATGGATAATATTAGGGGTTTTTTTCGGAGGGGGGAGGTTATTATTTTAAAACAAGTTAAAAGTATTTTCAAGTCCCAAAAGCGTAACTAGTTGCACAGCTCTTAAAATTCTAATGTATGATCTCGTGAGTACAAAATTATGGTATTTGCAGTTTTTTTATACACGCTGTATATATATATATATATATATATATATATATATATATTAATATATATATACTTTAGGAGAACAAATTGGCCGTAATAATTCTATAGGGAAGTTCTGCATGAACGAGTTTGGCACGCCGAAAACTGCTTTGCAAATGCTTTTAGGCAGCATTTCTACTCCCGTGGGTAAACGCTAGTGCTCAGTTTTCTGTTATACCGAGAGTACTGAGCAAACCCGAGAGGCCTGTACTACACAAATCTTTGAACACAACTAACCTTGTATATGTCCTCTCCTGATGTCGACAGAATAAATCTAAAATTCCTTGCAGAATTGCGTGTGCAAATTATATTAAAACGCAAACGAATTACAGCGGTAATACTGTTTGGGTTTTCTCTAGTCTGTATCAAATGAACGAAGTCGTCGCCCAGTTCAGGTGATGAAAAACCTTAAAAAAAACAAATCTGGGCTAAAATACTAATCTTATGACTAGTATAGATGACTTGTGATTTCAGACACAAATTTATTTTGATAGATGTGAACAAGTAGATTTCAGCCATAAATATTCTCTCGTATGAGCGGAAATAGGCCTTTCTCGTAATTACGTCAAACGGGGGATGCAAAGGCCTTAATAAATATGATTGGCTCCGTAAAACAAACGAGCCAATCAATCTTCGTGTAACAGCAGAGCAACGCAAATGGACCTTTAGTTGTTGAGGACCTTGAGTTGTTGAGCGGGACCTTTAGTTGGCGCGCTTAAATTTGTTTTATTTGTAAGTAAATAAACCGTTGCTATGCGCTTGCATATTTTACGCCGAGGAGTTATTATTATAAAAACAAATATTCATTACTATGTACCTTTATATAGTTCTACTTTTTCATATTGATTTCCGACTATGCCATCGCCAGTACGCACATAATACTTTAGGGGTTGTACGAAACGAACTTTTTTACATGTTTCCAAATATATACCACACCCAAATACGTATCTAAGTTTGTCCCAAGACTTCAGCAAGGGCCTGGCCATACTTGTATCTACATCTGAATGTTCTCCAGTAACATATTTTTTCCAGTTTTCTTCATATAACTGAATGCTACCTATAAAAATTGAGAAGGTTTGTAATTGTACAAAGGACAAATGATGGGTGTGATATTTCGCTCTTTTTTAAATATAGCACTCTTACCGCTGCAGGAGGATCCGTTATAATAGTATATTGCTTTACACATTGTTTTTACTCCATTTGTACATGCTTGTGGAGTCGAATTCGTATTACAAACTGTCATATCGAATGAAACAGGTGTAGAGGAATACCGCAAATCCTCTGGTACTGCCCAATGGATGAACAAATACCCATCTGCAGCGCAGATATTTGTTGACATCACGCCTACATAAGCGAAATAGGACTGAAATAAACATGGAAATAACTCTCAATATACACGAATATTCTGGCTAAAAATCGACCTTTTTCATAACAGACCGGATTTTAATGCATATACCTTCTTCAGTCAGGATTTCTCGCTTTACCCCAAACGTGATGTTCGCGTAAGATATCAAATTTTTCGTCGACGAGTAGCACTCGATATGAGCAGTATAATTCTTGTCTGGTGGAAGGCGTAGGAATATGTATTTGAACATGTTCCCACCGGGTGTCGAAGAGTCAATTGTCCTCTACACAGAGAAGTCGATGTGAATAAGACGACGTTATAATTATGTGCGCCTTTGTGGCATTTCGAATGTCTGTCGAATCTCTGTGAGTGATTGATTCTCTGTGAGTTGTTCTCACAACTTCCGCAGATGCATTCCGCACATGCAAATTAACTGAAAACGCATTTTATTTTTTCACCATTGCATTGCAAATTTAGCCGACTAGGAAAGATAGCGGGTCGAACCCAGAAATCCATGTCTATTGTTATATAAGAATTGAATTTATTAAAAGTGAAAAAACGCGTCGCTTCTCTTATGCATGGTGCAATAATGTACGACAGGGAATGTTGGGAGAACATACGGAGTAAGAATTACAATTCTCCAGTATCCTTCCAACATCGTTTAATTCTTTTATCATATCTGTAGACTTTGCAAAAAGTACAATTACTTTTCGAAACATCAATGTTGAAATTCCTCCCACGTTAACGTTGCTTATTAACTCATCAAGAATCATCTCAAGCGTGCGGCAGTCGCATAATTTCGAACGAAATGTCGATTCCTTTTTATTAGCTGTTTTCCTAAATTTCCACTATGCCCCATGCTTATTTGTTTCCTGGTGGTACAATGCCACCAATAAAAAAACATGCACTAAATGACGTCACCAACCTACCTTGTTTCCAAAATCCTTGTCGTCGCTTGTTAGCCATATTTGAAAAGATGGCACACGACTCTGGTTGAAAGGTGTAAACTGCCATTCGATTGGAACATTATAGTAAATTAACCCAACGCGAGCTTGTTTATGAATAGTAACGTTCTCGATCTTTGCTGCTGAGAGCCCTAAAATTATTAGGAAATAAAAAGATAGAATCAAACCATAAACATGCGGAGAAAGAATGTCATTCATGAACAACGAGACGTGTTACGATAAAGTTTATCTTATATTTGTTCGCTAAGCATTTCGCTACACGTTAGATATGACACGGCACTGAATATATATGTTGGGAAAGTACAATTCCATGATTCAAGCCTGATTTCCAGCCCATATCGGATCTGTGATACACTATTAGTATAACCATAATTTAGGTAAGGAATTAAGGATAAAATTTATACTATCGTTCTCGGACACAAATACACTTATACTAGACGTGAAGTTAGACTCGTTTGATTCGTGCTTAATTCTGTCCACTCATCTTGCATACATGGGATATTCTATATATAGACTATATAGACTGCATGGTCATGCAGCTGAAAGTAAGCTCCTCTATAGAAGTAAAACACATTGTAAATGTACATTAACGTTGATCTATATAGGTAAAGATATTTTTACCTCTGAACTAGCCTCATAGAGAGTGGCTAAGAAATATGGTCCAAATACATGCAGACAAAATTACCCCTATAAAAGTTGTCTTCATGACTTGACCCTAAAAGTTTTCTACAAAGTGGGTCCAGACCTCCAAGTGACCTGGAGCCAAACAGCTATTTAAGTTTCCAGAAAAAACGAATTTGGTATGGAGCTATTTTTTTTATTTTGCATGGTGCATATAGAGTATATAACACGAATTTAGAAAATAACACTGGTTATATCATTACAGCGGACAACAAAACAAACTCGATACATAAAAACAAAATGTGATTATAAATTGGACTTTTCTGTTCCAAGCTATGCAAGTTGCTATGCAAAGGATTTTTATTGCGTTGCGAAATGAACTTAAGATCATAATGTAGCTCGTTTTCCAACATGTCATCATCTGACATGTAAAATTATGCACTTACATGGATAAAAAATATATAGAAGCCAGCAATTAAGAGTGGTCTTTTTTGCAGTAAAGTTACGTTTAGTATATAGAAAATCGTCACATATATGAAAGTCTCTTAATAAATAACAAGACTGTGTTGGAAGAGAAGTATAGAGGTTGTCATCCAAAAGCACAAAAAAATCATCACATACAATCATATTATGATTTTCAATTAACTGTCAGCGCCATAAAAATCCTTTGCATTCATTTAATCGCCAGTAAGACTCATGCAATATACAGACTAAGGTTGTATTTTGCATAACTACAGACAGTCATGCATTTATCTCCAAATTATTGACAGAGTATGTATATATATTCACTTCTAAATTATATTTTGCAACATTAAGCAGATAAGGTTATATTAAGGTTAAATTAAGGTTATATCAGTACATCAGTCATAAATTCAATTGAATTATAATCTTTTGTGATCCTTTAATAGCTCCATTCGTTGTGATCTACAGGTATTTCATCACTTGTTTGTGCGTCCAGCGTGTGTGTGCTTATCAGCAGCAGCCTGTGCCCTTGCAGGAAACGAACCTTTGGCAGTATTCCCATCGCTAGAATGCTTTGACTGAGTGCTCTGAATGCGAGATTTGTCCGCTTGAGTGACTGGATTTTTTGGCTGCCCGTCCATTTCTTATATTAATGTTCACCTGAAAGTTTAAAACTTTACAGTTGTCTTGAATCATGCACTCTTTCGTGCAGCGGCCGGGGAGTCAAACTAAATCAAGCTTTACGTGAATGGGTAAAGACTAAAGTGAAACTAAAAGTAGCTAATTGTTCACACGAAGATCTATAATTTAGCAGGCCTATTTTTTTTATATATTGGTTTAATATATATTATTATATACCACTTGGCAAGGTTTGTTTTTCGTAGCGTTTCATTGGTCGAGAGGAATCACGCGAGAGTGACGAAATTTTGATGTCGCTAGCACGACCCCCTGCAGAGTGAGATAACGTGTTATCAGTGGTGTTATCTCGTGGGAAATAAAAACTTTTATCCATTTGAAAATATGTCTTTTATGAATAGATATTTCGTTGTTTACCTTGTAGCTTGGTTTTTTTTTGACAAGTGGTATATAATAAAAAACTTATTTACTGGGAACTCAGAAAACATTATGTTTTGTGGACCCTCGACCATCGAAATTTGACTCGGCTTCGCCTCGTGAAATATCGACAGGTCTCGGGTCCACAAAACACAACGTTTCCTTCGTTCGCAGTAAATAAGTGTTAATTAACAATAGCCTTTGGCAAGACGATTTAAATTATTTTTATTGCATGGACCGAAACCACCAACAAAACCCAGCATCGCCGTGTTTAAAATTTTGTCATTTCAGCACTTTTATCTAATGACGTTATACATTTTACAGAACTTGAATAAAGCTGGCTTTACATGCACAATTGCAAAAAATGAAAATAGAGAAAATTGATTAAACTACTAGACCTTTACATAAATAGGAGTAAATTTATAGCCTAAAACATGCAGTAATTTTCAGTTAGAAATTTGCTATATTGGCAAGCGCTGTTCTCCTTGTTATACCACAATATTACGAAATTGAGAGGTTAAACCTATCGTTAGATGAATAGTTTGCTTTGTTTGCGCGCGATATCTCTGTTTGCAAGCAGATATGTTACACACTCATCTTGACATGACAGCAAAATACATTTGAAAGCAAGATCCGGGTGTAACATTTTGCATGTGTCCAAATACTTCGTGAACAAAATACATTAGAGTTAAACGTAAACCTAACGGGCCAGCATATAAAATATTTTACGTCTTCCGTCTTCCACTTACAGGAAATGTCACAAGTTTATAAGGCTGCTTGCTTACCTTATACGTAAATTCTTTTTAAGATTTAGAAAGTTCTTGCAATTCGACAAAACAGCAACCCAATTGAAGCCAAAATCAATCTTGCTCAATTTTCAAAATTCATGCTCTATATATATATTGCAATCGGGTAACTCCCACGGGAAAATTCCCATTTTCCATGAATCGACTGTTTTTTTTTCTAGAATCACCTGTGTACACGTGCGCGTACACGTGCAAAAGCAGAGTAATGCATGCTAACAGGCTAACACCTCCCCCCTGTTCTCTAAGTCCGGCATGTAGGAAGAGAAACAAATAAACTATTTCTTAATAATATTTACGGGGGGAGCTGAACGAGTATAGTTTCAACAACATGAAAGTAAAAAATGAAAGTTGCTTCATGGAACGAAATTTTCAGGAAGTGATTACCCCACTAAGGCAAATATTAGTATTCAAGCAAGGTTTTGCGGTCAAGATGCACTGTTATAATATAACACTGCTACTTTACCACAAGACATATATTAAAAGAGAAGAACTTAGCTGAGCTTTAAAAATACAATATTCGAAATATTTCGAACTAAATTAGGTAAGAAAAGATTAATTGTATACGTAGTAAAATAGCAATGTTATGACAATGTTATGCCGGGAATTCCCTCTGCTTCATTCATCGGGTATTTCCCAATGGCAATATACAATTAATTAATGGTTTCCGTGTTTGGATGGCCTGATCCAAAAACACGGGCTTCGACTAATCAGAACACGCGTTATATTCATGTTATTTTATAAAGTTATTTAAATACCCGCATCGCATAAGAACCCGACACATTACTTAAGCGCTAATTCCACGGGCTAAATTTTCAAGCGAAATACTGCTGCTTTTGAATTGTGAGCAATGAAGCAGAATTAATTTATTCAAGTAGTCGAAATTCAAATAAAAGAGACGAGAGAAAGCGCCCGTGGAATTAGGCCCTTATACCTTGTAACAGTCGACCTCGCCAAAGCAGAGCCGTTTTTGAGAAGAAATTTGAAAAAATTACAACTGAGGCTAACGATGAAGACAACGTCAACGGCGATAACACGTCGTCTAGTAAATGTAGCTGAAGTGAGTGAAGAGTAAAGTATATGTAAAATTACACTCGAAATTAAGACCCGTTTTCAACCTCTAAAATTACATGCTTGCGATGCTGCATGGATAAATTTAAAATTTCTTGTCCTATCAGCTTATGGCCATTCACAAAAATTAAGATATCAACACCTGAAGACACTTTCAACTAAACTATTTCTCACACTGGTTTGAATTCACTAGACAACAAAAATAGCCGATACCGCATAACTATGAGATAAAATTAGTTTAACTTATTCAGTTCTATTATTTTGAATATTCAGTGAAGTTAAATCTAAAATGGACGGCGGACGATCATCGAAAACCCACGTCAGTCAAGACGACAAATCTTGTATCATGAGCACTCAGTCAAAGCATTACGAAGATGGAAACATTCCCAAAGACTCATTTGCTTCTAGAACTCAGTCATCTGCAGACAAGAACTCCGATAACGATGGACAAGGAAAGAAATGACGAACATATGGGACAGCACGTTATGGAGCTATACAAAACTTTATTTACAAAAGATTTTCTTCACTAATTTGCAATAGTAGTAGGTCCTACGTAATATAAGAATATTGTTTATGTTGCCTTTGTTAAATGCGTTTCGCAGTAAATAAATGAAATACGACTAATCAAGTCCGAGAAGTGTTTTTGCATAAGCGTCTGTGATCCGCGAACTGAGAATTTATATATCTCAACATTCCAACAATATACCCTTTCAATAATTAGTCACAACATCATTATTTTCAACTTCGACATTGTAAGTTTTATTCTAATAAAAGGTGCGCAAATCATTGGCTCTTTAACACATACATAAAAAATAATTCTTCATTTCAAAGAATATGTACAGGAATGTTCAGCTACTTGAAAATAAAATATAAGGCTTATACTGCAGTGCAAACTGGCATTTAAACCAATAATTATAAATTCTACCAACTGCATGTGTTTGAATACCAAACAGTATGAGCCCTAACTTAATGATTTATTTGAATTATTTCAAACAGGCAAAAATATTGGTGACCTCTTCAGATTTTCAGTTGTAAATTTTGAGTCAACAATTAATTATTCTAGCACATATGCCCAAATGCCAATTGTTCCATTTGTAAGGAAGCACTTTTGCTTGTCTTGCCATTTAAAAGGGTTGAATGACCTATCCAGGAATGGGGAAGCAATCAATTTGTCTGCATACATGCATAGGCCATCTTAATAACTGCTTTTTAAGTGACCAATTGGCAGCTATCATAAATAGACAGACCGTTATTAGCATTACTTTCCATTTGGAAATCATGCACTGCAAGATTTCAACATTTTTGGGATCTTGCACTCATGAATACAATTTGCACACTACCCTGGGCAACCGGCTGTTTTTTCCCTGCATATTATGACCAGACCATATAATTGCAATATTTTTAACCAAAGTTGTTCAAATCTAGTTAGACTGCCCTCTCCTGACCTCTCCTGGTATAAATTTGGTAACTATTATTAAATCAGTTCCAAGTGATGAAAAAAAGGCACACTTTCTGGTTGCATTTTTATAATTCCCTGTTTAATTATATCCCTGGGCTGTGCATTGGAAATTTTTGAAATTTTGAATGGAAGCCCAAGATCACATACAAAGAAACAGCCCTATAATTATAATTTATTAAATCTGGACCTTGATACAAAGGAGTAGACTGAAACTTGCTGTGATTCCGCCTATAACTTACATATTCATATGACTTCCAGCTAGGCTTTCAAAACAAGAAGGCCCGAAACACACTTCTATTTGTAAATATTTATTATACAATAAATGCTTAGTCCCGGTTTATAGCTACTTGTCAACATGCAATCCTTCTTATTTTAAAAACAACTGCATATATACAACTAGCAGGGCAAATGAGCAGGGCTGATCGATATTAACTGCGGTACCTCTCTATAATTCTCCGAATGACTGCATTCTGTTACAACATATTTAGTGAACAGAACCCAATACCAACACAACAAACTTCAATACGCTAGACGATCGAGCGTAATGATATGATGACTGTATATAATATTATGTACATACCATTGCTTGTCGCTGCGGGCAATATAGCTAGTAAAACAGGCAGGCCATAGACAAATGTACTAAAGCAAGTTCTTTCTCCTTGGGGCAACATTTAAACCAACAAGTGAAACCAAAAACAAAGAAACAACACCGCCGCCATAAACCTATAAATTATGTTCACATATGCAAAATAGTGGTAGTTTTGAAATCTGAATAACCAACCGGAAGAGGTCGTTTCCTATTCCAGGAAAACAAATCACAATGGACGACTTGCGCTTTAGACTCATTTTTGATAGAAGTAACAAGAAGGAAATAAACCGCGAGAGCTATAAAGAGCGTACTTAAATTATTGCAAATGCAAAGTTTGGCCGCGAAATTCTATAAATTGCGGCAAATATAGCAATGCGAAGTTAGCAAATTTTGAATACTTTTGTATTACGCGCGGAAATGTGTAACTAATTTAGTTACTAATTTAGTTCGCATTGCTACATTTTCCATAATTTACAACAATTCCCAGCCAGACATGGCAGTTTTACTAATTTTAATATGCTCTTTCAGAAAATGTCCTTTTTATTGCCGGGGTAAGAAATTAGTCTTAGGCGCAAGTCGTCTAATTTCCAAGACCTTGCGAAGTTATCACAGTATCATTTCTCGACTATTGCCGGTATAGTTTTGCATATTGCGATAGTTTAAAGTTTAAACAGCAATTTAAATTTTTGTGTTTTTTACAACACTACGCGTTAAAATTGCAACAGAAAGAGGAGTCAAGTTAATTCTGTGCATCAATTTTGCTTATAACAATGTGACGGAGAGAGATCGAATGTGTTTATTGTTGAACATTATTTTGAACATAAACTCTAGTTGATATTTATTCGGAAAAATCGAAAATCGGGGGGGGGGACTGGGAAGCAAAAGTTTTGCCCAATGGACATGGTAAAAATTTCCGACTTTTAATTAAACCTCAAATTGCCCTCGCTCTGGCTAACAAAAAAATTAGCCGAATTCATATTAGAGAGGGGAAACTCGTCTTAGAAGGAAGACTCATCGAAGACGGAAAACTCGTCTGATGTGAATCCGTTCACAGCTCGTCCGGATCAGTTCCCGGTCTAGGGCTTTCCGCCCAAAAACAGGTGGATAAGTTGGACGGAAATCCAACAATTAAATGATACATAATTACTAAATTATGTTAGCATAATCGTAAATAATATAAATATTTACGATTTCGTAGCACTTCATTCGATATAGGATCTGTTAAGGGCATTAAGGTCTTAATTTCGAGTGAAAATCATACACATCTAATATTCAATCACCGGCATCGCAAAGGAGTATGAATTCCATTCCTGCCGGAGGACCGATAGTTGACACATTTTTCTCAACTGTTTCAGACTTCAATTTGACACTGCAGAAAACATTTGCTGTGAAAGCATTAAAACATTAAAACCGATGTAGCTTAACAAATGTAGTTTAACATTTGTTTTTTGAAAAAAGGAAAGAACAATGTCCGGACCTGTTAACTCGACTGGTGACAGCTGGCTTTTGTTTTGGTTAAGTTTTAACATCGATTATAAATAATTGTGGACGACATTTGGCCGAAGCTAGTTCACATCAAATGACGACAAGTCGACAAGTTCTTTATGCACTATCTTCAGTAGTGCGCAGTCGCCTTACCGCCTTTTTTACTTTGAACCAGTGATTTTGTTATCCTAAAAAAATATTTTGGAACTATACATTGGTTGTCCTCGTGATTGATGTGAAGAAAAGAAAGTCGAAAGCATCTATATTTAACCTGTCAGAAAGCGAAGAAGACAAGACTTCGCCAAGCAAAACCTCCGTCTAATTAGAATTTTGTGCTCATTTCTATGGAAATGCCTAAAGCTTCTACATAAATCTACGCGTGTTATCATTGTCCAAAAGTTGAATCTCCAACAGCTTAATCAATGTCTCGAGGTGTATCTTGTTGGTTGCTGGTATCATAATGATTTAATTAAAAGCTAGTTCACACTTTTCAATCGATGGAACAATAGAAAGCTGTTAACTTTTAAGGTTGAGGAGACGTCTCATCGTATCACACTGATTCCCAAGACGTATTACTATCTTTTAGTAGGAAAATTGTGGCTTTTAATTCCGTCATTAAAGAGCTGTTGCTTTGAAGAATAAAAAGTACGCCCTAACAGTTATATATGCAAAATATCTATACGATTTGTGGGCGGCTAAAAACGACACTGACATTTTGACTAAAGTCTTAACAACATACGGAGAAAAATGAAGGAGATTAATATTTTGAAGAAGATGTTTTGGTTTCGTTGGGGACTAACAACATTCCTCGCTCTGCTGGCGCTACATGTCCTTTTCACAATTTATAAACAGCTTGGCCAAACGAGTGAAATTTTGAACGAGCTTGCAGAAGCAGGGATGATTCCAATTGGCTACGACGAAGATAAGCTGGATAAGTCAAAATACTTCTTGTTACCGGACTATGCCGGATCAAGGAGGCATGTAAACAAGTTTTCACTGAAAGGGCGAGGGCGTCGAGAAGCGAATCCACAATTCCGGTCGGGGCAAACTGACGATGGGAATTTTCGAACCCGACAGTCAGTTCGAGAAAGTGTTTTCTCTTATGAAAGACAATTTTACGAGGCTGACGATCAAAACCAACCAAGGAACTTCATCGAAACGGATCCATCACTTCGTACACAAAAGTCAAGAAAGCATCGAGATGGTGAAGGCGTAAATAGGTTAGGACGTATAAAAGACACTGATAACAGCAACAAAAACAACATCAGCAAGAAGAAAAAAAACGACGACAATTCAAAAGGTGCTAAAGTGATTATTCTTGCATACCGGCGATCCGGCTCTTCGTTCGTCGGGGAAATGTTCAACAGGAATCCCCGGGTATTTTACCTATTCGAGCCGATATACCCTTTGCAAGACATTGCCGGTCAGGGCAAATTCCCGCTACTTTACGACATGCTAGTTCGCCATTTATGGGAGGTGATTTATACATGTTCCTTTGAAAAACATCCGCTTGTAACGGAATTCCTATCTAGATCGTCGTTCAGATTGAAAAGCGAGGTTCTAACGAATCCAAATTTATGCAAAATTGACGCAAAGCGTCGTCTTACGATGCTTGAGTGTAAACCATTAAATCGAACGATTTTGAGCCGTTTATGCAACTCGAAAGAACACATAGTTGTGAAAAGCATCAGAACAGGCACCAGGAAGACTTTTGAATACTTTCCTAGCTCTTCACGATCTTTCCAACTGAATGCCATCCATCTTGTTCGAGACCCCAGGGCGATTATAAATTCGAGACTTCACGTATACATTGGCGAAAAATTAAACAAGGTTAAGGTCCCGATACGCGACAATCAAAATCTTACGAACGCTTTGCGAAGGTCAGTGCGCATCGCTTCGGCAAATTTATGCAGTCGAATAGAAAGTGACCTGAAGTACGGGAAACAAGCAGGCTCGGAACATTACATGTTGCTACGATACGAAGACGCCGCGATGCGTCCGCTGGAAATTTACAAGAAAATCTCGCGGTTTGCCAGAATCGAAGAGTCGGAGGTGGTCAGAGAGTGGTTGAAACGAAATACGGAGTTTGCGTGGGACAGCGACGACGTATATTCGACGTCGCGAAATTCTACGGCTTCGGTTAGCGAGTGGAGAAGGAAATTTCCTTTCAAGTTGGTGAATGAAGTGCAGGATCAGTGCGCTGAGGTCATGAGGATCTTGGGTTACCTGCCCGCATCAAGTGAAAAAGAATTACTGAACATAAGCGGGACTGATCTTTTCTGAGCTAGACTATGGAATTTCTTTTGTCCCGGTACACTGTGAAAATATTGCTAGAGCGTTTAGGTTGAAACATTATATAAAGAATTCTAATGAACGTGACAAATTGTATAATGTGCCATCCTAATTAGCATTCATGGTACTTTACCACGTATAAAGCCACCACATGTGACCGGCTTAGGGTTGATTTAAGCCCAGTTTACACTACACTCCATTTTATGGCACGGCACGGCTAAAATTGGTACCCGTGCCTAATTGGGCTACCAAAGTATTCAGGCTATCAAAACAATGGCCGAGCACGGATGAAATGGGCACGGAACCCATTTTAGCCGTACCGTGCCAATAAATCCTGTGTAGTGTAAACAGGGCTTTAATGTTACATTCAATTTGTAGGCACGGCACGGCTAGCTAAAACGGGTACCCGTCTAATTTCATTCGTGCTCGCCTTTGTGTTGGGGGTAGCCTGAACACTGATAAAACTGGGTAAGGGAACCAATTTTAGCCGTGCCATTAAATAAGTGCAGTATACTGAATGGAGCTTGAATCTTTCTCTTCATATGCACTAATTGGGTAATTTTTACTTGTAAATCAGGTTATTTTGATGAAATCATTTACCTGCCTTCCCGTCCATATGCATATGGCAATAGGTTGGTTCAAATTAATATCAGCCTACAATTTTGAAGAAAAAAGACAAAGACTGCAATCCTGTAGATCTTTGGATTGTGTTTCATGTTTTACTGTGTTTGTAGCCATTTCAAGTTGAACCTGTAGCTCCACGCGGTTTTGTTATTTGGACTGACTCAATTTGGATCTTCAGAGTTTTACAGCTAGGCAAAAATAAACTAATAATCTTTAATATGTGTTGCGCCTGCGCATTGTGAACATGAATTATGCGAGCACGAGCGGCCCACAATAATTGGCGTAAAGTATTTAAATTATAACCAGAAATCGGCGCACAGGTCCAACATTGGAGTTCAGACACAAAAATTCGGTTCGAGATATCTTTTTCAAAACTAAGTTATTTTTGGAAGGTCCAACTGTACAATTGGACCTTATAAAATTACGTAAATCATATTTTTTTCGAAATTTGTATTAAAGTATGGTATAACGCTATCATGCAGAGGTAGGTATTAGGTAAGCTCTTAGCCTCTTACACGTGTGACATTATTATCTGTCACAATATTACGACAACGCACAAGTTGTTCTCACTTATTAAAATGAAGACTGGAATTACACTACACAACAGTTTTTGTGAACCATGGTGTGCTACAACACAATTCAACCGTGTGACAGACTGGCCATTTGGTTAGAATAAACCGACGAATTTACAAATTAAATTAAAAACATTTACAAATAAAATCTGGCGGGATGGCATGCAGAACTGAATATCTGAATAAACACCCCCCAATTATCGTTTTAGCCACGCCACTGGCAACCATCCAAGTGATCCAACGGCATCCAACCGTTCTATGCAGCAATTGCGAATAAGCTGGTCAACAGTTAAGCGAAAGCCGAAAGGTAGCACCAAAGCCCGAGGGTACCGTACTTCAATCTTGCTACTTTTAAGTACAAATGAAACATGTGATTACAATGCTGTGTAAAAATTTATATGACAGCTTGATTGAGTGCATGGCTCTAATTCAAATTCGTATTGTGTGATGTATGCATATTGTCTAAAGTTATATAAGCCGACTCAAATGCAAATTACAACGATGCAGTATTGCATGCCACGCACACGGTTATACCATTTGTACTTATAGTCTTAAGTTTCGATCACGCTTTTCTGACAGTATTTCAGCTTGATAGTTGATTCTGTGCTCTACCAAGTACCAATCTAAATCGGATCTAAATCGGATCTAAATCGGATCTTACATCAGCAATTGTTGACAGAATATTATACTGTAATTAAAAACCAACCGTTTCATAAAGCATAATTTGAAAATGTCTACCAAAGTCGTGTTGCAAACATTCGTCATATTGACGCTGTTTTATATTTCGTCTGGGGCAGAGCAATGCTTGCCTGGGACCTATCACAAGAAGATATCGTCTCCAGCAACTGAAGATTATCCTGAGTGCAAAGCATGGAGCAATGATACATGTTGTACCGCGAATTTTACTCAGACGTTACACAAGACGCAAACCAGAGAGCTGTATAATGGCTTTCATTGGGGACATTGTAAAAACATTAGCAAGGTAAGATGTATGATTATAAACCATTTTATATATTATATATGCGATGTATGTTCGAATCAATAGAAGTAGACTAAGTCTCGTACGTGGTCAAATGTAACTTCGACACAAAGTCAAAGATGACAGCAGTCTGCCATATACAATTTCAATGAAAGTGAAAGACGTTTGGTCGTGAGGTTTAATATCATAATTTTGCATATCATAATTACTCCGGCGTCAGCGACGGAGTTGAAAATTCGCCTCGGTTTTGTTTTGTTTTTGTTTTTTGTTTTGTTTTTTTTTTTATTATTTTTCGTCGTCGCAAGTCTGAAATGGCGCGAACCATTCTAGTATTTGAAATGTGTATGTAACCGTATTTATCTACGTCCCAGTCTTATCTTCTAAGAGTTGTGGTGTACAGCTTTGGCTAATTTTCCGATGCGCGATTCGATTTCGCTCGCATGATACGGCAATTCCTCCAAGAGGAACAAATAAACCGTTGTTTTCATGCTGTTCGATTAAGTTTAGATTGAATTGGGGTAAGAATATATTTAATACATGTAGATTCTGTTCCTATTTTAATAATATCGCTGCTATTTCGCCGTTTAATAAGATGATGTAGTCGTGTATGGGCGCGTTGACACGTCGTAGTTTGCACAGGATTGAAGATTTAATATAACTGTATAAGCGCCTATTCCAAAAGCAAAGTGTAAGACAAAGCGAATGTATCATGCGGTTTATTTACATTTTTGAACAATTGAACTTCTACACTTTTTAAAGTACGATGTGCTTCTAAATTTCGCAATCGAACATTTATAGGTTCGCAACTCGCAAGGCATCTAAATGCGAATATGAACTGTATTGTTTATGTTCAGAAGCTCTATATTAAAGACTGGCACGTGCGCCGGAGTTAACGCCAGATCAGGCGTCTTGTTTTGCATGACAACATTTTAAATTCATAGTTACATAAAATATTAACCTTTATACTTTGAACACTTTATACGCCGTACAAATATAAAAAATTGTATATGTGTATTCATAGAAGAGATAGACGCGCGTGACACCGCGTGTAGTAATGGCTGTAATGCATATGCGCCAATGATTGACTTCTGCTGAGCATCAGTTGTTACAACAAAAACCTAACACTGACGTGTGGAAATCCACCAATATTCTACGAATTGTTCTTGGTAAATGTCCTCCTATCACCTTATATAGGGTGTCAATAAATACATAGTATCGCATTATTATCAGTGCAACAAAAAGGAGGAAAAATCCCTGCATACGAGGATTCAAACCAGCCTCGTTCCCAGGCGCTTTAAATAAATTAAATATACGAACATTACACGCTTTAATTCCTTGCGTGCTCACTCTGCTTAGCCACTGATCTATGTAAAAGTCTGTAGTGTTCTTATATATATATTTTATTAAAAGCGCCTGGGAACGAGGCTGGATTCAAACCTAAAGGCAGGGGCGTAAAAACGGGGGGGAGAGAGAAAAGGCAGCCAAGGCCCCTAATGGTGTCCAGGGCTTCAAATGAAAATTCAGAAAGCATTTAACAAAACGACCTAAACTTTTCAAGTGTAAGATTTGGTTACACGGCGTTCACGGCGCTACAAAGATTTGGTTCATATTTTTTCTCTCTTGCAGCCATGCGAGAAATTTCTTTTTGAAGAAGAATGTTTCTATTCTTGTGAACCTCGTCTGTACAGATGGCATACCGGTAATGCTACAATAAAAAACGTCCCTATATGTGGAGACTACTGCGATTCTTGGTATGAAGCGTGTAAAGATGACGAAACATGCATAAAAAATTGGTTAATTGGCTTCGATACTCCGGATAACACGTGTCCAAAAGACGCTAAATGTCAAACATTTAAGGAGGTAAAGACAAAGATTGTTGCCTAATAGTTAACCCGCGAACGGGTGGTTTCATCGTAAACGGGGGGGGGAAGTTGTGTCATATAATCCTCGGTAAACAAAAACATAAGAATCATAGAAAAAATTGAAACATTGAAATCCGAGCGTTTAAATTTCACACTCCAGTTGAATTGAAGTATACGTTTAGGCTTCGTGATCACTCAGTCATGACGTCACTGAACTCTTTGTGCAACTGGAAGTTATTTTATTTGGATTCCTTATTACAGAACATCTCATCGGAGGTTTAGACCCAGAGAATATAGAACGTCGGATAATAATGCAATTTCAAGTTTTTTGCTTTTAATTTTGTCTCAAGGGAGTTGTATTTGTAAAATTACGAAAACCTCGTAAAGGTATATTTTTACGACTATTTAGTACATGCACTTTCTACTCAACCTATAGCCAAAGGCGAAGTCTTGTTTATATGTTTTCCTTTGAAAGCTAACCAAACTAGACTATCCACTTTTTGGCAGGCTATTCTAGTTGAAAAGCGACAATTTATACAATATATTTATTTTAGATGTACGGCAGTGGCAAAGAGGTATGCAATAAGATGTGGGGAACATCATTCCGTTATGTTGACCCAAAGTGCCCATGTAGTAGAATGGATCAACCTATTCCAAGCAACGTTGATGAAACATCCACTTGCTCAGGTGGTGAAAAAATGATGGCCTCGTTCTATGGCTTTTATCTCATTTTCATGGCTATTAAGTTGTCTTAGTTTTTGTCTACTTTATCACTTTTTTATTTACTCGGAGAAGCGTAAACGTTTAGGTTTAATATTTAGAATTCAGTAACCTTGTGATTAGAATAACATCAGGCATAAGAATACTGATATATGTACGTATTCAAATGTCAGTATTAAAAAAAAAAAATTGTTTGAAAAATGGACATGAGGCAGTAAACCATTTACGCAATATTTAAGATAATGATCAATGTATTTACAGTTGCAATAAAAATGTCTTAGTTTATGGTTGAATTTACAGAAAACTTCGAAACGGCTTCTGCAAACTATTGACAGTATTGTTATTTGCACCTTAACTTTTTGACCAGGATAGTTTGCTGCGCGACTATTGCTCATTTACTGTTTGTGTACAAATCAAAGGTAGCATGTAAACTAGGTTTGGCTTCTAATGACGAACGTCTGGTTTCATTTTAAACACAGTGCAGTGGATACTTAATCCAGCCCAATTTTGTATCACTATGTAGTTCAAAACGCCCAAGATTATATCCACGACAACGAATGAACTTTAGGTAACTCTGTGTGTGTTGGATTAATCTTGATATTTGTATAAAACGTGTACGAATGTTTTCATTTCTTCGCGAAAGTTATCTTCATTGCATTTGTCGGCGTGATTTTAAAACCTTGCAGCGCATCCTTCGCTGTCCCTGCTTGAATTTCGTTATCAAATTCCACGAAAGCGATGTCGGATTTTCCAGGAACTAATCGGACTTCTCGGAAACCAGGAAATCTAACATAGAAGTAAAACAAACAATGACACACGAATAAACACATAAATTTCAGAAAACAGAACAAAGAAATGTTAATGTTAACTAACATGTTGTGTTTATGAAATAATTTTGTGTGCAATATTGTGTGCGGTGATAAACAGTATTTACACTTGGGTAAAGTCAAATTTTCATGATATAATTATAAGATATTTTTCCTAAATTATCAATAAGTTATAGTGAAATAATGTGAGTATACGAGATGTTGACACATAATATAAAAATAGTATAATGTAAAAATGTTAAAACAGTACTGGTTGAACAGCATAGCCAACATCATTTGTGTGGTTTCTGGGGGTAGTTGGGTTAAAAATAGGATCTTGTTCGGTAAAGCAGGTACATCAGGTTGTTGCATAGGGACCATGTGAGGCATCATGTCTAGAAAAAAGGCAAGGTAAATTAATTGTGCTTAGGATACTAAAAGACATTCGTTAACCCAGGTAAAAAGTGCTTACTAGGTTGCATAGCCACTTGAGGTGCTGCTCTATTTGGTTGTTTGGCAGCAGCTTTTTTGGCTGGAGCTTTTTCTGTGAAAAATATTGACGTTAGTATTGTTTTCCAAATATTTACAAAACCACACACTGTACATACTTGCTTCTTCTGTCTTCTTTTCTCTTGGCCTTTTTTCTCTGGGCGTGTAGGTCCCTTGAAGCTTAGCAATTGCATCAGACTTACTTTTAGCATATTGTATCCTCTGTTAAAATTTTAAAGAAATATGAAGTGATGACAAGTAAAAGAATCACCACACTCTGTAACTACATGGTGCTCACATAAAAAAAACAAATACTCATGAAGCTTGACTGGCTTTGCAAAACTAAAGAGCCAATCATTCAATCAGGTATTGACAAAATTAATAATTCTGCAATACAAGCAGCTTCCTCAATATTCGTATTCAGGGTTTTGTTTAATATTTTACATCAATATTGTCAATATTTCATGTATGTTACATTTGTCAATATTTCACATATAATAACCAGTACTCCATGGGATACTTTGGCATATGCATTCACTGGTAGCTGATTGTTTTAATTCAAGATTACATACCATAGGTTTATCATAAAATGGGAATCCTTGCATTGATCTTAGAGCATTTGTAGCACTTGCAATGTCTGCAAACACGACAAACGCCTGTCCTCTCATTTTCAATGTCTTCATTGCAACAATATCCAGAATATTGCCAAATTGTGAAAATATTGCATATAAAGACTTCTTCAACTCTAGACACAGAAAGAACACAATATTACATGGAAGAAGATAATATATAGAGTTGATAGAGTAATAGAAGATGTACTGGTAAATTTCTTGGTTGGTAGGCCTCTGGATTTTTACATAAAACTAAGTTTATATATAATGGGGGCTTTCCTCTGAGCACTTCAGAAGCCTAGCTGGATGGGTCTGGCCTGCAGATAAATGTAACATTGAAATAACTTCGTGCAACGGCATTGTTAGCAAAAAATTACTAGGCAGGCTTCTTGGCTTTTACTCAAAAGTCCTCATAAAAGAAGCCCTTTTACCACTTTTTACATACATACTGCTTTACTATTCCTTATGCTTTACATATGTACGACTTGAGTTCCATAAAAAAAGACTCACCATCTTTCTTAACTTTTTCATTCAGATTGTTGATGTATATGGTCTGGTTTGGAGGGTTATCCATATCTACAAACTGCAACTACCAATCTTCCAAACTTCAGCGGTGAACAACCTGCTTTTTACGAACGCAGGGGCCAAACAATCGACGGATGTATGAAGTTTACAACCCCCTTTTCAAAAGAATGATTTCTCTTCGAGTATACTTATTTCATCAAAAAGGATTGATAAGGATTGACGAAAAAATATAAAAATATCCAAAGACGATCGAAAGACGCACGTTGGCCGCGCAAAATGTGCTTTTAAGGGAGTTGGGGAGGACAATGCGAATTTCGTTTCTTTCCACAGCAGAATTTTAAGCTTCCTTTTATAAAAAAATTTGCGTAATTTTTTATTATGGTCTTTTTTTCTTCCGGTAAAAACGAAAGTAAGAATACTCTGAGGAATATTGTATGGAGTTTTAAGTACTTTTTAACTTCCTCTCGCAGTCTCGCTTTTAAACCTCTAAACAATTTACAATTATTGAAAGAAAGAAAACAGTGGAGACACATTCGTGTCCATAACAATTCGTATTACATGACGTTTGATAAGTTTTGTGCCAAAATTTATAAATATGGTGGACTTTATAGGAGTGAAAAAAGTTGTTAAAATTGCTTTAATTTCAAGGATTCTTTCTCTTGTATTCCAGGTAAAAAGCTATGACCGGCCACAGTGAAGGAAAGAATTCCCAATGAACAAAATATCTTGAGAATACAATATATCACTCAAGACAAAACGCTGGTTGAAAGGGTAGTTACGTCCTAGCGCAGTGTTTTTACAAGACCATACATTTTTCTATGATAATTTTTATCTGCTCATGAGAACAGCCACATTTGAAGCTTGGCATGGTTTAAAAGCTAATAGTAAACTTATATTTTTTGTGTGAATACTGACTGCAGACTAGAGTTTATAGTCAATGTCACACCCCAACATTTATCAGGACAATTTTAGTGTAAAACTTGAATTCTAAGTTTAACACATAGTTAGTTTAGCACACCCGTTTTCTCCAATCTTTCTCCAACCAGCATACAAGGTTAAATACTGGTATTACTAGCAGTAATAATAATGGTTGAAGTTCTTACCTTTGACTATGTAGTTACTGATGGCATTACTTCATCTTTTAATAATCTTTCTAGGGTGTGTCAAACAATTTGTTAGTTGATTATGACACTTCGGTTGAACACCGTTCTTGCCATCCCAACAACACCTATCAATCACCACACAAGCTCTCCACCATGGACCAAATTATCTCATCAACACTTGGTGGGCTTTCAAAATGGGATGCTGTATACTTTCTAGACATAGCACAATATGGCTACAAGTATGAACAGAATATGGCGTTTTTTCCATTGCTGCCTTTGAGTGTTCACACTCTTGGTGTAACCTTGAGACCCTTAACACTTGTTTGTAAGATTAGCCAAAGGTCAATCCTTTTACTCTCTGCAATGTTAATCAACACAGTTGCATTCACAATGGCCGCTGTTGGACTACATAAACTCACAAGCACTGTATTTCATAGTCCAAAACTGGCTCAAAAGGTTGCAATGCTATTCTGTTTCAACCCAGCAAGTGTGTTTTTTTCATCTGTCTACTCAGAAAGCATCTACTCTATGACCCAATTTTGGGGAATGTTGTATGTTGAGAGAGGCAATCATCTTCCAGCAGCCATTATGTTCTCTCTAGGAACTTCAGCCAGATCAAATGGCATAACATCCTGTGGATTTATTGCTTACAAATTTCTGAAAGAAATAATTCTTCATTACCGTTTGTTTACATCAAAAGCTGAGCGAATACAACCAATTGATTTTGGTTTGAAATGTCTCAGGTTAATATCCTTGTCATGCTTGATATTTCTACCATTTATCTTATTTCAATACTTTGGCTACACCCTGTTTTGCAAACCTGTTCAAATTTCACCATGGTGTGACCACTACATACCCCTGCCCTATTCCTACATACAAAAGCACTACTGGAACGTTGGTTTTTTGAAGTACTATGAAGTAAAACAGCTACCAAATTTTCTACTTGCCTTACCTGTGGTGATTTTGTCAGCGTTGGGTATCAGGGAATATTTGGGGCGACAAAGCAGAAGAGATGTTTTGAGCCTCGGACTGTTGGTGCAAAAGAAGTCGAATTCCTTAAACCTCTTCGCTTATGTGGCTCACTTGAGTTTCCTGATGGCGTTTGGTGTCACATCAATGCATGTCCAGGTGAGACAGAAAAGGGGAATCTTTGTCGCGTTTGAATCCCGTTCAATTGCATGGAACGTCTATTACGTTCCTTTCCATGTTTGGTATTTGGAGCCAGAAATTAGCAGCCTTGTACCCAGTCGCTTTAGTAGCATAATATCTAAAATATATAACATTGCATTCCGCTATTGTATACAGGTCAGCTGAATGCTTGGGAGAAAGGTGGCTAACAACAAAGCGGCTTAGCCTAGGGGTAAGGTCGCAGCTCCTTGCAGGAATAATTTTCATTGGCTGAATTTCTGTTTCAACCAATAGCATAGCTGCACCGCCGCGCGCTTGTCAGCTGACCTCTATAAATAGCTGAATATAACGTTATATGTTTTTCCACTGAAACACCCGAGGCTGACTCTATAGAATGAACTTATCTATCATACTATTTTTCCATGGAAAGCGGATTTCGTCCACATTTTGGTTAATATTACAAAAATTTAGGCGAGATTTTCTTGAAAGGTGTCACGGGGCTTCCCCCTGCATGAAACTGGTGTGAAAACCATGTTTATATTGTCGAAAACTGACAGAATAGATAAGTACATTATTACAAGCAAAGTCACTATTACCATAATTTAAGGCCATATTATTCAAGGTTCGTGCATGAGGTATAACTAATTAGAGATAGCATTGCGATCATTTATGAGACAGCGTGTAACAAAAACGAGAGTAGAGCGAGAGTGAGATTGAGACAACGTTGCGAACTGTGATGTTGCATATTTCTCATTTTTATTATATAACATGCATGCAGTGTTTTATTGACGAATCCGAATTCCATTTTGAAAAGCGATAAAAACACATGTGCGATTATCGGGTTTGATCCACCGAAGGGGGATAAAAACTTAAAAAAAAAGCTAGTTTTTTACTATTTGATAAAACAGAAAAATACATGGATGCTTAGAAAGATGGAATTTACTTCTCATGTTGAAAAAGATATCTCACTCATTCGATATCATTCACAACACTCGTATTATTCTCTATATAATTAAATATTATTAACTGTGACCTGTCGGGACTACTGTTTTGGAGGCGACATTTGCGACAATATAACAACATAAGGTCTAGAAATATTTTATATAAATGGCTTAGCAAAATAATACTCTTATTCATGCTTTCTGGCAGGTAGTCACTCGGTTCCTCCTATCATCTTCTCCGATGGTCTACTGGATTGCTGTTTCCTGGGTGACACCAGCAAGACATGATCAAGATAGCAAGAATAATTCCAATCTTAAAGCAAACTTTGTCTATATTTACTTTCTAATGTACTACACTTTGGGATATTTACTCCATTGTAATTTTTATCCATGGACTTAATGCTATAGTCCAAGGTTAGAAATAAAGATCAAGGTTCAGCTTTTCTTATAATTTTTTTACGGCTTATACTGCTACTAAACTCTAAAGCAATGTTAATCTTTAATACGTAGTCTATAATCTTATTATACCACCAGATTAGCGCGTGCTTGCGTTAACACCCTGCTATTCTCGCATTGGAATGTAAAGCTGGTTTTCCACCAGCGACATTTTTCACGCGAAGCGACTTTATTCTTTTGTATTTGAGCAATTTGTTCCAGATGGTTGCAGTTGAGAGCTCTGAAACAAAAGTAAAATGTCGCTTCGCGCGAAAATTATCGCTACTGGAAATGGACGTCGCGGTCACACTCGAAAAAGTATACGTGCTTGCTCGTTGATGTTGACGAATAACTTCCTAGCCGTGTCATATCGAGATTTACGATGTCAGATTTGCCTCGTTCTGATTAGTCGCCATAGTAACTGGAGATCATGTGCTCGATTCATTTTGAAATTTTGTTGTTAATTAAAGCATAAAAGCCATCACTGTTGTTAAATCACTCATTCTACGGGTAACCTTTTGAATGACATACGCCTGTGACGGTATAATGTTAACATTTTTGTTAAGGTGGCTCCCTACAATTTTTAAAAATTTTGAAAACTTATTGTTTTGATTTAAAATTTTAGCACGAGATTTCTTGCTAAGGAAAAGAAATTTCCCAGATATATTAACCAACATTCTAACAGTCAGAAATTGACCATAAGCATGACGTCATTATCGTTGTTATGGTAACAATGGCGATTCAATATGGCCGACATTTTACCTATTAACGCATTTTACTCGAAAACAAGTTCGGTTACCCCAATTTTTTATTTTATAAAAAGTTTTCTTACAAAAAAATGGAAAATTTGAACGAGTTAAAAAAAATTCTATAGAGCCAAAAAATTTCTATAACGAAAAATCACGTTTTTTAATTTTTAATAATTTTGGCTCTATAGAATTTTTTTTAATTCGTTCAAATTTTCCATTTTTTTGTAAGAAAACTTTTTATAAAATAAAAAATTGGGGTAACCGAACTTGTTTTCGAGTAAAATGCGTGATAAGGTAAAATGTCTGCCATATTGAATCGCCATTGTTACCATAACAACAGTAATGACGTCATGCTTATGGGAATTTCTGACTGTTAGAATGTTGGTTAATATATCTGGAAAATTTATTTCGTTTAGCAAGAAATTTCCTGCCAAAAATTTCAATTTAAATCAATAGTTTTCAATATTCTCAAAACTGTAGGGAGCCACCTTAATGATCGTTAACCGAAATCAACACACACTTTCCGAACGCACATCACTAATCTGTGATTACTGCTAGTTAATAATCTAAAAGCCCAGTATTGTTTTCCTGCCTATCAAAAGGGTTCGAATACAAAGAACGCAGAATCGTTTACATCATTGAATCTGTCTGAACTACTTGATGTCTGGGACATTTTTCTTTTGAAACCTTTCCTACTCGACTTTGCAGTGTTTGCACGCGCTTCTCGCGAAAATATAGACAAAATATTTCCAAACGGCTTGAACTTCGCGTTTTGCGCGTTCGCACTACCAAGCACGCTTGGAAGGTGACTTGTTGACAAATTCAAGTGGATTGTTTTGTCAAAGTGAAAGATGAAGAAATATTTTATTTTGACAAAAACACTGTACCTGAAAGTGAAATCACAAAGGAAGTGAAAAACTATAGGCATAAAATTATTTTCAATGACAATTATTTTCAACTTCATTTTACGAAAACAATATTTTATTTGAACGCCTTGAACTAAACTGTGGAGAGTGTTGTATTTATTTCATCAGGTGAATTTAAAAAAAAGTTAAATATGATCAAGTGTATACTTAGCGATTCATATTACCGTTTATATATAATGATATATATAGGCTATATTTCAATAACACGACAAGGCCGAATTTGGTCAAGAGGTAATTTTTAAATTCACCTGCATGATGAGTGCGGCAAGCACTGCTTGTCGTACGAAACAAATTTGTAGTGAATAAATCATATGAAGTAAACCAAGTTTATTGGTTTTTTTTATCTTCGTGTTATTAGCTCTATACGCTTCGGTATAT